AAAGCTTTTCAGTTATTTTCCAGATAGCTGAGTTATAGAATATACAAAATTCTAATAACTTTATGGTATGTAATTAATAAATAACTTCTAAGAATATGTATTTACTTTAAATTAATCATTAAATGTTTTTATAAGAATTCTGATACTAGAATGTAGGCTAAACAATTGAGATGTTGATGAATCAATTAATTAGTATGTATTTTTTAATTTGGAATGAATGTCTAAATTAAATTGTTATAGATTAGCTAATTTCTAATTGGAGGATAATCTCTAAGTTTCTTCTGCAAGCACATCTGGAAAAAAGTTTTCAAAAGTTGCCAAAAAATCCAAAATATTAATTTAGTATTTCAATAACTAACTAAAAAAATAATGACTTGTAATAATTTCTTTGCAAAAAAAAAAATTACATTTCAATTAACATATAATTATATATTAAAGTTTTAAATTAAAAAAAGATGAGCCTCAAAAGGCCTTATAGTCATAAATAAACCCAAGTTTACACATCATTGGATGGCAGTTAATAATTCACATGTAGTAAATATTCAGCTTCAAATTAGAATAAGAAAAATATAATTTCTATAATGCAGTTTTATTTATGTTATATTGTTAAGAATTTCATCATCATTTGAACATTCAATGAAAAACTGATGACAAACTCCTAATCATATTGTTTAAATGTTTGTAAAAATAGAAAAAAAAATTGATACAAAGTAAAGATTTTAAGATTTGCCCATAATCATTTGTGTTTGAAATCTGATAAAATTTATTATTTTTGATTTAGATACTTTAATTTTCTAGAGAATATATTTATATGAGTTTAATATATATGATTAACTTAAAACTAATATTATTAATAATAATTAGAATAAAATGTCTTCTTTTGTTCATGAAAGTGTATATGAAGGAAACTAACCAATAGAAACAGAATTCAATGTAGTTTTTATTAATGGACCAGAATCATAAATAATAGAAATGAAATTTTCATCTGTATAATAAATTCTGATTTTAGGATTAAAATTTCATCTTACTAGCAACAGAAGAAGGATTTAAATTATATAACTTGCAAAAAGATGAACTTATTATTAATGAAGAAAATATTAAATTAGGAAAAATTTACTCGATTGACTTCTTTGATAACTCAGTTATTGTATTTGTAATTGGATTAGATTAAAATATTGTTATATGGGATTATAATTAAGGGTAAGTTATTAAAAAATATCCTATCCTTTAAGCCCCATAATAGATTTCATTTTGTAATCCATTTATAATAGCAGGAATTAAATAATAAAATGAGAATGTTATTTTAGTATTAAATGTAAGAACTGATTAAGCTTATCGATATTTATATACATAAAACTTAAATGGAGAGATAATTTATGCTAATAATAATAATCAGTTTAATTGCCTATTAACGTATCTAAATATATAAGGAAATTATTTAATCATTGATTTTTTACATTATCAAACATTGTAAGGACTCAATATTAAAACAATCACTGCAATGTCAGATGATCAAATCATTGAATATTAACAGTAATCTCAATCCAAACAATAAACTACATCCTAATTTAGATCTTATTCTAGTGTTGGTTACATTTAGACTTGTATAGCTATATCTAGTGATAGCAATTTACTTGCCATTTCACCGTTAGTTGACAACTAAAGAATATATATTTTTAGTATATCACCTTCAGAACAACCAAAGCTGAAATATCATTTATATCGAGGATAAACTAAAAAAATATTGAGCTTATATTTTGGACCGAATGAGATGCTTGCATGTATTAGTTTTTAAAATAACATTCATAAAACTAAAAATGATGCAACCATTCATTTATATTATAAAATGAAAGAAATATTGGAAAACGAAAATAAAGATTAAAAGAGTTTAACAAGATTATATTTTAGAACTTAATCAAGTGAAATTACTCATTAAAAAAGAACTCGATTAATGTTGCTTTTAATTAACAAGGAAAAATTATAAGTTTTTTCTGGAAATCAATTTAAATTTGAGGAGTAATTGTAATTGGACTCTAATTTAGTAAGTAAAGGGATAGAAAATTATATTTTATGGCCAAAAGCTGATCCATATTGAATTATATTTGACCAATAATTTAATAAACATTCTTCATAATTTAATGTTATTTTAATTAAAAAAACTGCTAAATTAACTCATCATATCTGAACTTTTTATAATTTGTTTTTCTTGTTAATATTAAAAAAATTCATTATTAGCTAGTGTAATTTTGTACCCCAAAAAATAATTAGGCTAATCAAGTCCTAAGCATAAGATTTTCAGCTCAAATATTAAATAATTTAATATATTTAATACATATTATTGATGATTCTAACTGGTAGAAGAAAATCGGAAAAAATACTCTCAAAATCATTAAGACCTTCCTTATTTTTAAATGAATTCGATTTATCATCTATGCTCTAAACATCTTCAGTGAAAACAGAAGGTAATATTAAATCTGTCTCAAAAACAGAAGCATAACCAATTCAAAGTTCATTAAGTGTGATTCCTGAAAACCCCACTTTTTCAATGTTACCCCAAATAGAAGAGAAATTTGTTCTAAAATCCAAAGAAGTTATTTTTTCTAAAGAAAAAAGAGAATCAAAACTTTTAAAAAACCTGGCTTCTGAATAATTATTACAATAATCAAAGCTTGATCTTAAGTTGCCACTTATATAGCAAAGTCCATAAATTAAGTCATTGCCTAGGCATTCTAGATAATTTACTAATGAAGATCTTAAAAAAGTTGAATTTAGACCCTCAATTATGGTTATTGACTTTATAAATAATATTGTNAGCTTTTGCTCTATTTTACTCCAAACTTATAAGGAAAGTCATTCCCTATTCCACTTTTATTATTGTAAATTGGGCATAAACAATTATTTATATTCAATATTTACTTTAACTTTTGTCAAAATACAAGAGATACACTCTCCAATATATTGTGTTTAAAGAAAAATTTTTTTTGAAGTGTGAATATTCACCATCCTTATTTTTTATCAGAGAGATGGCCTTCTTTGATGCCCCAAAGTTTAATTTGATTGCTATCCATAAGTATAATTTAGAGACCTACTTAAACAATCACCCTATTCTGATTTCAGATAATTTTATTCGAAATACTTTATTTGTCATAACATTAAATATATATTCTGTTGTAATAGCTGTACATCCTATTACGTATGCAGAATCTAATTATCCTATTGAATTCATACATTGAAGAGGCATTTTCACTTTAATTAATAAATGAATTCAAAAATATTTATTTTGAGATCAAGATTTTTATTTTGAATTCATAATTAAAATTTTTAATTATCAATATTTAGTATTGCAAGCTGTAATAATTAATTCATTTTCCATTAAAACCAAAGCAATAAAAGAAATTTATTGTCAAATTAAATCTTGAATTTTTATGATAATATTAATAAATATAAAAACACTTAAAAAAATGCAAATTAAATTTTAAAAAAAGGATCTAAAAATCAAAATAGAAAGACTATCTTTTCTCAATTTTAGATTTACTCAAATTAGAGTTTTACCAGATATTTGAGAGGGATCATATTCACAATCAATCTAGCCTAAATTATGGAGAGCCTCAAAATTGATAGGTGAGGTTGTTTAGAATTCTCCTAAATATTGTCTCAAAATTTGTTAATCAAAATCTAAAGTCTCAATTCTATGTACCAAACAAAAATATAATATTAATCAAAAAGCAAAGACTTTTACAACATCTTACTCCAAACAGAATTCCATTTCTCAATCAAATTAACTTAATTTTAAAAATACTGAATGACCATAAAATTTTAATTATTGACCTAATCTGTAATTTTGGGTGTTCATCCATTTAAATTCCTTAAAGACCATTCTAATTAGATCTCAAATTATTTAAATTAAGGTAATAGAGAAAACTTATCTTCAATAAAAAGAATGGATAATGATTTTAAATTCATCTTAAAGTGAATTCTGATCAGCTATCTATTATAACGATTCCTAAATTAATAAAATAACTAGGATATTCCGAAAAAAACAACATCAAAAATATGTTTGCAAGCCACATCTCAATTAAATAAAGAAAAAAGTGTATAATATTACTCACTTCAGTTTTAGTTGAATATAAATAATTGTTTATGCCCAATTTACAATAATAAAAGTGGAATAGGGAATGACTTTCCTTATAAGTTTGGAGTAAAATAGAGCAAAAGCTTCATACAAACTGTATTTCTATCATAAAAAAATAAATATTCTTGGTGCTATTTGATAAGAATTGTTTCTATTTTAGTGTAGAAGAATAACAATTGAGAATAACTTAAAGTAATCTTTGAGAAATATTAATTGAAAAAGCTAATCATTAACAGTTGATAAGAAATGTTGCTTGAAAGTTGAAATATAGTGTTTAGTTTGGAGTAGTAAAAATAGATGAAGAGTGTTAACTGATGTTGAAAAAGTGTTAAAAAAGTTTAACTCAAAATAAATTATTTACAATTAGTAACATTTATAAAAGCTTTTCAGTTATTTTCCAGATAGCTGAGTTATAGAATATACAAAATTCTAATAACTTTATGGTATGTAATTAATAAATAACTTCTAAGAATATGTATTTACTTTAAATTAATCATTAAATGTTTTTATAAGAATTCTGATACTAGAATGTAGGCTAAACAATTGAGATGTTGATGAATCAATTAATTAGTATGTATTTTTTAATTTGGAATGAATGTCTAAATTAAATTGTTATAGATTAGCTAATTTCTAATTGGAGGATAATCTCTAAGTTTCTTCTGCAAGCACATCTGGAAAAAAGTTTTCAAAAGTTGCCAAAAAATCCAAAATATTAATTTAGTATTTCAATAACTAACTAAAAAAATAATGACTTGTAATAATTTCTTTGCAAAAAAAAAAATTACATTTCAATTAACATATAATTATATATTAAAGTTTTAAATTAAAAAAAGATGAGCCTCAAAAGGCCTTATAGTCATAAATAAACCCAAGTTTACACATCATTGGATGGCAGTTAATAATTCACATGTAGTAAATATTCAGCTTCAAATTAGAATAAGAAAAATATAATTTCTATAATGCAGTTTTATTTATGTTATATTGTTAAGAATTTCATCATCATTTGAACATTCAATGAAAAACTGATGACAAACTCCTAATCATATTGTTTAAATGTTTGTAAAAATAGAAAAAAAAATTGATACAAAGTAAAGATTTTAAGATTTGCCCATAATCATTTGTGTTTGAAATCTGATAAAATTTATTACTTTAATTTTCTAGAGAATATATTTATATGAGTTTAATATATATGATTAACTTAAAACTAATATTATTAATAATAATTAGAATAAAATGTCTTCTTTTGTTCATGAAAGTGTATATGAAGGAAACTAACCAATAGAAACAGAATTCAATGTAGTTTTTATTAATGGACCAGAATCATAAATAATAGAAATGAAATTTTCATCTGTATAATAAATTCTGATTTTAGGATTAAAATTTCATCTTACTAGCAACAGAAGAAGGATTTAAATTATATAACTTGCAAAAAGATGAACTTATTATTAATGAAGAAAATATTAAATTAGGAAAAATTTACTCGATTGACTTCTTTGATAACTCAGTTATTGTATTTGTAATTGGATTAGATTAAAATATTGTTATATGGGATTATAATTAAGGGTAAGTTATTAAAAAATATCCTATCCTTTAAGCCCCATAATAGATTTCATTTTGTAATCCATTTATAATAGCAGGAATTAAATAATAAAATGAGAATGTTATTTTAGTATTAAATGTAAGAACTGATTAAGCTTATCGATATTTATATACATAAAACTTAAATGGAGAGATAATTTATGCTAATAATAATAATCAGTTTAATTGCCTATTAACGTATCTAAATATATAAGGAAATTATTTAATCATTGATTTTTTACATTATCAAACATTGTAAGGACTCAATATTAAAACAATCACTGCAATGTCAGATGATCAAATCATTGAATATTAACAGTAATCTCAATCCAAACAATAAACTACATCCTAATTTAGATCTTATTCTAGTGTTGGTTACATTTAGACTTGTATAGCTATATCTAGTGATAGCAATTTACTTGCCATTTCACCGTTAGTTGACAACTAAAGAATATATATTTTTAGTATATCACCTTCAGAACAACCAAAGCTGAAATATCATTTATATCGAGGATAAACTAAAAAAATATTGAGCTTATATTTTGGACCGAATGAGATGCTTGCATGTATTAGTTTTTAAAATAACATTCATAAAACTAAAAATGATGCAACCATTCATTTATATTATAAAATGAAAGAAATATTGGAAAACGAAAATAAAGATTAAAAGAGTTTAACAAGATTATATTTTAGAACTTAATCAAGTGAAATTACTCATTAAAAAAGAACTCGATTAATGTTGCTTTTAATTAACAAGGAAAAATTATAAGTTTTTTCTGGAAATCAATTTAAATTTGAGGAGTAATTGTAATTGGACTCTAATTTAGTAAGTAAAGGGATAGAAAATTATATTTTATGGCCAAAAGCTGATCCATATTGAATTATATTTGACCAATAATTTAATAAACATTCTTCATAATTTAATGTTATTTTAATTAAAAAAACTGCTAAATTAACTCATCATATCTGAACTTTTTATAATTTGTTTTTCTTGTTAATATTAAAAAAATTCATTATTAGCTAGTGTAATTTTGTACCCCAAAAAATAATTAGGCTAATCAAGTCCTAAGCATAAGATTTTCAGCTCAAATATTAAATAATTTAATATATTTAATACATATTATTGATGATTCTAACTGGTAGAAGAAAATCGGAAAAAATACTCTCAAAATCATTAAGACCTTCCTTATTTTTAAATGAATTCGATTTATCATCTATGCTCTAAACATCTTCAGTGAAAACAGAAGGTAATATTAAATCTGTCTCAAAAACAGAAGCATAACCAATTCAAAGTTCATTAAGTGTGATTCCTGAAAACCCCACTTTTTCAATGTTACCCCAAATAGAAGAGAAATTTGTTCTAAAATCCAAAGAAGTTATTTTTTCTAAAGAAAAAAGAGAATCAAAACTTTTAAAAAACCTGGCTTCTGAATAATTATTACAATAATCAAAGCTTGATCTTAAGTTGCCACTTATATAGCAAAGTCCATAAATTAAGTCATTGCCTAGGCATTCTAGATAATTTACTAATGAAGATCTTAAAAAAGTTGAATTTAGACCCTCAATTATGGTTATTGACTTTATAAATAATATTGTAAAAAAAGACTAAATTGATGGAAGTTCAAAACCTTTGACAAAGAAAGTATAGAGATAACAAACTAGATTTGTTAAATAAAGTTTATGATTATATTAACCTTAAAGCTTAAATCTTATTTTATATTTTTTTAATAATAATTAAAAAATTTCCATTAATTTAATTAAGTTTAGCATTCAGCATATAATATTATTTAATGTGTTTTTTGATAAAGGTTTTCGAAGGTACTTAAGTCTGCCTTTAGATATTCTTTTAGAACGAATTATTATTGTACACATATTTTTGGAGATCCTTTTTATCTGAAAAATCCAATTATTAAAAATGTATTTTTTAATTATTATAAAAATTAGAAAACCTTTTTGAAAGAAATCATTCAAACTTTATTAATATAAAAGCTTAATTATATTTTAGATATGATTAGATTGAGTCTAATTATTTTTGGAATAAAATAAAATTTAAGATCATTCTTATTATTAAATCGAAATAAAATAGATAACAATAATCAATTATTTTCTGTCCCTTCATTAAAAAGATATGGGTAAGCTTTTTTTCCCTTAATTTGAGAACTACTGACAAAATTAACAAATGTCTAATTTATTAATCTTTAGATAGTGAAAATATTTTAGTAGATGAAAATGATCGTATAATATTGAATCTTTGCCAAATTAGTTTAAAAATAAAAAAAACAATTTGATTTATAAATATTTCAACATCAGTAAATAGCCATCTATAATCAGATTTTTAAAGAATTTTCTAAAATTATCCTCGTTTATTTACTCATTCTGTTTAGGAGCAATAGAGTCCTTGTTAAATTAATTTTGTATAATTTGTTAACATTTTTGAGTCAAAATACATGTTAGATAAATAGAATTAATGATAAAAGCTATATAAAAATCAATCATCGTTCATAAGTCTTTGTAAGGTTTTTGATTTCTTCATACTTGCTTTTATGGATATTTACTTTTATTAATACTAAAACTGAATCTTTTTAATTATTCCATCATAGTTAAATATCGGAAAATAAATTGTCATTATGAATTGCTTATCAAGATCAAAATCACAATATTCAATTGTTCTTTCTTCTGCTTCTTCCATAATTATGACCATGTCATCATTTTCATTTGAATTTACATATTGAGCTTTAGATGTTCTGGAATTTAAAGTGCCTGCAACACTCGAAGAATTCTTTTTTTTTCTAGGACTAGCAGCAAGGCTAATTTATTTTTATAAACTTTTCTACTTATACAAACTTACACTAGCTTAACTTGTATAAGAAATTTTTTTATTAGATGTAATTCCTAGATTTTACTCAATACTTCTCCAGCTATCAAGTTTAGAATTTTTTCTTAATTCTTTAGATTCACTTAATTATGATTAGACGAATTAAATTCTTTTTTCAATATTCTAAGAGTTTTCCCTTTTAAGTTTTCGTAAAATAGTAGTGCTTTCGGGTTATTTAACATTTGCCTAAACATCCTTTTTTTTATTCATGCTTAATTTCTAAGAAATTTAAGGGGAAGGTATTGATTAATGAGGAACGATTGGCGGCATTTGGCCACTATAAGTTAATACATCATTAGAAAAACTATCACTTTATTTTCTTAGATTATCTTTATTTGTATTGCTTTTAACAGTGAATGTATCATTAAGAGCAGTCTACTCTCTTTAAGTATTTTATCTTTATTACCCACTACCATTTTATTAATCATCTACATCTAAAGCAAATCCTAATTGCTGTAAATATGCATCAGTAATATCTAGTTGATGAATAAATTTTTCATTTATTATCATAGCTAATGCACACTCTTAAATATCACTAATTTTTTTCCGAGAAGTGTATCTAAAAATATTTCTATCCGAAAATAATCTATTTTATTCTTTGGTTTCTTTAAATTTATTCATGATTTTAGTTTTATTCACTTTAATGAAAACGAATGGACATTTCTCTATTGAATGAGTCCATTCACAAACTTCACAAACATTACCAAAAGTCTTATAATTTTCATTAAATATAAGATTATCCTATAGCATCTTGATTTTCTCAAGATCTTCTTAATGATCACCTAAAATTCTTTAAAGATCTGAATACTCAATATAAACTACTTGAGAGAATTTAGAAGCTTTTAAATATGTGATGTAAGTAGTTTATGAAGCAAATTCTCTTTCTCCAATTACTCCTTTTTTCCAACTTTTTAATCCAATATCATTGGCCATCAACTCTAGCTTTCCTTTAACTAAAAAAATTAATTTGGACGCTTGTTCGTTTTATTTCCAAATGATTTCTTCTGGAGCATATTTTTATTCATGTGCCACCAAACACAATTTTTACAGACAAGAATCGCACAAATTTGAAAGTACTTTAGATTATTTTAAGATGGAACAATATAAATCAAAAGTAACTTTCTATTTTAATTCAACAGTTAATTTTTACATCAATTCTTCTGCTTCGATTTATGACTTTTCTTCTAATTTAAAATAATGCTCAAAATATTTCCTAACTTATAATTATAATTATTTGTTAAGCTTTCTACTCTTCACATAATTAGTAACTAAAGACATTTTTTCTTTAAACACTTGATTTTTCTCCTGCAGTTGCTTAATTATTTCTCCAACTGTTGATACACTGTATCCTAATACACCACAAACCAACAGAGCCAAAAATATAGTATATATTTTTTCTGGAATTGTTTAAGGTGTTATATCACCGTATCCAATAGTCAATGTTGTTATGGCTGAATAATAAAATGAATAGATATATTTTATTCTCCAATTAGAATCATCAATTTGATAATGAGCAATCCATGAATGCAATCCATATTCTAATTAAGTTTCCCCTAAAAATGCCCACATACATGCACAAAAATGACATGTAATCAAAATGAAATATATCAATTTAATTAATGAAATTATTGCCTTTACTTGTTGGTTTGGATTAATTATCTCCTCAATATTGCTTGCTATTTTTGGTAATCTAAAGATTCTTAATAATAGAGCATATTTAAAAAATGAAAAATTCAAAGATGATAGTAATATTGGAATTACAATAATTATATCTAGAATTAGAGTACCTCCTTTAAGGTAATTCTTAAAGATTTCTATTTAATTTCTATGTATTATTCCTTTTGCATAAAAAGCTGTTTATAATGTAACAAATATATCTACAACAAAAAGCCAGGAAGGAAGTGTGTTTAAACATAACTAAGTTGTTTAATCCATATCAACTGAAAAGCTTAATTCTAAAGGTATATAGATAATATTTATAACAATAGCCAATAATACTATGATATCCCAAGATAATTTAACAATTGAGTCAGGTTCAATGATAGGCAAATATTGAATTTTATTTAACACTTTATTAAAGCATTTCATAGTTTAAACCGTTTTTTTATGATATTAATTATCTCTTTGCCTTAATAATTCGTCAGTATCAGATCCCAAGTCCCTTATGAGATCCAGAATCCTTCTTGTTAATAGTTTAAATTTTATTTTATTTGCGCTTGTTTTCAATTATCTTGCGAACTTGGATATATAATAAATTATATTTAAAGATTTGTTTCTCCATACATTATTTAATCTTCCAAGTTTATTGGATGCTTGTTTAATTATATTTGATTTTTACTCAGCAACTTAATTATTTGAATTTCTATCATATTATTCAATTTACTTGTGTGCATGAAAAGATCCTTATGATAAAAATGATTGCTCAATTAATTCATCTTCTACATTCTTATCTCCTTACAATGAATTTCGGTCTATATTATCTCCATATAGAGACTTATTTTTTAAGATTCCTTTCAAAGGGCCTGAAGTCTAATAAAATTATCTCTTTCTTGATTGTACAATAAAGAATTACTTAGGTTGAAGTTGGAGAGTGAGAATTAGAAACTAGGTTTAGCATTATTAAATATAATTAGATAAATTAATTCAATAATCAAATTATCACCTTTAGATGATATAACCATATACATATTGTTGTTTAAAGATTTCAAGAATAGAAATTAGGTAACCAATAATTATGAAAAATTGAAATTTTAATTTAATTCCGAATTTTATGTTTATAATTTAAACAATTAATTGTAGAAACTACTTATTTGATGAGAATCCTATGCTTGAGAAGTTTTTTTTTTACTTTTAATCTGTTAGAATTATGCATAAGAAAGTTTATTTTTTGTATTGATATTCTAAAGTAAATTTAAGGAAAAGTGTTACCTTATCGTTTCTTTCTAATTCATAAAATAGGATATTTCTGTATAAATTTCATTAAGAAATTGATCATTTTTCAATTTGATAGCTTAAATATATATGCTTTCATTAATATTTAGATTAGTATCCAAAATTTAGCTATAACTTTTGATTCATACTGAAATCGATATTTACATTATTACTTTTATAATTAATTTTCAAGAAATTTCGATTATATCCAACTCAAAGAATTTTAGAATTCTGTTTAATTAGAGAATAAATTGTCAAAAAAACAGAAGCTTTTTATCATCCAAAACTTTTTAGTATTATCCTAAAGTTAGTAAGAATTTCAAAAGAAAAGTATAAAATAAAAAATTATAATAATTTAATTTTGAAGCATATCAAATTTTGTATTTATAATATTATTCATTAAGTGTATAATTTGTGTATTAAAATAATCATGATGAATTTCATTATACAAATGCCCATTTGTAAGGTTACTTTTAAAATGATGAAATGAAAAACTATTTTATATTACACTTAAACCCTTAATTAAAAGGCATTCTAATTTCATCTTTGACATATTTCATGTAACTTAACTTATATCTAAATCTATTTTCAGCTTAGGTTTAATTTGTCACTATCAAATAGATTTAATAAAGAAGTAAAAAAGTAAGGTAGCAAAAAACAAGAATAGACAAAGTTTTCACTCCATAAATAATGTTGGCAATTTAAAAAGGTATGGTTTCTAAGTAAAGCGTAGCTAAAATTACTTGAATGCTATGGAATATTAGTGTGATTATATATATGAATTTGTTTTTCTCACCAATACATTTACCAAGGATAAAATTATGATGATCATAGGCTAAAATACAAGCACCACATATTTTACAGTGACGAGATCTTAAGATTTGATCAATAAAACATGCAATACAATATAGTTATTCTAAATAAACTACAGATTATGGTTGTGATTTCTACTATTTCTCTTGTATTTAAGAATTATCCTACTAAATGAGTGAAGGAATTTCTATTTATTTTTCTTCTTTTATTGATTCATCTTCTTTTATAGAATTGAGATGCTTCCGCTTATAAATAACAAGAGAAGATTGTAATATTTTAGCGGCTGACTTATTTGTTTTATCAGTAAAATGAAACTATTTATCTCCTTAAGGTGTAAAAACTTAAACTTTTTACTCACTGTTGATTTAAGTTGAACAAAGAATACCAGGTCCTTTGAAAATCAAAAAAAAAAAGCTTAGTGTACTCAAAATCTAAAAAATTCTTAAAATAATAATAAAATAAATACTTACAAAGATAATGTTACTCGGCATGAAATAAATATCATCAACTAAAAGCATAAATATAAAACTATTCTTATTATAGTCAACATTATTATTTTATATTATTTAATTAGTAATCTATAAAATGAATCTTAATGTAAAGAGAATTCATATATAATTTTAGAGATAGTGACTTTATTATAAAATATTCTTGAATTAGTTAACATTAAAGATACTAAACTTTTATATAATCATTAAATATTTAAATAAATAAAATGATAAATCATTTAGCGTCAACATGTGAGTATCTCCATCATTTAAAAGATGGCTAATGCTTTCATGATGATCTATTCCCTTTAACTCTTTACAATAGTCTAGGATATTTATTAATAATCCTAATATTGGGTTTGTCAACAGTTGGTGGATTAGGAGGAGGAATTGAAAAAATACCAATTTTAATTGTAATGTTAAATTTTTCTCAATCTAAAGCAACACTTTATGTGTACGTATTAACTTTTGGAACTAATTTAGTTAATTTTCTTATGCTCATTTACTAAAAGCATCCATTAGCGGATAAATAAATAATTGATTATGAGCTTTCACTAATATTATTACCAACTGCTTTATTTGGAAGTGCTTTTGGGAATATATTACATTAGATTTTACCAGACATCTTTCTGATATCTATTCTCATAGTTTTTTTCTCAATTTTTGTTCCTAAATTGTATAATAAGGCTAAATAAAATAGAGAGTAAGAAATGCTAGGTGATAATAAATAAAAGATGATTATTAATTAAGAAATAACCAATTTAATTGCAGAATAATATAAATGCGAAGATTAATAAATAATTCCTTTATATAAGTTTTTGCTGTTATTAATTATATTTATGATAGTTTAATGTGTTTTAATGATTAGAGGAGGAAAGAAATAACAATCATTTATTGGAATATAATATTGTTCTGATGGTAAATTTATAAATAATAACTAGTTAGTATATTGGATTACAACGGGAATGATTATTGTAGTATTATTATTAATTTCTTATGGAATCAAATATCATTTAGGTAGAGAAACAAAAACAAAAATAGAAATTGGATACTTCAATGAAAAAGTTGATTTTAACTTTATTGAATCAAGATTTTTCATGATTGTTTGGATCTCTGGATTTTTAGGAGGAATTATGGGAGGAATGACTGGAGTAGGAGCTGGAGCTATTATTGTTTCAATACTTATACTATAGAATGTCAATTCTAGAGTAGCATCTGCAACTGGAGGATTTCAAAAGTTATTTATTTCTCTATTTACAACAATACTCTCCTATTAATAAGGAGATTTGGATAAAAATGAAATATTATTTTTTTTTATCCTTGGATTGTTTAGTGGTTTGCTTATTGCTGGTCCTATGTATTATTATTTAGAACTAAACCCAAAATAAAATTATTTAGTAATCTATTTGGTGTGTATATTCTTGATTATAAGTGCTATTTCAGGTGCTATATATTTATTTAAAGAAATTGTTATCATGGATAGATGGAATAAAATGATTTAAACTCATACATTTTGTTGAGTTTAATTATAATTATTATTATTTTAAATATAAAATATGTAAAAATCTACTATTTATATTCTTCATTTTAATGATGTCTATGATATTGAAGAGTAATTACATGAACCAAAAGGAGGAGCGGCCAGATTCTTATATGTTATGAATTAACTTAAATAAAATTTACCAAACTCCTTAACCTTATTTTCTGGAGATGTCTTTAGTCCATCCAGTTTGACACATATTTATCATGGTATCATATTTTAACTAAAATAGGTTCCCACATCATATACCCACTACAATAATTTAAAATTGATGTGGCATGTCTTGGTAATCATGACTTTGATTTTCCATTAGATCAGTTAGAAGATTTGCTACAATAATCCAATACAACATGGATATTGAGTAATGTTTATGATAAATTCACTCAAAAACCTTTAGCTAATGTACTTCCATATAAAATTTAATCATTTGGGAATTACAAAATTGGATTTATTGGATTAGCTGAAGAAGAATGGTTAGGTTTAATAACTGATATTCCTGCAACTCAAATAGAATACAGAAATTTTATTGATGCTGCTAATGAGCTTTGTAAATACCTTAGGAACGAGCTTGAATGTAATTTCATTATTGCCTTGACTCATATGAGAATTCCTAATGATCAAATTTTAATTAATACTATAGAAGAAGGATTAATAGATCTAGTGTTGGGAGGACATGATCATCTATGGCATCATGAATAAATAAAACAGACATTTTATTGTAAAAGTGGAACCAACTTCAGAAATATAGGATTAATTAAAGTTTCTCCAAAAGATAACGATGATTTATTTTTGCCTCAAACATTAAATTTATAATTTGAAGTTCCATAGCCAATACAATATTAACTTTAAAAATTTAATATTAGTTATTATCCGATTAATATTAATAGTTAAATTCCAGTTGACCCAATTATGGATGAATTTGTTTAATAAAAAATTAAAGTTTACAACGAAAGTATTGATATCGATAAATTAGAAACTTAAAAAACAATTGGTTTTATAGCAAATGATCTTGAAGCTAGATTTATGATTGTAAGAAGTGTAGAGACAACAACAGCTAATTTATTTTCAGATATAATAAGATTAGAATTTTAAACTGACATAGGTTTTATATTAAAATATAATAGCGATATTAAATTGTGGTACTGTTCGAGCTGATGAGTATTTTTCGTCAGGCCCTATTACATATCAGACTTTAGATAAATTATTTGCAATACCAGATAATCTTGTAAGCTTTAGAATTTCAGGAGAACAATTATTAAATGTACTTGAGATTAGGTAAAAATTATTTTATTCATTTAGTGTATCCAAACTTCCTTCAACTGATGGAAGATTTTTAGGGGTTTCTGGAATGAAATTTGAGTATTCGCTTAAGAAAAATCCAATGAATAGGATTTCTGCTGTTACAATTAACAATGAACCATTAGATTTATAAAAAATATATACTTGTGCTACTAAACAATTTATAGCTGAAGGAGGTGATGGATATCCAATCCAAACTTAATTCCTAATTGATAAGACTTTAGGAATTTAAATAAAATCTGTCTTTGTTTAATTTTTTGAAGGCATTAGAAAATTAAAAGTAAAGATTAATACTCTGGAGGATTTAGAATAAACAAAATATAAAAGATATCTATCTATAATATCAGGATTAACAGAATATTAAGGAGATAAATATATAACAGTGAATCCATAAATTGAAGGTAGAATTAAAGTATTTAATTGATAGAATTTTGAATTATTTATTAAATACTTTTAATATATAAAAATTTAATATTTTATATATTAAAAATACATTAAATAATATATTAAATTATAATTAATATAACACAATATTCATTTTTTTTTCTTTTATTTAATTGAAGATTAATATGATTATGATTTTTCATCAATATTTGTTTATGTAAAAGGAGCAAAACTATTTTAAAATTCTAACACATGTTTCATGAATTCAGAATTTTTATCTTTTACTAATTATTTTAAATCTTTATTTTATTAGGCTTGCTTACAAATTTCTATTTTAATTGTGATCATAAAATACATTTAAAATGGCTATGCTCTGAAGTTATATCTGAGGAAATTTTAGTTATAAGACTTGAAAAGGAGCTGTTCCCAAAGGAATCTATGTATTTATCTAAAGCATCAGAAGTTTATGGATCTAAATATTTATTCCTTAATTATATAGATAATTACTAATTGTTGCATTTTTTTCATTTTCTCATCGGTTTCTTTATTTTCCTATATTTATTTACTTTGCTTTGTTTATTTTGCTTATCTTGCAAACTAATAACCTTTTGAAATCAATCTAAGCATTATTATTTATTAATATTTATTAATAATAAAGGCATAAAAATATTATATACAAATTTTAAGTGGAACATAATTAATAATAATTAAATAAAATTGAAGTTGCCCAAATAAATGAAGATATTATGACTATTAAGATTTTTAAATATTAAGAATGAAGAATAATTAGAAAAAATATTTTTAATTTATTATATTTTTCACATTATTTAGCAAGATTCCTTTTTCTGGCGATTTTGATTCTAAGTAGCTTCTAAATTCCTTTTTCTTTCTGCATCTTCTTGCCTTTTTTTTTCATTATCATCCTTTTCCTTATATTCTTAAATTTCCCTTTACCTTTTTTCTTCTTATTCTTTCAAACGTTTTTCATTTAACATCTTTTATTACTCCAAATCTTTTTCTAATTGATCAGTAAATTATTTTTTTTTTAATGCCATTATATTATTCATAATTGTTTCTTTTTGGATGATTAAATTATATTTAAGCAATTATTAGTTTTTCGCTAATAAATATTTAATCTCTATAATATCATCTTCTTATGATACAAATTTAAATCTGTTTAAAAAGGTATCAATTTCAATTTTTTCATTATTTTACCAACCTAATATTTCTGCAGATAAAAACAAAAAATGTTTTGATCAAATTATTCATTTACAATCTAATCTAATATGTTATAAAAAATTTTATATAACTTTTATTTACTTTTTTGGCTCAAATTATTAAGAGAATTATTAATTTTTTTACTGATCTCATCAACTAAATTTTGTATTATTTAATGGCATTTTTCATATATTAACCTAGATAGTTCGGTTTGTTTCTCAAATTAAATTGGCTTAAATCTTATTGGATTAGATTTTCTATTACATTCCATATCTCTTGTCTTTTTTAATTATTAAATTTCGTTTCAAGATCACTATCTTCTTTTATTTTTCCTACCACTTCTATATTCTCATTTACATTATCTGAAATATCCTTCATTTAATTTTTTACATCATCAATAAGATCTTGATCATCTAAATTATCCATAAATTAATTGAGGATTATAGTCACTTAAGAAAATTCTTAAATATGTTAGGCAAAGCATCGACTTATAAAATCATAAAATTCAAGACCTTGATTCGGCAAATTTCCATCAAGACTATTAACAACAAATATGATTCTAATTAGTGTTTTTATTACTATTCTTTTGAATAAGATTGATATAAAAGTTTACTACATAGCTCCATCTGTATCATTAAATCCAGGAAAGTCAATTAATAAGTAATTATTATCTTTATTAAAATAATAATGTGGCTCTTTTGTTACAGATCTTATTCCAGGAGCCATATCAGAAGCATATTTTTCATCAGGATATTTTAGAGTTAGTTATTTAGTTTTTATATTATCTTTTTTTGTAATTGAGAATTCAAATCCCGAGAGAAAATTAAATAATGTACTTTTACCATTTGCTGTACTCCCAACAAGCATCGCAACTTTTAAATTTTATTGTATTTATTCATCAAACCTGGTCAACAATTCACTTATTTTATCAATCATCTTTTCATATACTTTGTATTAATCATTTTCTTAAATCATAATAATAATTACACATACTAAATGATAAAAATTATTATAAACTTTGCTATTCTAGGTAGTTTTATAAAAGCATTTTGATTATATTAATATAAAATAATATATTAAGCCTTCGTAATAGAATTATTACATTAATGAAATAAATGGATTCATCTAACTAAACTCAAATATAAGAAATTTACAAATTATCCTGCACATTTAATACAATTTGGAATTCTATTTAATAATAAATCTCAGATGAAAATACTATAATTGTAATTTTATTAGGTTCTCAAAATAGTGGCAAGACAACTTTTCTTAAATATCTTAAAAAAGATGATTTAAATATTGTCAATAAGAATAAAGACATATTAAATAGTAATAAATAAGAATATTTTGATATTTTTAAAATAGAATAGCCTAAACCACATTTATTTTTGGATTTTGATAGTATTCTTAATTCAGAAAAAAATAACATGATTTTAATTTTTGAAGAACTGTTTTTAAGATTAATTGATAAATACAAGATAAAATTGATATATATTCTCGAACATCCAGTAAATAATCTATTAAATAGAGGGTCTTAATTATAATAATTTATGAAAAAATATTTTTTGGGTGGAAATCAAATAAGTTTACAAATTATTCTAAATAAGTATTTAGAAAATTTAAATGATGAAGAATTAAATTAAACAGTACAAAAAGAAATTTAAGAAATGAATCTTACATATATTAATGAAATTTTTGTATTTAGAAAAATAAAAACAATAGAATAGTAATAGATAGAGTTTTCAATTGAGAAAAGATAAAAGATTTTTTATTCTATAATCAAATAACATCCACTTAAGCTAGAAAGAGATTAATTTACTTTAAATGAGAAGTTAGTTTATTCAATAGAATAAATTTTCCAAAGCACTTCCATATCAATTATAAAAAAAATTTATGAAAAGAACAAGAAAGTGGGCCTATATAAGTAAAGCGAACTTAAGAAATTTAAAGAGTAATGTTAAACCATATTAAATGATACTTAATCTAAAGATCCCCAATTTTTGTTTGATTAATCTAAAGAGTGGAATTAATTAATAAATTATAATTTTTCCAATCACGATCTAGAGTTCAATAATTATCATTATCTAAAGAAGATTTTACCTTAATTTACAAAAATAATTGAAAAAATCCAAATTTTAGAAGATGTTAATAGAATGGTGTAGAATTGCTGTTAAGTTATAATCTAAAATTTGGAAACTTATATTAATGAAGATTGTTAATAAAATAATAACATAATAAGAAAGAATATGGCTGAAATAAAGTCTGACTCTATAGAAAATGAAATAAAAAAATATGAATCCTTATAAAATATTTAGCTTGAAGAGTTAAGTTTGATAGTCAATAATTATTTCGTTGAATAACCTTGCGAAAAGACGAAAAAATTAAAAATTGCTCTTGATATATTTCTGGAATATAGGTAAACATTAGAAAAATTGAATGAACAAAATAAAGAAATAAAGAAATAACAAAAAAAGAAGGAATCTTGCTAAATACAATGAGTATTTATTTACAATTTCCATAATCAATAAAATAATTTTTTTCCTTTATTAATAAAAATGATGTATAATTATAATATATTAGATATATTGTTATATATATAGAAATACAAATATTTAAAAATATTTTATTAATCTAATATGGATTTTATAGAGGAAGATGAAATAGGATAACTCTGTTTGACTAAGCAATTTTCAAAGGAAGTTAGTTTGGATTCGTTTGAAATGAATTGTGTAATAGGGAAGGGACAATATGCCAAAGTTCTATTAGTGAGAAAGAAGGATACTAAACATCTTTATGCATTAAAAGTGCTCAAGAAATCGGGCTTAAAACAAGATGCACGAATTGAGCGCAACATTATGGTTTGGCTTATCTAATTAAGATTGAAATTTAACACCCATTCATCATAAAATTAGTGTACGCGTTCCAAACTGCTAGCCATTTGTATTTTTGCATGGAGTATTGTCCAGGTGGAGAAATGTATTATCTTTTGAGCAAACAAAAACATTTTAATGAACATACGTGAGACATGTTTTTTTAATATATTTTAGAGCTATGTTTTATGCTGCCTAAATCATTCTAGCATTGGAATATCTTCATAGTAAAGGGATAATTTATAGAGAGTTAAATATATAATTAATTTTAGTTTAAAACCTGAGAACATTGTTATATGTTAGGATGGATATGTGAAATTGACTGATTTTGGTTTATGCAAGAAAGGAGACTTCACAAATATTTCAGGTGCCTCATCTATATGTGGAACTCCAGCCTATATGGCACCTGAAATTCTATTATATAAACAATATGGTAAAGCAGTAGATTGGTGGGCATTCGGTTGTTTCTTATATGAAATGGTAGCAGGACATCCTCCATTTTTTGCATCAAATAAATAAGATTTAGAATTTAGCATATTACATTCATAACCAAATATGAGTCATTTTTCAATAAAACTATAAGATTTAATTTATAGATTACTAGAAAAGAATCCAAAGAATAGATTAACCACTAATATTAGAGATCATTAGTGGTTTAATATTGATTTTGATGCAATATTAAATAAAAAAGAAATTGCCCCATTCTTACCTACCTTATAAAATGAGGCAGATGTAACTTATTTTGATCCATAATTCATTAAATCTAGTATGTCTGAATAATGTAGTATCATTGATGAATTAGATTCATGTTTTAATATTTTATGTAAATTTTAGATAAGGACTTTACTTACAAAGGATCATAAGATTAATCAGTTCAATAATCATTTTAAACTCTAAGTCCAGAGATTATTGGATTAAATGAAAATGGAGAAGCTAAACAAATGATAAAGGTTGAATCAACTGAAATGATTAATTAATGAAATTTAATGTTAAATTAATAATATTCATCATTCTGCCAAATAAGGTAAAGAACTATCGCAATCTTTTGTAATAAAAATAACAAAAAATGAATAATAGATTACAGGAAAATATTTTCCAACAAATCTATTATTCCAACTAGATCTATCTACATACAAACTCAAATTGAAGATAAAAATGGAAGAAACATAAATATATGGAATTATTGCATTTCTAGGATATTTTACAAAAATGGCATGAGTAGAACAAACCATAATATCCCACCAATTAAGAACATATCTACTCAACAAAAATGGTTATACCACTATTGCTATCTAAAAAGAAATTATAAATTTATATATACCATATGATGAAAAAAATAAGGGAATCTGCATTCTGTCAAGTAAGTACCTTCATAAATAGAAATTATGGCATCAAATAAATAATAAAATGGGGCATATATTGTCTAAGTTTAATTTAATTTTACTAAAGTAAAAACTATTGCATTCATAAATTTCTATTGTTTTATCTAGAGGTGTTTTTAATAGTCAAATATATGCAGATAAATTCTATATAACCCTATTATCCAAAGAGGAAATATGGCTAAAATTGAATAGTGATACCTATTATAAACAGTAATTATTACCAAATCCAATCATTAATATATCTCATTGTAATTGAGTTATATTCAAATTCGATGTTTGCCCATAAGAATGTCATTAAAAATAATTAAAATTATCAAATAAATTTATCAAAATGGAAATTGTCCTCCTCTTCCAAATGGATCTATCCATGGTTTCTTATTGCTAGGTTCTCCAAATGGGTTAATATCAGGTTCAGGACCAAAAGGATCAAATCTTGCCCCTGGAGGTATTTAAGGATTGAATAATTATTATTACTATTGTCTTTAGTTAAAATTCTAAAAATGTTAAGGTCCCATCAAGTTTCCACTTATTTATCCTCTATTATCAAATGGATTTCTAGGAAATGGATTTATATCTTGGTTTCCTACTGAAAATGGTTAGTTCCTAGGTATATTCCAAAGCAAGCCTTAAGGTTATTATTATTAAGGAGGCTATTCTAATAAAATATTGGTTTATTTTTCTATCTATTAAGGTTCTTGTTTTTTCATTACAATTTTTTATAAAATTTATTGTTTATAAACACTAATAGTATTTGATTTAAATAGTAAATCTTAATTATCAAAGTTTAATGATGAAATAGGAAGTTTATAAGAGTATATTTAGTCATTTCTTCCTAAAATAACTGCATTAATTGATAAAGTATCATCTTGTTATGGAAGTGTTAAAAATTTAAATTAACATTATTCTTTATATTAATTAATATATCTAAGAGAGTATACACCTAAGTATATATATTTATAGAATACCATCTTCAGGTTAATCCCAACCTTCAGCTATTCCTACCCATTCATGACTTTCATCATTTTCATTGATACCATTATTTTTCAGTCCTTCTTTGACATTAATGCTATGGATTAGCAGTATTGTTAATAATGTTTTGTTTGTTGGTTAATCTGGAAGTAGAAATAATATTTCATTATAAATTTCTCTAAGAGTTGTCATTATATTAATAATAATAATTAATATAATTAGTTATTAATAATGAATTAATACCAAGTTTTTCCAAAAGAATAAGAACTTTAGGATCTCACATAAAACAATAATGAAAATACTTCTAACTAATTTGCACCTTATGTCAATATGTAGATTTATTCTCAATAACAATAAAACAATTAAAATTCTTATAATAATAATTATGCAGAGTTAAATGAAGATTAAGATAAAAAGTAGGAATCTAATTTAGAGAATTTCAAATAGTACATTTCAAATTTGCAATCAAATTTCTCAGAAGAATCAGTTGGATGTCAATTTTTCACAATTTGCAATAGCATTATATGTTTTGTAATAATATGTGTTATCATTAAATCACTTTGAATATAAAAGGAAAATGAATTATGACCATATTTGATAAATTATAATTGAAAATAATATCATAAATTCTTAAATGGCTTTCTCTATTGATACTATCTAATATTCTGCAATTAAATAGATAGATCAATTCAAATTATTACTATTTTTGTAAATTATAATTAATAAAAAAAGGAAGTGTCTAAGATATCTTTCTGATATTTAGAATTGGCAATATAAACTTTCATGCTTAATTATTAAAGATCTAGTTTATAAAATTCTCAAATTTGTTAATTGATTATAATTTTTTTAATTAATGAATCTGACCAAATAAGTTATTAACATTCTTTTAAGAATACTACATAAATGTATTACATATAATTATTATTGTATTCCCTATTAGTGCAAAATATTTTTTTTAACAAATTACAGTTCTAAATTTTTTTATTTGTAACATTACAAATGTTTATTATTCACAATTGAATTTTGATTTAAATTAATACTTTTTGTAAAAAAACTTTGTATATTAAAAAGTTAAGGGATATGATCAAATTTGATTTAATGATATATATTAGTTTATTATAATATTTGAGAAAATTTCATTTGAATTTAAAGTAGAATAAAATCACGAAGATTAATTTTTTTATTTTGCTTTAAAATTTTATCATATCATTTTTAAAAAAACTTTATCATAAGTAGTTAGATTGAATATTTGTAATTTGATATGTTAAATGAATATATTTGATTGATGTATTTAAAAAAGTGAATTTAATATCTGTTATTTCATAAAAATATTTATATAATTAACAATGAATAGATTGAAAAAATATTTAGAATGTGATGATGATTAGGTTTTAGATATATATGATCAATTAATAGATGAGATATTATAACACCAAAATGAATAGGAGTAACTTATTTTGAATTTACGAGATCATATGTAGTTGGTTGATATTAAAAAAAAAATAAGAATCTTATAATTGATAAATGAAATCATTTGTTGTAATGATACAAATTTTAAATCACTAATATAAATTCACTTTTTAGATTTACTTAAAGAATATTTTGAACATCAAAGTAAAAGTCTTTAATCTAATTATTTGTGTTAAGAAGGTATAAATTTATATTTATCTTAAGATGAAGTTGAAGTTATTGAACTATATATGTTTGTAAATAAAATATTAGCATACTATGATACTTCCAAAATAGAAAAACCTAGATTAAGTATAATGAAACCAAAAAGTGAAGAATTCAAATTTTAATTTGAATCAAGAGCTTCAATATTTTTAAATGATTAAGAATAAAAATATGAAGAAAAAGAAATATAGACTGATGAAGATTAAGAATTGATAAAATGGAAAAATAAATGGGAATTATAGTTCCATTACAATTAAAGATTATAAAAAATAAATTCATAATTAAGAAAAGAATTAGTAGAATATTAAAAGAAATATAATCAAACATCATATATGATAGAAAAACCCCATTCTGCAATATTATTATAATAGCCTACAAAATCAAAAGAAACATTAACTATATCATTTGGATAATAATAATTATAATCTTAATCATAATAATTAATGAAGTTTGAAGATGATGAAGAAGATTAAATTATAATAAGTGATATAAATGAATCTAATGATTAAACTAATTAAATAAAATAAATATCTTCTATTTTAAAAAAGAATGAAAATGAAAATGAAAAAAAATAAAAAAAGAGAGTATAATTTGTATAAAGAAAATTAAATATTTAATGTTATAATTATTAGAATCTTCTTAATGAACTTGAATAATCAGAATTATTATGTTTAAAAAAATGTTGCTTTTCTAAATATGGAATTATTTATGATGATAGATCAATATAAATATTATTATAGTTGAGTGACTCTGTTGAATTTGAATCATGTTTAACAATATTAAATAGAACAAATGATGATATCAAATTATCTCTAATCTATAAATAACCAGTCAATATTAATCTTAGAATTAAAGATTTGATTTTAAATTCTAAAAAATCACTCAAATAGGTTATTTATAATGATAAAGATGAATTATTATAATTGTAACTTCATTATGAATTGCACCAATAAAAAATAGATAAATATATAATAATTCCAAATTTATTACATAAATACTTATAATTCAATAAATTTACAGAAACAACATATCAAAAACATATGGATGAAATAAAAAATAATGATACACATACTATGTTAATTTGTTAATGTCCTAATATTAATGTAGATGAAGATAAAATTATGAAAATAATTCCTAATTATATTCATATTAAAAACAAGTATTTAAGTAGTATGAATTATAAATCAATTTAATTTTATTGTAAAATTAAATGTGATAAGAACTCAACAGAATTTAAATTGCTTATAGATTCAAATAATGAATAATTTGGAACAAAATTACTCCAATAGCTAATATTTTTATTGATTATTTAAAAGAAATGAAATATTAATATCTATTTAGTTATATATATTATTTATATTTCAATAGTTACATCATCAATAAATAATTAAACTTCATATATATACATGTAGAGTTTTAAACTTTAAATTGATTTTCTTTATTATGTTGTTAATTAATTATTGATTTAGATATTTTTGATATTAATTTATATATTCTTATTATTTTATCATAAATCTTTTTATTGATGACTCACTAAATGACAAAATTGTATACATAGGATGGAACTGGTAGGGATTCCTATATATTTTTCAATAATGGAGGATTTTATCCTGCATAATCAAGATTTTTAGTAAACAGAATGGCAGAGTCATGTATGTAGTAAATTAATTTTGAGGGGCTTATGGATCTCCAAGTAGTGTACGTTTAGGAGGTTCAATAGAAAAAAGATAGTTTTATTTTTCTGATGGAACAGGAAGAGATACCTACATAGCAAAAACAGTGTAAAATAAAGCATAATTGTCACCAGATTTTTAGGAAACTTTAAGAAAATACAAATCATAACAAATACCAACTAAATATCCCTATAAATTGCCTCCAATTAAGTAGGCTGTTCAATATGAGAAATCAGTTAAACAACATGAATTTACAAAAAGATTAGCTGCTCCAAAAAAGCGAATAGAAGATAATGATTGATTTAAATAATAAAAAATATATATATAAAGTGGATATAAGTTACATGAAATATTTGATAATTTATATATTAAATGAGATTCAAAATTAAGGTTAATGAGAATACAAAGCATGCTGATATTTGCACTTCAGTAAAATGGGGGTTGAACAATGAAGCATATAGGTATAATGTCAATTTTGATTATTTTAGTTTGAGTGATGATTATACAATTTTGAAATGGGATCCTAATTCATTAGAGGTAAATTAAATTGTAATTAAAAGTCATCGAAATTTGTAGATTTAGAAGGATATGGCACAGACTTCGATTTCTTATAGGGATAGAGAGGATCAACAGATCTAGTAGCTATAGCATTTAGTGATGGGTCATTCATATTGTAATAAAAGACAGGAAAAGTTGAAAAGAAAGAGAAGGAAGCACATAAAGGAGCTGTAATTAATAAATTATGAAATAAATAGATTATAAGTATTAAATGGAGTGTAGATGGATCATTAGCAACTTGTGGTGAGGATGGTGCTTTAAAAATTTGGAGTAAAACAGGAATAATTAGATCAAATTTAGTATAGATAGATAAACCAATATATTGTATAGTTTGGAGTCCAGACAATGATGGTATATTGTATTGTTCTGATAAAATGATCTATATTAAACCATTATAAGCTGGTTAAAAATAAGTTTAATGGAAGGCACATGATGGTTTAGTTTTAAAGGTGGATTGGAATCATACAAATAATTTGATATTATCTTGTGGAGAAGATTGTAAATACAAAGTATTTGATACTTATGGCAGATTATTATTTGCATCTGCTCCATATGATTATGTAATAACATCAGTTGCATGGAGTCCAAATGGTGATTATTTTGCTGTAGGTGCATATGATATGTTGAGATTATGTGATAAAACAGGTTGGACTTATTCTTTTCATAAAACTAATTAAGGCAGTATTTTAAATATTGCATGGACTAGTGATGGAACAATTTGTGCAGGAGCAGCTGGAAATGGTAGTGTTATATTTGGTCATGTTGTAGAAAGATGTATTACTTATGATAAATGGGAGATTACTTTAACAGAAGATAATAAGTATATAAATAAAAATAAAAATTTTAGAATATAAATAATAGATTTAATAGATGAAATGAATAGTGAATTTGATTTTAAAGAAAGAGTAATTAATATGTCAATGAAATATAACAATCTTATTATTACAACTAGTTCACATTGTTATATATATTCATTTAGAAATTGGAATACTCCATATATATTTGATATAAGAGATTCAGTAAGTTAAATATGTTAATGTGCTAATTACTTTTGTTTAGTTGAAGTAAGTTCAGGAATTATGGTATATAATTATGAAGGAAGATTAATTAGTAATCCTAAAATATAAGGAACTAAATGTAATAATATAATAATATATTTATAGTTGAACATTTATCTCATAAAAAGATAGCTATATCTAATGATTTATTAGCATTAGTTGATGGAGGTAATAATAAAGTAGTCAAATTTTATGAAATGAATTCAGGAAAAGCATTAAATTTTACAGTTGAACATTCCTTAGAAATTCTTGAAATTAATTTAAATTAAACAGAAATGATTGGAGAAAGAAAATTAGCTTTTGTTGATTAAAATAGAGATTTACATATTACTCCTGTTCATAAAAAAGATATAGTTAAATTAGCAGCTATGACAGATTCATTTTTATGGAATGAAAAATTTGATATGTTATGTGCAATTTCTGATTAAAGATTTGTTGTCTGGTATTATCCAACATCAGTCTATGTAGATAGAGATTTATTAGAATAAGTTAAAGTAAGTAAAGAATGTACTGATCTAACCAGAAATTCATAAATTTTATCATTTTAAGATACTATGGTTTAAATTCGTAGAAAAGATGGTGCAATTATGACATAAAGTGTTTCACCATATCCTGCATTACTTTTTGAAGCTTGTGAAAGAGGAAAATGGGAAAAAGCTATTAAATTATGTAGATATGTCAAAGAACATACATTATGGGCTGCTCTTGCTGGACTTTCACTTTAATTTAAAGAATTAAATACAGCTGAAATTGCTTTAGCTGCAATTGAAGCTGCAGATAAGGTTCTATTTATTTAAAAGATAATTAATGTTGAATCAGAAAAAGCTAAAAGTGCACTATTAGCTTTATTTTTTAAAAGACCTTAAGAAGCTGAAAATATCTATACATAAGCTAAATTATATTATAGAGCAATAAAAATGAATATCAAATTATATAAGTATTATTTTTATAACCTAATTATTATAGATGGGAAAGGGCTCTTGATTTAGCACTTTAATATAATGTTCATTAAGATACTTTATTAGCATATAGATAAAAATATCTTGAATTAACAGGTTAATAAGAAACTATACCTAGATTTGAAAAGCTTGCATATGATGTATTTATATTGATTAATTTTAGATCAAAAAGTATGATTGGGTTGAAATTAAAAATAAAATTAAATAAGAAAAGGCAAGAGAACAATAATCATGAAATATTAAAACATAAATTCAATAATTCATTTATGAATGTCTTTCTATTAAAGATTATCTTTATATTTCTTAATCTTCTAGTTTATCAAATTCATTTTAGAATTAAACCTAGTATTTTCTTATTTGCTATTCCATTTCATTATTCTCAATATGTAATGATTAAACTTAATTTCTTAATTTACTATTTTCAGATTATAATTTTAAAAGCTAATCTTAATATTATTAATTTTATATTTCTTTATCTTAAATTGAATTCATTAATTTTTGTACCTCTTTTCTCTATTATTCAAATTATCTTGCATAATCAGATTTTTATTATTCTAATTCATTATAATGATTAGTAGTTTATTCATTTAATTCATCATCCTTTATTTATAATTCTTCTATAGCATTTTTATATTTTTTTTCTAAATTTTCAATTTATTATTATTTCTTTTTCCTTTCAAGTTCAATATTTTAAATTTCAGATTCATAAGAAGATATTTGATCTTAAATATTTTATATTTCTTAAATTAATTATTCATTTTAATATTACAACTCTTTAATTTAGGAATTTAATTATTAAATTTATTATTTATAATTATATTCCTTATTTAATAATAATTATGTATTATTTCTTTCTTCATCTAATTCTTAAGTTAATTATTCAATTACTTCATTTTATTATAATAAATTTTTAGATAAATTTTACATTTATTCATTTTATGATTTTTATTTAGATAATTGTTATTCAAAATTATATCTCTCCATAGATAACAAACTAATTTTTTCATTTAATTAACTTATTTCTTCATTCATTTTTTCTATTTATTCTGAATATTATTATTTTTATTATTTTATTTCTTTTTTTAATCTCTCTATTTCATTTAGATAATTTCTATTTTATTATTCAAATTCATAGATTTTTATATTTAATTAATCTATTTCATTCTATTTTTCTTATAATGCTTTATGTCTGTCATCTGTACTATTAGCTAAATTATTTTTAATATTTTTTAATTCCATAGTTAATCTAGATATGTCATCTTATTATTATTTTTCTATTTTGATTGATTTTTTTTTGTAATTTTCAAAATCACTAACATTAACTTATAATTATCTTTATAATTATTATATTTCATTATTTAATTATGAAGCATTATATGATTCATTATAATATGATTTTAATTCCTTCTCATTTTTTTCATTTATTTATTAAAGTTATTAAATTTGTTTATTACATTATTCTAATTAAAATAATAACTTATTTTTCTCTTATAAATATTCTGCATTAAATGTCAAATCTAATTAATCCTTTTTTTATCTATCAAAACTTTATCTTAATTTTTCAATTTCCTCTTTTTATTTAATTATAGTAGTTTGATATTTATCTTTCCATTCTTATATTTCTTATTAATATGTAGATAATAATAAATTAATCTATCTATTTTCACCTTCTAATTTCTAAACCTTATCATTAGTTTATTTATATAAACCATTAATTTTTTATAATTCATTCTAAGCCTTTTAATTGTTATCTCCTTATTCAAAACCTTATTAAAATGCTAATTATAAATCTCCTTAATGTTTATCATTAAGTAATTCTAATTCAGCCTTAAAATCTTTTTTCATCATATTAATTTCTTCTGTTAATCTAATATTATTTTCTTACATTAATTTCAACTAATCTTTAAAATCATTATTTTCAAGCTCTTAAATTCTAAATTATAATTCTTCAATCATTTTATCTTTGTCATCTATTATTTTCTTATACCTTTCATCTGAAGCTTTAATTTTATATTACATATTAAATATTTCAATTTAATATTACTAGATTTACTTTTCATGTTAAACATTTAATGCTGCTAATTCATTCTTCACTTTAGTTTTCAAAATATTCTCATAATGTTATGTTAATTAGTCTTACTATTATTAATGTTATTATTTCTATAACAATAATCTTTCTTCCAAAGCCTTTATTTCTTACATTTTAGTTTCCAAAACAAGATTTAGATTTTCCAACTGACGATTTGATTGTAATGATGTTTAAGATTGATAATTGAAATTACTTAATGACTTTACAGATGAAGCTTAAGGAGTCTTAATATATTCATATCTAATTATAGGTTCACTCACAGTTGAAATTGCTGATTACTTCATCTCTTTATATAAATTATCAACTCTTTATTCTGCACTTCTTCTTGTTTCCTCTAATTACATAGTTAAATCTATATTTCTATCTTCCAAAGTTTGAATTCTCCTCTTATAATCTTTCTCCATTATACCCATTTACATCTTTAACATAGCTATTTCATTTTACATATTTATTATTTTACAAAAAAATAAAATAAACTCATACTCATTTAAGAATTTCAAGTGCTTATCTGATATTCTCGCCCAAATAAGCTGAATCTTGAATCATCCTAACCTAATCGCTTAATTAATAATTTTCAAAATCAAGCAAGATGCCAGTAACTTGTGGTGCCTTAGTATAAAATATTTTTTACATTAATAGGGCCAACAACTTAGGTTACTTTTGGAAATAGCTACATTCCAATCATATCAGTAACTTACTATTTTTAGCCTCTATCAACCATAATTTATAATTAGACTAGATCTGGGATTTGTTATTGATAATAAGGTCTCTTCTATTAAGGATAACGATTTCCATTATGATGTTATCTTGGTGGTTATTATTATTAAGGAGGATATCTTTATTATTAATAATAAGGAGGAGGTGGCATTTATTATTATTGATATTATTAATATTAAGGTTAATGGAATTATCTTTAAAATGTATTTTTCTTCACTTATAATAGTGAATTCACTTCAGAAGGTGGTAAGAGAGGGGAAAGTGATATCACTCCATTAACATATAATGACACAATTTATGGATGATCATATGCATATGCTATCAATTTCTTACCATCTTCAGCTGTTTTAAAATATAAATAAGCTATTTAAGTAGGTTGTCTATTACCTAATAAATAAATAATAATAAGTAATTACCATTAGGTGGTTATTTTGATGGCATTAATTTGATATCTTCTACAGTAACCAATAAATTAAGAGCTTTTTTTAAATCTTCTTCAGTAATATCTGCTTTAAGGTTTTTAGTGAATAAATTAGCTTCAATATCTTTGTCAACATTATTGACTACCCATTCTATGTGTATTTATTAATCATTAAATAATTTATTTGATTTGACAGCTGCTTTAGCACTCTCCTAATTGACAAATTTTACAAATGCAAAAAATGTTCCATTTGTTGTATTTCTATTTAAAATCAATGATTCAACAGTTCCAAAAGATTATACAAATGACTGTAAATCAGATTTTAATTAATCTGGTGTGACATTTGGTAACACTTTAATGTTACTTATGTATACTTGATCTCTATGTTGTTTTTTAGATGTAAATCTAAAGAATAAGATTAAAAAGATACTTCTAAATTTTAAATCCTAATCTGGATTATTCTGCAATACATTTATCAGCAGACTCTTTTTTATCAAATTATATATAGGCAACACCTACTTTATCTGATTTCTATAATTTGACACTTAGAATAGTTCCAAATTAACTGAAAAGTTAACGAAGAGAAGATTAAGTCTCTTTTTTATCAATATTATCAATAAAGACATTAGCTTCATGATCCAACTGAGCTATATTTAAGTATTAACAAACATAGGGTTCTTCTCCATTGATATTAATAGATTTTTAGAGAGCAGAAGTAACTTAGAATATATAATGACAATAATTTACCACTTTGATTTTCTTTATAGATTATACATACTCCTGATCCTTGAGAGATAATTTATTCAATTTGGCCAAATTCTGAAAATATATTCTTTAATTGTTCAGTGGTTGTTTATTAAGGGTATTTTGAAACAAACAGTGTACGTTCTGCTGGGATTGATGTAGTATTCATAAAATAAAATCTTTTTATTTATTTAATTTATTTTGTTATATCATGAATATTACTTCTCTTTTTAAGTCACTTCATTCAATACTACTTCATAATTATCATTCCATCTCTAAGAACTAAATTCTTATTACACTCTACTCTAATTTCATAATCATAAATATATTACTCTTTTTTATTCATTCATAATGATCTAACTGGGTTACAGAAATCCTGATTGTTAAAATGATTATCTTTATTATACACTTGTATATTCTATAGGTCTAGATGAATAAGAACTATATTCATTTATTTTTGGTTAAATTGAACTATATTCAATAGTTTTAGTTTATTAAGTAATAGATGGATAAATTAATTTGGAATCCTATGTTATTTATTATTAAGTAGTCACTGTCTTTTGATTACTCATAACTTCACTTTTTTAATTCAAATTTTAGATTTCATAAGTATATTCTCTTTATACTGATTATCTCTCTTCTAATTAAGATTTATATTATTCTATTAATAATTATTATTCCTCATATCTTTTTTATAACCATTAATTATCTGAAGCTTAAACTAGTAATCTATCAATTTCACTTCTCAATTCAACAATCTATTAATAATTATTTATTCATACAGTTTTTTATAATCTCTTGATTTCTAATTTCAAAACTTCTGATTATTCATTATCTTAATATTCATTTAAAGTAATTTAAATAGTTTCATAACTTTATTATAATGAAACATATCTCTATTCAATTTATTCATATCTCATTTTCCATTAATTAACTTCCTCATTTATTTAATATCTTTATTTTTATTCCAATTATTCATATTTCTCTCTCCATTATTAAATCTATTATTTAAGAATCTCATTATTATCAATATTGACTTAAAAACTTTATATTCTTTATTGATAAGTAATCATTTCAGATCTATATTAATCAGACTCCAATTAAATTTATCTAATTCTATCCTCTTTTTATTATAATAAAACTTCTAATTCTCTTACCTTAAATTAATAAACTTCATATTAAGATTGTTCAGTCTTCATTTCTTCAATTCTTCTTTTCAATTAAAAAGTTAATTACTATTCCTGTTCATACTATAATTTAATATCTTATATCTATTTCTTAAGAAATACTGTTTATTCATTATTAGATTCTAATTAATATATTTTTCTAGTATATTATTCAATCTCAGCATTTGCTCTTCTTAATTATTCTTTTAGTTGTTCAATCTATATTTAATAATTTTCACTATCTGATTTTCTTGATTCAAATTAATATATTCTAGTTTAATACTATTCTATTTATATTCTTGTTGTTTCAATTTATTCTTATAACATACTACACTTAGATGTCATAGATTCTAATTATTAAGTCTTTAATTTTAATAATCTTTCTGTTTCAGGATCTGGTTAATAAACTATTTTAGTTTCATATTATATTTCCTTCTAAACAAATTTACTTTTATCTTCCAATTAATAATATTAATTTTGTAATTAATTATATCTTGATTACAATTAATTATATTAATCTATTTTGATTTATAATTATCTTTCTGTTTCAGGATCTGGTTAATATATAGTTTTAGTTTCATATTATATCTCCTTCTAAACAAATTTACTTCTATCTTCCAATTAATAATATTAATTTTGTAATTAATTATATTTTGATTACAATTAATTATATTGATCTATTTTGATTGATAATTATCTCTCTGTTTCAGGATCTGGTTAATAAATAGTTTTAGTTTCATATATTGTAGTTTATTATCTCTATTATAATGTTGTATATTAATCTTGAATTAAATTATATCTAGCATATAATTCTTCATATTATTAGATTTTCTTTTGTAACAATTTTTCTGTTTCAGGATCTGGTTAATAAATTACTTTTGTTTCATATTGTATTTCTTTTTATACAATCTTACTAGTTTCTTATAGAGTGTAATATTATGATTAAAGAAGAGTGTATCTTTATTTTAATTCTTATAATTATCTTTCTGTTTCAGGATCTGGTTGGTAGACTATTTTAGTTTCATATTGAATTTCTTTTTTAACTGTTTTAGATTATTCAGATATAGTGTAATATTATGATTATAGAAGAGTGTATCTGCTTTGTAGTTCTTTAAGTTATCTTTCAGTTTCAGGATCAGGTCTATAAATAGTAGTTACTTCTGTTTTCTTATTTTTCAATTGTGCTTCCATATTACTTAATTTATAATTCAATCTATCATTATCTTCCTTATATATTTCAATTTCTTATTTGGCATCATATAAATCTTTTTACAATTATTCTAATTCACCATCATCATTATTTCCACCTCTCAATTCAAATTAATCTTGATTTTCTTATATCTATTTGATATTTGTTTCAAGCTATTAAATTTCATTATCCTTTTAATTTAATCTATTTTTTAAATCATTTATCTCTCTTAGATACTTATCTGAATTATCAATCACTTTTGGTTTTGATAGATCCTAATAAATATGGTTTAGATATTTTTACTTATTAAATAGCCATATATTGTCTTTTCCAAATTTCAATCTCTTGACTCTTATCAACCAAAAACTTACTCATCTTATTCATTTCATCCAGTAATTATTCAATCTTTGCATCCTATTACTTTAACTAATTTCATATACAATAAATTTAGTACTTTTTAATCCTTATTCAAACAATCAGCACAATATTAGGGAATATACCTTTAAGGTGGTGGAGGAGGAGGTAATTATTTTATTGGTTGAGCAGGTTGATTATGCTTTCTCACTTTAACTATAAATTTATGTGTCATATTGGCTCCTTCAGGTAGTGTTGAGAGACCATGTAAAATCTAACCATTTTCTAACTTTCTCTAAATTTCACTTATTTCCTCAGGAGTTAGTTATTCAAGTTATTGACTAACAGCTTATCTCTAACTGTTGGGTTGCTGTTAAATTAAGTCATTCATAAATTTCATTTGAGAATTTGAAAATTAAGATGGTACAACAGTTGGTCGGTATGATGGTGCTTAAGATGGAGGAATTAAGATTGCAGAAGCAGAGCGAGGTACTGAACTTGATCGATCCATTTGTTAATTTATTTAATTAAAATGTAAAGACAAGTTTATATAAGTCCTGAGAGAATGGTCGTTGAAAAATTAGAAAAGTATCCTGCTTTAAATTCAGATCCAAATTATGATCATTGTAATGTAGTTGATAAAATAATCAATAGCACGATTTCAAGAGATTGAAGCTGAATTCAAAACCTTAGACATTGATTAAAGTGGATGGTTATCGTTGGCTGAATTGGAATTGCATCTTAAGAGAAAGGGTTGTGATCAAAATTTGATCTAAGAAATCTTTAACGAATTAAACACTAACCAAGATTAAAAGATATCAAAGGATGAATTCACACATGGTTATCTAAATAAAGAATCTAATCTAAAAGAAGATATTAAATAGATTGAAATTAAAATTAAACTTTTGAGAACCTAAGAAGAAGATATCAAATCTAAACTAACTTAAACTAATTGTTCATAACTTATAATTACATTACAATCAGGATGTTTAAGTTAATTTTATCGTTCAGAAGATGATGTTATTAAAGCTTATAAATAAATTGAAGTTATATTCCATTGCAATGAAGCTTAAGATGGCATTGAGAGAATAAGTAAACCAAGTCTAAATTGTGAATTTCCTGTTTGGGGAGATAAATTTAACTACTCTCTCAATTAAGTTTCTGAAATTACAATATCAATTGAATTAATAGAAATAGATAAATTAGATAAGCAATCATTAGGAAAAATCATTCTAAAAAAGATTTTGAATTCTGAATTTGACAAACAAGAGAAAATCATTTTTGAAAATGTTGGAGAAGTCATTCTTTAAATTCAATTTATCAAAGATTGGGTAAGAGTTATTATTTTAAATATAATAGAATGAATAAGTATCATTTTAAGTTTCATTTTATGAAAACTGTATTAACTAATATTTAGAAGAAATCAAATAAATTAAGAAGAAATTATTTTTTATGAAATAATTATATACTAATAGTAGTTCTATTCATTATAAAAGTCTTAAAATTAAGGAATCATAACCATAATCTGTTAGATTATCATAAATTTAAGAAACATCTTAAAAAAATACAAATTCCCAATTTCCATAAATTCCAATATATTTAACTCATTAAATGGTTTAAGAAGTACAAGTAACTAATTCAATAAAACCATAAAATTAATTATCTAATAGTAAAATATTTTAAGAAAATCAATTAATAAATAGTGGACAAAGTAAATAATTATATAATCCTTCAATATAATAATAAATAATTACTTAAATAGATTAAAATATAAAACCTAATTAAAATTAATTAAAATAGGCAGAATCTATTTAAATGGATTATACAATCTAAAATAATATTATAGATGCATTTAATTTATTTAATCATGATTAAACAGAATCAGATGATTTATGTTTAAATTTAGAATAATTTCCTAATGATGATAAATATAAAATGATATATGTATTAATTGGATTAATTACTTTGAATATAGCCTATTCTAGATGTGATTTTTTAGGTTTAATACTTCTTTTATTGACAATACCTTATCAGTAAAAAAAATGGAATCCTTAATAAATAAACTTTTATACAATTGGAATGATTATTTCTGCAATTATGGATATTTATTGGTATATTTCTATTCTATTATTAAGGTTATATAAATTTTTCAATTGTTTTTCTGAATCATATTAATGCAATAATTAATATGGATTTGTCTTAGCCATTTATTTATTTTGTTTTCTTGCCTTATTAGGAAAACTCTACACAACATATAAAATACGTTCTTATTAATGATGAACTTTATAATATATATATATATATATATATGGAGTAATATATATTAAATTATATAAATAAAAAACAATAATTCTATAAATACTTTAATAACCATATTGTATCATATTAATCAACTATTTTGAAAATAAAAAAATTAATTAAATATGTAAGAATAAAACATTAGATATTCACAATTTCATATTACACATCCTATTCCTGATGAGAATCATATTCAAAATGTTTTTGAATCATTCATTAATGAATATAAGAACTTTAGAATTAATGTACCAATTGGATGTATTACTGATAAATGTTCATTAAAATAAAAGGAGAGAAGTGACTTTAGTGTTTTTTGTGGAGCAGGAGGATATTTATATTTATATTTGAGAATATATGAATTTGTTTAAACTTTAAGTCCTGATTTGTAGCAATAATGTACTAAAGGATTAACTGATTAAGAATTATCAGAGTTTTATAATCCAGAGACATTTTTATCATTGGCATTATAATAATATTAGGCTTTATAACCTTAATTAAAGGCAGATGATGATATCTCATTTTTTATGAGTAACTCAACAATTTATTTATTGGGAGCTGATTTATTTTATTATTTAAAAGACTAAGAGAATTTTAAGAAATGTGTAACTGAAGTATTGAGCCATTTTGGGAATATAGTAGCTTAATCAGAAAAATATGAATAAGAATTGTTGTATGGTATACCAGGATATCTTTATTCTTTGTTATGGTTGCATAAAAAATATTCAAATGAAAAAGATCAATTTTAATTAGACTTATCTTCACATATTCATACTATTTGTTAAATAATACGTAAATTTACAGGTAATGGTATTATGAAATGTGATTTTCATAATAGATCATATTTTGGAGCAGCTCATGGAATATTGGGAGTAATTTAAATGCTTTTATTGAGTTATGAATCATGCAAAGAGTATTTTCATTTAAAAGATGAATAAGGATTACTTTAAATGTTAGAATCCATTTAAAATACATTAGATTATCTTATAAAATTGTATTATTAATATGGGAATCTTCCATCATCAGCTTAAAATGAAAAGAATTTGAAATTATATTAGTTTTGTCATGGGATACCAGGAGCTATAGCACCAATTTTAAAAGCTTATTAGATATTTAATAAATAAGATTATTTAAATGCAGCAATACATATGTGTGAAAATTTATATAAATATGGAATGATTAAGAAAGGTTATGGATTATGTCATGGGATACCTGGGAATAGTTATGGATTTATTTAATTGTATAGAATAACTGGGAGTGAAAAGTTGAGACAATATGCTTTCTAATTTTTATAATATAAGAAGAATCCTCATATATATAATGAAATAAAGAATTTTCCATTTAAAGATAGATATAATATTGGAATTTCTGATAATCCTTTTAGTTTGATGATGGGAAGTATTGGTGATATGTGTGCAATGATGGATTTCATAAATTATAAAAGAATGCCAGGATATGAAATTTGATTGTTGTATATTTATATAATCATTCATATAGAACTCTCACATTTATAGTTTTATGTTTATCATAGGCTTATAGTGTTGTTTTTTCATCAATTAATTTTTCATCTATTAAATTTTAAAATGTCTTTTCTAAAATGTGAGCAAATCCTTATTTCCTTCTAATGTTATTTGTTATCAATGTTTATCCCTTACTATATAATTCAATATCTGGTGGTAATAATGTCAATAAAATAGAAATATTATCAGTTCTTTTTACTGTAATTTCTAAAGATTAGATAGAACATTCAGTACATTCTTCTAATCTTTCTTGTTATATTACATTAATACCTATTCCTGTTTAATGATTTTAACCATACCATTGAATATAATTATTTAATTGACTACCATTACCAGTTAATATTTTAATGCATTCAACTGTGCATATTGATGCAATAATAGCATTAGTTGAAGCAACAGCAGGGATTATATTCTTAACAACTCCTAAAGTCAATTTATATGTGACTCCTTAAATATTAAATTATTAAGCTCTTTCAAGTGCTCTTTGATAAATCCAATTAATATGATCAAAATTATCTTTGTCCAATTTAAGATCAGATTATTCTTTAGACCATAATACTTCATAAGCATAAGCTATGCAATGTTCAGGTATTCTTGGAGTGGAAGCAATTGTACACATTTAAAATTGTATTTATTTAGGTAGTTAACTTAGTGTACATTCATAACAAGCTGTTTCAAAAGGGGAGATGACTCTAGCTTATCCATTTAATCCTTCTGTTCCTCCATCTATTAAATAATGACGACTTTCATCAATAACTTTATCATTTTCATCTCTTTACACCATTTGAATAACAACTCTATTAATCCATCTCCTGGCTTCAATATTATCTAGACCAGCAATTATTACTGGGAATTCTTAATAAAAATTAATGGGAAATTCTTATATCTATGAATTACATTTAAATAGTTACTTTTTTTGTATAAGGTATCACTTTACAAGAAGGAATTCTTTTCATAATGAATTCTGCAGCTACTTCTGCCTTATATTTACCAACATCTTTCATTCTAAATAAAAATTATCTATTTAAATTTGTTAAATCTATTGTGTCTAAATCAATAACATGGATCTCTTTTATCCCACTAAGTGCCAATGACTTAAGAATTTCACAACCCAAACCTCCAGCTCCTATAACTAATATTTTTTAGATTGCTAATTCATCTATCATCTATTATCCATGACATTCATTGTATATGTCTGTTGATAATGGACTGTATGTATTTAAGATAGAATTCATTAATTTATTAAAATTAAGTAAAACTTATCATTTGATCTATTTCCTTAACAATTAGTATTTTCTTATACAAAACATAGACTCAACTCCTGCATCATTTATTTTATGTCTATATGTAAAAGAATTTGCAGAATAATGTGTTATTATAGCTGCTTAATATTCAGAATTGTTGTTTCTCCTTCTAAGTATCTTTTATGGTTAAGTAGATTCAATTTAGCCTTTTCCATTGATACAGAAATTTAATTGTTCAGATTACTTCTTAACAAGAGGGGAGAGAATCTATTTTTTTGAATTAGGTTGAGAGAGCACAAATGTTCTTCTGGCATCCACAGTAATAGATTTAAGTCTGAGTTTTTGAACAATAGATCGATGCTTTTATTTGATGATGGGCGAATATGAATGATGGTATTAATTCATTATTAATATTAATCTATGGTTTTTCATATTTATCAAATCTTATCACCAGCAGCTTATCTTAAGGCAAGCTATTCTCTAAGAGTTCTTAAAGCTTTATTGACTAAACCAATAGTATCAGAAACAACTTATCTATCTGAATCTCTATTATTAATTATTTAATTAAATACCTAGCAGATCTAGCATCAGCATAATCTTTAGCAGCTTCTTCACATTAAGTCCATCTATCGGTTCTTCTTTCATGAAGTAAATCAAGTCTTTAATTGGTGTTATCCAATGAGGCTTCAACTTATCTAATTATATCTGAAACACTTGCAAAATCAGATTCAGCATTTGCTAATTCAGATCCAGCTACTGTGAGTGCAATAACCAAAAGTTTTCTTGTTTTGTTATAAGCTTCTACTCTCTTGTCTTCTGCAAATCTTTGTAAACTTAATGAATCACTAACTTCATTAATTAATTTGTCAAATAAATCAATAACTCTAAAAAATATAATTAGAATATTCTTACTTTTAAATTGTGCTGTCATCAAACTTGGCTTTGCTTGCAATTTGACTCAATAATTTCATAATTGGAACATATCTTAACATATGTTTTGAATGTGATAATTTTCTTTATGATTCCTTGATATGTTTTTAGAATAATGAAATATGTTCTTATGATAATTCTTTAACTTATTAGGTTGCTTTCTTTTAAACTAATGATGAAGTAGCTTCAACATTTGCTTTAATAATATTTCTTGCTTCAGTCAAAACAGCAATAGCTGTATTGTGATCAGCAGCAATTTCTTCAAATTCTGCATGTTAAGCAGCTCTATCAGCATCTAATTCATCAATTTCTTTTTGATATCCTAAAATAATTAGAATTTAATTTAATACCCTTGACTTCTGCTTTCTTTGCTGTGACTAATCCTGAAATAATTGCTCTTCTTGGGTATAAATCACCTTCAAGTCTAGCTTCAAGAGAGATTCTCTCAGAATCAGTGTTAGCAATGTCTTTATCATAAGCTGATATATCGACATTGCATGAATCTTAGAATTCTCTATTTTCAGCATCATCTTCTCTTTATTCTTATTAATATCTATCTTCCAAGTCTGAAAGAGTATTTAATAATCTGTCTAAAGGATCTCCTGTTTCTAATTAAAGATAGATTGTGTCGAATAAAGTTCTTCCAAATGGTGTGGCATCAATTCTATGAATCAATTAGATGTATTCAGTTTCTGTTGTAGCAAATGCTGCACAGGCAAGAACTAATAACAATATCGTTTTCATTAAATAAAATATTATCTTCCTATATTCTCATTGTGATCATTCATCAATTAGCCGTTTTGAATTTAATTGCATATTATCATACACAAACGGATTACAAAATAAATATATTTAAATATTCTTATCATCTAAAGTATTGGTTCATCACTTTTTACAATAATAAACCATTACTCTTTTACTTCTCTTCTTATTAAATCAATTTTCTTAATTATTTTGAAACCATCACAATTAAAATTTTTCTAATTTTCTCTATAAAACTTCATCTTATATATATATATCAAACAGCATTATACTTATACTAATTCAATAATTAATATATAAATATATTTAAAACATCAGAAATTTCAATAGAATAAAACAAAAGATTGATCTGGGAAATGATTAGAACCAATTAATATACTAATAAATTTTTTATATTAGAAAAAATTCTTTCGATGCAATAATCAAAAGAAGAACATTATTTAGCACTGTTAAAAACATTTATGGAATCATAAAGTGATTTAATTACTAATATTAAGGAATTAATCAAAGAAAAGGATGTAGATTTAGAAGGCTTCAAAAAATAAATTTTAAATCTCTTATAATTAGATTTTTAAGGATAAAAGTTATTATATACAGCCCAAATGAGAATCACTAATGAGCTTAAAGAATTTAACTCTAAAAAATTACCACATATTAAAGTATACAAACTTAAATATGATGATTGTCTGCTAAACCATATATTAATTATAATAATGAAAGGCAAAAATGGAACCCCTTATCAAGATGGCAATTATAGCTTTATATTGAAGTTCCCTGAGAACTTTCCATTTGCAGCTCCATCATTTAAATCACTTATTCCAATTAAACATCCCCATATCTATCCTAATTAGAGATTATGTACTCCAACAATCAATGAATATTATGAAATTCAATAGTACAGTTTATTAGAATTGCTCTAATCATGGTATGAGATTTTACACAGAGAACCTAATATGTTATCTTTAGCAAATAGTGAAGCAGCTGAACATTATGATGATGAATTCATTAAATTATAGGCTCAATTCTTATCCAATGATAATCCTATTTTGAAATTGTTTAAAATTTATGATCAAGAAGAAGATGAAGTAGAAGACTATGTTATGAGCTTTTGAAATTTTATCAAAATTTGTATCGATAGTTTTATATTTTTATATTTTTGATATATATTACCATTCACCTTTCTAATTATTTACAGATTACAGATAATATCTAATTCTAGAAGTGTATATAAGATTTTATTATATGAATAATTGTATTCGTTTTTTGAAAAAACATTATTAAAAATAAAATAATGAAGCACATTCTTGTATTGGCTTTGATCGCATTCACATATGCTACAACCTTAACAGAAATTTCAGAAAGACTTTCTTAATATGGAGATCATCCCTTTGGAAAGTCTATGGTCAATTTGGTTACAGTTAATATGAAAACTGGTGGTTCCCTTAATGAATTGAAATAACTCTTATAATAAATTAAAGATGAATTGATTGCTCTAACTTAATTACAAGATTCAGAAAATGGCACTTTCACTCGTAGAAGTCAAGTTGATTTGGCTAAATTATAAGCTACACTTGAATAAGCATAAGCTGATTTAGACAATCAAAGATAAGAATAATCAAGTTTAAGCAACGAATTAGCTACTCTTTAAACTAGAGTAAAAGAGGGTATAAATATTATTATTATATTTGCAGATTAAGCCGCTTTGGATAGAAACAGTAGAGGAAGTGGTGATGCTCAATCTAGACTTGATGCTGAAAATGCTGATTTTGCTACAAAATATTCTGATTATAATGATGCCATCTTAGCTTGTAAGGAAGCATAAAGATTATTAATGAACTTAAGAGGTGAAGGAGCATCTTTAATTTAACTTACGTATATCATTTTTAATTATAAATTTAGTTAAGATACTAAAAGTAATCTTATTTAAACCAAAGAGAATTTCTAAAAGATCAAAGAAATATTGGAAGCTCATACAAAAAAGAGTTCTTTAACACTTTTTTAACCAATCATTGAAGGACTAGCTGAAATGACAACAAAAGTTAATCCAGAAACTTTGAACAATGTTCTTAGTTTAGTAGCTCGTTTGATTACAGCACTTTAAGAAGGTTAAGATTAATTAGAGTCTAATCATAAAACTCAAGTAAATATATTTAATTAATATTTAATAGGTTGAAAATTTAACAAGATTGGGTGATGATTTAAGAAATGAAAAATAAACTTTATAGGTTTCTTTGGCTACTGCTAATAATAGACTTAAAGAAATTTAATCAAGATTAAATGAATTAGATGGATTAATTAATATTTCAAATGCTTTGGTTGAGGTTACATAATTAAACATTTAAGATGCCATTAAGATTAATGAATTAGAAGATGCAGAATACAGTAATTAAAAAGTTAGCAGGTATATAATATTATACTATTTTTAATAGATAAACTGAAATCGATATAGTTGATAGATTAATTGAATACATCAATTAAAAATTATCAGAGTGATTAGATACAATTATATCAAAAATATCATTATTATTATATAATGCTATTTAAATAAGAAATTAAAGTTATTAAAAAAATAAATCAAGTTAACATTTCAATATTGTTACATGATAATAATTTTTAACCAGGTCCCTGAATTGGAAGATGAACTAGAGAAACTTAAAAATCATCATCAGTATCATCTAATTCAGATTCTTCATAAAAAATATTTAAAAGAGTTTCTCTTTTTACAAATCCTGAATTTTCCTCTTTTATTTTTTTATAACATTAAGTGATATCATTTTTGGATAATTAAATATCTATGTTTTACAATATTTATTCGAATTTATCAAAGCTAATTTCTTAGTCTTATGAAATTTCATACTAAATAATTATTAAATAATATTACCTTATTAAATAATTGTATAATTGAAATTGAATTTAATCTTATTTAAATAATAAGGGCATTCAAAATATTATCAACTCTAAATTAATCTTGTTATATTGGATTTGGTGAACTTATATCTTTAACTTAACATTATATTGTCTATCAAAATCATAGATTTATTTAATTACTTAAATTTAACCCAACCAAAATAATACACATTATAAAGGTATAGATTCTGTATTATAATGATTCAATTGATCAAAAATCAATCCAGCATCTTCTGATGTAAATTATTAATCAATTAAATTTAATAATAATTCGAGATCATTAATTTTAAGTTGATTTGGTATTGCAATATTTACTATTAATTAATTTATATTAATTTTTCTGATTTTAATGATATTTTTTATTTTTATGATAATTTAATGAAAATTATGATCTAATTTTGTAATTGGATTTTATCTAAATATGTTATGACTATAAATATCGATCCAATCTATTCTTTCTTTTTCATTTATTTCTAAACATTTCTTAATAAATTATTTGCTTTTATCACTAATTATTGGTTACTTTGGAAATTCTAGAGGTTGCTCATAAATGTTTTTCAAAAGCTTAGAAGATGTTTCATTAAACCAAGGAGCTATTTATTATTAAATTTATTACTTTTACCATATAAGCATTCATAAAATAAGATTCCTATTGACCAAATATCACATTTACTTGTATAATTAGTATTTTATTAAACTTAAGGACTCATATATAAAGGTGTCCCAACACGTGAATTTAACATTCGCTGTTTAGACAATTAAGTAGCCATCCCAAAATCTCCAAGTTTAAATATTCCATTACTATTTAAAATGTTTTCTGGTTTTATATCTCTATGTACAATACCATTTTTTAATAATATTTAGTATCCAGAAAGAATATCATGTAGAATTTTTAGTGCCTCCTATTCTTCCAGTCGTTTTTATTTCAAAATCTTTCTCAAATCCCCTTATTTACAATATTCTTATATTAGATAATAGTTTGACTGACTTTCACAAACATCAAACAATCTAACTATATTTTTTGAATGAAGTTTTTTCAAAATTGTCATTTCATTCACTAAAGCCTTCTGTGAATTTGATTCTCTTAAAGTAGAAATATATGATACCCTGCTAAATTTGCCTTTTTGACAATTTTTATGGCTACCTCTGTTTTAGTACTTTAATTGATTCCTCTGTAAACACAACCAAAACTACCCTTTCCTATTATATGACCTGTGTTAAAGAAATAATTTTCAATGCTCTTATCCTAATACATTTACAGATATTTTACTATTTATAATATACAAAAATAACAAAAGTATATTAGATTTGAGAAACAATTAGAACGGATTAAATAAAAAGACATGCACCCATTCTCCTTAACTGTATTATAAAATTATTAATGTAATAGAACCTATAAAACTACTATAAATGGTTTGATTTTATGGTTTATTATAAAATAACACCCTTAGCTTTATTACGTAATTAATGTACTTTGTGCATCGATAAATAAAATAGAAATAATAGATTTAAAAAATATTTATTATTTTTTTGTTATTTATACCTGTCTCGATATTACATACCTATTTTATGTAATTCTGCCCAATAACCCAATTTTAATAACTGTCATTCTCGATAATTTCATGTCATAAATTAAATCATAATTGTTAATTAATAAAAATTTATTTTATTAATTAGCATTGTAATTTTTTATTATTATTTAATTAATCAGTATATTAAAATATTTAGAACATACTATTCAATAACAAAAATAATTTTATATATGTAAATTTCTATGTTATTTAATATAGATATCTATAAATGTATTATATTTTGAACTCAATTCAAAATGAAATGTAATTTTAAAGTATTAAAATTTATTCATTTATAGAGATTTAATAATAATTGAAAACATTTAAAATTATTGAATTCTTATAGTGAATACCAATATATCTAGGTTTCACTTTCATGATAAATATTTTAATAATATCTTATATTATATTATAAAGTATTAAAATTTCATTTGTTTTTATAATTATTTTAATAAATATCTATAAACATAATTCTATAAATAAATTATGAATTAATAAATAAAATTTTAGAATGATTAGAGATGATTTGATAATTTCAGATCTGATTTGTAAATTTGTTAAGACAAATTCTCATTAAAAAAATGAACCTGATATGGAAGAAACTAAGGATGGTGGTAATACAAATTCTTCTGATCCTGAAGAGGAAGTTAGTGAAAATTAATCAAGTATAATTCATGATTCATGGGAATCGGCTTCATTTTCAAGTTCAATTTAATTTACAGATTACTATACAATTGAAGATGAGAACAATTTGATTAGTAGTAGTTAAAATTCAGATTCTTCCAGCTCTAGTTCAAGTTCAAGTTCGAGTTAGACATCTGAGAGTGAAGATGATGAAGAAAGAAAAGAAAACTTGTCTGTGTCAAATTCTGAATGATATATATATTATTTTATCAGCTTTTATCATGCAAAAACAGATTTATTATCTGTAGATGGTACTCATTTCCAGCAAAAAATAATTGCTATGGATTATACAGTATATTGATGTGTATATATTATGCTTATCAAAGTTAAATTATCATTGAAAATATCAAATTAGATTTTATTTGAAGTGTTATTAATGTGCATGTGCATCATTATTTTAAAATCCATTTGATTAAATAGAAAGTGTTTAAGTTATAGATATAAGATGATTTATTTAAATTTGATGATGATTAGAAATCACATGATTATTACAATAGTATATTAAATGTGTCTCTGACCAATATTTGAGCAGCATCCTATTATAAATTTTTTAATTTTTAATTTATGAAAGGAGGAGCAGCTGTTTAATCAATTGTTGTGATTGATAAGATATAAATATTATTGAATAAGATTTTTGCATATAGCAATTTAGCAGAGAGTAAGGGATAAGGGATTTGTCCTAATATTTTTATAAGGTAAATATTTTATATAGTATATTAGGTAGTAAGATATAATTGAGAATTTAGTTATTCTGTAAAGAATGGGGGTGAATGATGAGATATTTGTAATGGGATTGTTTTTGGTTGATCGTCTAACAGCAAAGAATAAGTTTTATCTTAACCGAAGAAATATTTACAAGTACCTAGTAACATTTATGTTTGGAAAGCCTTCTAATGACAGCCATAATTCTGAGTCTCAAGATGTACGATGATAACCAAATAGTTTAAAATATCTATCCAATCATATTTGAAACCAATAGAGAGGTTCTTAACAAAATGGAAAAAAAATTCTTGAAGTTGATACAATATTAACTCTATGTTAAAACAGAGGACTTTTTCAATTACAGAGCACGGTTACTAAAATTAAAAGAATGATGGTTTGCACAAAACATAACAACTCCAATTTAGAAACATAAATTATATAATATTTCATTTAATATATTCACTTAATTATTCTTAATTTTTTATACGAATTTCCAATACTTTTAAATAACTTTCCATATTTTATGTGCCTCTGCTAATTGCTTTAATATGTTCTGTATGAGCCTCTATTAATCCTTCAAATTCCACATATTTCATGTCTAATTTATTGATTTAATTAATAATATCATCAACTTCTTGATCTAATGCCACTAATTAATTAATAGTTTCCTTTTATTAATCATTTAATGCCTTCTCAAGAACATTTACAATTTCTTCAGGATTCTTATCTAGATTAATGATATAAATAATAAACTAAACTTGCTATATTGAATTATTATTCTAATGATTAAAGTGTTTCAGGGTTCATAAATGTAATATTTATATATTTATCGTTTTTTAATTGGATGATTAAATAAGTTATATGGACATGTCTATTATTAGCATGTATAGCAGTAGAAGATGGCCGTTATTTTGAATATATGGAAGTAAACATTAATATAAATGATAACAATAGATAGATAGAGATGAATTTGGAAAGACTTTAATTGATACATTAGAAATCAATATATCAGGTGGATAATCATTAGAGAAAGTAGTTGATTTAATGCGTAATTTGGAAGGTTAAATAGACAATGAATAAAAGGATGATGACATTTCTAATCAATAATTTTAAAAGAAATGTGATGAAGTATATATCAATTTTATATATAGGATTTAACTAATTAAGAGAGTGAGATCAATTAAACATAATTAGCAATTGTTGAGAAATAAGGTAAGTTAGATGAATAGAAAAATGCTTAATAAAGAAAGAAATAAATAGCTAATGCAAAGGATTAATGGTTGAAATAAATATAAGAATTGATATCTTAGAAATAAACAATAAGAAATTAAGAATAAGATAGATATGAGTAAGAGATGAATGAAAATTCATATGTTATTTCTGTAATTTCTGAAGTCAAAAAGAAATTTACTTTAAATGGAATCAATTTAATATAAATTAATAATCATGAGGCATTAATGGATGATTTAGAAAATGCTGTAGATGAAAGTAGAAATTTTAGATAGAATACAAGATATTAAGAATTATTTGGATTATTTGTTTAAGTTGCAGCCAAGGTTAAAAATGAGGGTGCAGATAAATTGAAATCTTTATGTGATGAATTATTAATCAATGTTTCAGACAATATGTCATTAATAAGAAAATAAGAAGATAAAAGAAGGGAAATATTTGAAAAAGAGATTTCATCTTTACAAAAAGATTTACAATTAGTATAAAGTGATAAATCTATGATTGATGCAGGATTAGAATAATTAGAGAATTAAATCTCTATGGGATAAAATGATTTAACAGATTATAATGCTAGAATTGAAAGCAAAAAATAAACTAAAGAAGATAGAAGAAAAGAATGTTCTTAGGCTGCTTATGAATACAAATAGAGTAGAGAATAAAATGATAGAAAGAGATAATTAGTTTCTTAAGTTATAGGATTATTTAGTGCAAATTAAAGAGAATTTAAAGAATATTTGAGAATTAGAAACGATTGAGATTTATATGTCTTAAATATTTTACAATTTTAATAAATACTAATGTATATTTATATATAGTTAATATCTGAATATTATTCTTAAATTTTACAGATAAATTTTAAATATATATGATATTAAATAACTATAGAAAAAATATTGATAAGTATATGATCTAAATGCTCAAATATTAAATTCATAAAATAATTAATAAATTACATTAGATGTATTTCATAGCGTCATTCATTTAAATTATAATGAAACTCTCAGAACTTTAACTATTTATAAGCCTATCTTAATGAATAAGTTTTATAACCTTATATTCAATAATTATATATAATATTTAAAAGATATTATTCAAAAGTTTTAAAAATATCTAAAAATTCAATTAAAAAATAATTATACTATGAAAACAAACATAACCTATATATTCTCTAAGACAATGAAGTTTTATTAATTTAGAATTGTTTGAGATTAATAAAATAAAAAATACAGAGTCATATATAAAGTATGAAGACAAAATTTATAAAATTACTCTGCTTAATCTGGTATATGATAGTAAAATAAGCAATAATAAATTGAATATTCATAATTATTAATTTATCTATTTAAGATGATTATAAACAATTCTAACTATTTGCTAATGGGATTATGTTCAAAAGATCTAATATATTGTGTACTTAATCAATCTAAAATTCCTGCAATCATAAATTTGATTGTTTTAACTATTCTAATAAGTAAATAATCTTCTCTTTATTTAAGTTTAACAATTATTGAAGATCAAATTTAGAATATCTCATTCTGAAATCATACTCTCATTTATTTATAACATAATATCCATAACTTTATTTGGAACTTCATCCATATGGTAAGCTTATTATGTGATGAGCATATTTCAAAGAGTCGATTATTATTTTCTTGCTTCTTTCCCCATTATAATTTACTAATTAGTACTAGAAATAATTGAATTTTAAGTAATTGAACCAAAGACACTTGGCTTTTAAATTTCGTCAGCTTCTATTATCATTCTATATTAGTTTTATAGTTTTTTCTAATAAAATGATATAACCTCAGTTGCAGAATCAGTTATCATTAAGTAATTGTTGGAAAATAGTTATATAAAGGTCTTCACTAAAAATTTAGAAGATTTAACACCAAATATATTATTTAGATAGGATTAGCAAACTTCTGGTTAAACGATTTTTACAACTAGAAATAAATCAGAAAATTTGGAATTAATACCCAATTCAGTGAACAAAGAACTAAAAATTAAGAGTTTTCTTAATAGTGATTAACATTAAGAGGAATCATTAGATTCAGAAATAGATAGTCCAAATAAATATCAAAGTTATAAAGATTTGAAGGATCTTATCACTAATTTTATTTTGAATAAGTAAACTTAAAGTTAAGACAAATTAATTATAGCTTCTGAAATTGACATAGATTCTGGTAAGAAATAAAAGTATAAGGTTATTATAAATACATAAATATAAAAATACTACATTATAGCCTTTATTAAGATTGATTCTGCTATTGTAAGAAAATAACATAATTCTATAGCAAAATTTAAAACAAGATTGGCTAATAACTTTACTCATAAATTAAAAACATCTCTTAATGCAACATTAGCATATTTATCTAATGCTATTAATGATAGAAAGGTAGATAATAATGTATTATAATCTTATATTCATCCATCATACATACATTCAAAAATTTAATTATATTAAGTATAAGATTTACTTGATTATCTTAATAAAGATTAAGATTAAATTGGATTGTAAGTAACTAAATTTAATTTACAATAATCCTTAAGTTAAATATATGAATTTATTGAATACTAATGTAAAGTTAAAAATATTACTATTAAATTTTTGATAAATGGTTGTGATTGGAAATTGCAAGAAAGGTATCTATTTATTATTATTATGATATTAGTTAATTTTATCTTTATTCAGATTGTCAAAAATTTGAAAGAGTTTTATTTAATTTAATTAATAATTCTTATAGATTTGCTCCTTTGAATGGAGAATTAACAATTGATTTAATGTATGATTCTGGAAATAATAAATTACATGTTAAAATAAATGATAGTGGAGAAGGAATATAAGAAGATTAAGTTAATTTAATAAATACCCAAGCATAATTACAAAATAAATATAATATTACTAATAAATATGTATCTACTAAAAACAAATCTAAATTTGGATTAACCTTATAGATTACTAATAGATTGATATATATGCTAAGTGATTCAAATTGTTCATTATAAGTTAAAAATGATAAACAATAAGGAGGTTGTAGTTTTGAATTCTTTATTATTATTAATTCTACATCTAGAGAAGGATCATTAGAATAGATTAAATACTCTAATTAAATTAAAGAGTCTAAATAATCATCAATCAAATAATTAAATAAAATAAATCGTTCATCAAAATCTTCTTCTTAAAGATCTATTTTGACTAAGAATTAATTATTAGATCCTATTGAAGAAGAACCTAAACCTTTAAAGCCTAAATAATCTAAAGCATATTAAATTCATGAATAAAAATAATAGAATAATTAAATAAAGAGACCTACATTATCTGGAATAAGAGATTTATAACTATCTCATGTAATAGATACAATAAATTAAACTGGAACACCACATAATCAAGATAATCGTTATATATTGATAGTTGATGATGAACCATTTAATCATAATACATTAACTTTAATGCTTCAAAAATTAGGTCACAAATAATTTTTATATTGTTTTAATGGATAAGAAAGTATTGATAAAGTTAAGTAAAATCCTTTATGTATAAAAACTATTTTTATGGATTTAGATATGCCAATTATGGGTGGATTACAAGTAAATTATATTGATATATTAAACAGGCCACTTAAATATTGATTAAAATGATGACTGAAGGAAAGATAGATTATATTCCAATTATTGGTTGCACTGCTCATGATGATTTTGAGACATAAATAAAATGTCTTAAAGTTGGTATGGCACATGTAGTAACTAAACCTGTTTTTATTAAGAGTTTATAAGAAGCTTATAGATAGATTAGAGATGAACATTTATTATAAGAACATCGTAGTGTTTAAATTTCAAATTCATTAGATAAATATTGAAATTTACACTCTTTTTTATATTCTTTCTTATGAAAAATTAACATATTAGTTAATTAGAACATTGTAATTATATTTTAATAAATCAATCTTCAATATTAATAAAAACTGTTTTTAATTCTCCAAATTTATTTATTTAGTTCATGTATTTTTAATTTATTTCAATATTATTGTTATAGATGTCATAAATAGGACATGACATTATTATAGGATGCTTAAATGAAAATTTGATATTAATCCTAATTAGCGGAATCCTCTTCTTTTTTACTATACGTATTCTATTTAAACATTATAAATAGTCATTTACCTGAAAATTATTAAATACAATTAATTCATTTACCTCTCCTAAGCTATTAAGTTTTGTTTTATTATATATAGAGCCTATTTTTACGGTTCTGCTTAACTTTGGTCTTCATTTTAATTACTTTATCAAAATTCAAAAGGAAATAATAAGTAGTAATTAGTTTGTTACATTTTATCGCTACTCACATTTGTGTTTGTATATAGTTTACGATATGATGGTTTTTTAAAATTAAGTATGGCCAGTGAAATATTCTAATGTTTATGTTATATGATTTACATTGTATATTCAAAGAAAAACAATTAAGAAAATTTAAATATGATGCAAGAGATGTTGCTGAACGAAATTTAAAAAAATTGCTTTTTAAAAATTTTTGATAAAAATAGATAATTAATACTTACTTATCCAATAACAAGTGAAATACAAAAATTATAATATCTTGAAAATAATTACAAAGTTTATATAGATTAAGAAATAAGCAGTTCCCCTTCTAATTAAAGATCATTTAATAGAATACAAACCTTTCATACAACAGAAGATTTTTTAATTTATTTAGAAACTGAGGATAATATTGATAGTTTACACTTTAATTGGTATTTGGCAACAATAATTGATTAATAAACAAAGATAAAAATGAAATATCGTGTTACTTAATAAAAAATTAAAGATGAATCTATTGTCCTATATTTTATAAGAATTGATCCTACTATCTAAAAGAAATTAAATGGGAAATTTTTACAATTAAAAAAGGACATTTCCAATATTTTTACTCATAAATTGAAAACTCCTTTGAATGCTGTCTTAGGACATTTGACATAAGCATATGATGATCATGATGTAAATACTAAGATTTAAAATTACTACATTAAACCTGCTTATATAAATTCGAAATTATAATTATTTTAAATTTAGGATTTGCTTGAATATCTAAATTCAGATTAAGAAACATCTTCTTTGTAAATATGTAAAATCAATTTAAAAACTCTCTTTAATTCATTATAAGAATTGATACAATAGTAATGTACTATGAAAAATATACATCTATAATTCACTATAAATGAAATGAAGTAGAGTAAAATGGATAAGTAAATAATGTTCAAATTAATTTAGTATCTGTATTTATTCTGATGTTTTAAAACTTGAAAGAGTCCTATTCAATTTATTAAATTTATCTTATAGAAACACTACTTAAAATGGGATTATTTCTTTAAATATAACTATAGATAAAGAAACAGAAGAAGCCTCATTTATAATATCAGATATGGGATTAGAATTGACTTAAGAAGAAATATAGGATATTAATTAACATATTGTTTGTCTTAATTTATTCAAGGTTTCTAAAAAGAAATCTCATTATTAATAAGAGATGTTAACAACTCTATCATTAACTAACAAATTGATTAAATCTTTAAATTAATTCAATAACTAATCGTTAGAATTATTTTAAACTTAAAATAATGGTATTGTATATAAATTTAAAATTAATATCAATAGAGAAAGATCAGCTGATAATTCTCTTGAATAATATAGAATTGGATATATATTAAAATAAAGAAGTTGTAGGTTACTTCATACTCATCATAACATCTCATAAAAATCAATATTTTCTGGATAAGAATTAAGTGTTCCAATTATTGAAGATTCAATTGATGAACCTTCTGCAAATACTCCTATAATTGTAAAAATTAATTAACCATCAAAAATAAGTTAATAGTAGAGATAAAAGTAGTATCAACCATAATAACTATCTTTAACATAAATTGATTAAACAAAATCAATACTGATTGTTGATGATGAACCATTTAATCATGATACATTAATATTGATGTTAAAATCTCTTGGATTCTAGAGTTTTTTTAAAGCTTTTGATGGTTAATAAGCAATTAATATAGCTTTTGCAAAATAGAATGAAATTTAAGTTGTGTTTATGGATCTTGATATGCCAATTATGGGTGGTATAGAAGCAACTAAATATTTAATATAAGAGATGATTAAACTTACTTTACCATATTTTCCTATAATTGGTTGTACTGCTCATGGAGATGCTGATTCAATAGAATAATGCATATAAGCTGGTATGCTTCATGTGGTTATAAAGCCTGTATTTATAAAGACTTTGAGGGAAACTTTCAATTTGATTTCAGATCATCCTTAAAAGACTTACAATCGTATTGGATCATTGTAATTTTGATGAAAAAACAAAAGTGTATTATAATATAATAAATTCATCATAAAAAATGGCCCCCATTACTTTTTTATAATCCATATCTGTCTGTTATCATTCTACTATGTAATTTTGATTCTCTTTGATCAGTAAATAATAAAATTGATCCAGAACAATTTATACCTTGTTTTTAATCTTTTGATTTAAAAAGGGGATCATGAGATTTAAAGAGATGATCAGGACTTTATATTTAAATTACTGATTCATCTTATTATAAATCCAAAAAGTTCTTTTTTCTTTAAGATTAAATGGATTCTTTAAGTGTTCTAGCAATTTTTTTAAATTTAATTGAAGATGCATTAATTTATTTTGAAGAAAAGATATCTTTACAAAATGGTAATCTTATAAGAAGAGGGAATTTTAATTTTATATAATCTTTAATTTTGTTAATTAGAATTTGATTTTTGTAAGTATATTCTTAAATAATTTTGCTAAAGATATAATATAAAAATGTGCAATTGACTTCCAAAATAATAACATAGAATATGTAGATATAATTTCTCATAACAGTTTATAACATTTAATATGAGGATGCTCCTAAAACAACACTAATTGATAATACTTTTGATCCAAAATCTTCCATTTAATTTAAATTCTTAGTTTTAAAAGGTTAATATGATTTTGTTAATTATTAATATCCTTGAATCAATAAAAATACCATTGTAGCTTTAAGTACTATATATTGATCAAATAAAGTAATTATAATAATAACTAAATTCTTCATTCCCAATCTTACTATCTCCCAAAAATAAGCATTTTCATTAAATTCAGAAAATAAATATCCCCAAGTTGATTTAATTTTATTTAAGTTATTTTTATTTTTATAGATTTTCATAAACATTAGAAATGGAATTATAATAGATAATGTAAATAAAATTGGAAAAGCCATTAGAGAGGAAATATAGAAATTTTTATCATATCTATAAGAAACATCACCAATTACCCAATAATATCCTGAAATCTAACGAAATCCTAATATTGATATCAAAACTCCAATCATACTTGGTTACATAGTAACGAAAGTTTAAAGTAAAATGATAGCTGATACACTTTATTTATAGTTTTATTTTCTTGCCATTATTATAAACACATATATGAAAAATACGAAACATAAATATAAGAGTGGTGCCAATATAATCCAAATTATTCGTGAATGTAAAATATCTATAGGTAATGTCATTAAAAAACAATCAATAGAATTTTCTAAAGATTTTGTTGGAGAACCTACACTACTTATTGCTATACTTACCAAATTTGGAAATTATAATTAAAAAGTAGTTAAAGTAGATATTATTTATAAATAATGGAACATCATCTTATACATAGAACTTGATTCTTATTATTCTGAATAAGTTTTCAATCCTCCTCTTTTCAATTTAGTTCTTAATAATTCCAATTTCAAATTCTCTAATGAACTATTTACTGATATTACCATTGAAATCATTGTCCATAAACCTACAATTAATAAAGATAAGTAAGCAAGATTTGAATCTTAACATTAAAAGCAATTCATATTTGATTTAAAAAATAATCCTTATCCCCTAATATCATAAATATCACAAGTTTCACATAATGCTCCAAAACTACCTTATATACATGAATCAGGTCCTGCAGCCCAACCACCTAAACATTTATCAGGACTTATGATACATGGGTAGATTTCATCATTGTCATAATATGGTCTCCAATATGTAGGTTTTATTTCAATATTTGATGGTATAACATTTTCTATCATTTCTTAATCTCCTATTGAACACTTAATACTATTCTCTTTTAAAGAATATGTTTAAGATACACATTATGTACACATTGATTTAGTCAAGATTTCACCTCTTTAACATGGGAAAGATTTTACATTAATAATGATAGAATAATTATCATGATATTGTAAAATATGTTAATTCTGACTATCATATATAGGAATCTTAACTGAATCACATTTTATTTCTATTTGTAAATCTTCATTTATAAGTATTCTTAAATTATCTAAATTATAATCTTATGTAGTCATATTGAATTAAACATTATCAATTGATAAATAATCAACTGAAAAGTCTAAATCATTATTCTAAATCATTCTACTTCTAACACTACATTAAGAATCTGATAAATTATATTATCGTTCATTAAAAGAATTTAAAGGTATTAATCTAAATTTGTAATTTAAATTATTGTAAATTTAAAAATTTGAAAAATAACTTAATTAATTTCCTAATCCATGTTCAGTCAAATTTTCATTTAAAATTTAATAATTTTATATTTCCACATTATTTGGCAACATTATTTAATTAATAACTTCTTCAATTATACATGTATCATTTCTATAAAGTATTTTATTTTCAAATACTCTAAAAGTATCTAAAGATAATGCTAATTTTTATGGTTATGATTACATATTACCATTCATACCACTTTCTTAATTATCAACAATTATATTCCCTCTATTTTTTTGAATTGTCAAAGGACTTGTAGAATATATTCCTGCTCCAGATGATGCTTTGTTGCCTATGATCTATGAATTTGTCATTTCTAAAAATCCTTTATTTAAATAAATTGCACCACCAATTATAGCTGTATTATTTTAAAATAATACTGAGTAACATGAAATAGATACTCTAACTGCTTAAATGCAACCACCATTTACACCTTAATTTTATATAAATTATGTGTTTTTAATTATAATTTAACCAATTTTTGTTATTAAATCATCAGCATATGTAAAAAGTAATCTATTTTAATCAATCTTTTAAATATTTAAAATAGAACTGTTTCCAATATTCTTAATAAATTTAGTTTGTTAAATTATAACAAGATTATTTGTTTCAATATAAAAAATATTGCATTCATTACATTAAATATTAGAGAAAATCACAGAATTAATCTATACTTCTGATTCTATCTAATTAAATTAGAAAATATCATAAAACTAATAGTCCTAAGAAATGGTGATATTTTCATCACATTCTTTAGTATAACTATTAAATTAAGATGGTAATGTATATGCTTAATTAGTACATTATGATTTCAATTCTTCTAATTAAAATTTAGAATAAACACATATATATTTAGTATAATTTGAATATACACCATGAAAATGACTGTTTGTTATTATTATTGGACCAAGTGAACGATCGAAAAATATTAAAGGTCTTTTTTGAATAATAAAATTAATAATATCCACAGTGTCTAATGTAACTGAATAACTCTACTTATTAGTCATGAATCCATAACCAATAATATTATGGATCACAATATTATTCATTCTTATAATCCCCTTTTAGATTTCAAAAAGTACAGAATCATAAGTGTCAAATGTAAATTAATAAATAAGATCCTTCATTTAAATTAATTTCATATAATTTTAATATCCTATTTTTGTATTTTGAATAATACAATCCTTCAATTATAATATATATTATTATTATAGAAAATCACTAATTTGTATTGAAATAATTGAAGATTATAATGAATGAGCATCAGTTATAGATACATTTGAGAATATAATGGATGATTAATCTGATAAAGTTATCATAATAAATCCTCCTTCATTAAAACTCCAACTATTTTGAATAGTACAATTAATAATTTAAAAGTTTAATTTAGAACCTTTGCTATCAATAATAAAGGATCCACCTTGACTTTCAAGTTATCCAATAATAGCTTATCCATTCTTGAACTGTGAATTAACAATTGAAAAGATACCATTATTAAGAGTTATTACATACATACATCCTCCTTTATATCCAATAAAGGTTTCAAAATAACTATCAGTAATTTAGATTTCTTCTACATAAATTTGAGCTATTCCACCATAACTCTTAATTTTATAATCATGTTCCAATTATTCCATATATAATAAATCTTAATATTTAGATGAGAGTACTTAATAAAATAGTTTATTAAGAATATTAATTTCTATGAAATTGCATTTTTAAATTAAGAATTTACGACATTAAATATACATATTAGAATTTAAGGAACCAATAATTAAGTTTTATTTAAATGAATTATTATAAAAATAAACAGATCCTTAAGGAATTAAGAAATATAGATTATTAGCTGATGTTCCATAAGTATTTAATCCAATATACTCCTTATAAATAGTATTTAAAAATTAAGAATTTGTAAAATTGATAGAAATAGTATTTTTTGATTCTATTACTATAAATGCCACTGTAATATTATTAGTAGATTTGATGATTAATGAATCTTGAAATATAGAATTATTAAAATTAATCAAACATTAAAAATTGACTTCGTTACTACCTATTTTAATAACAGGTTGATTATAAGTGAAAATATTAGTAAAATTTACCATTTAAAATTCTACTTTTTTGATATTTAATAAATTTATGATGGGTTTTTTAGAATCTAATTGATAAATACAATTTAAATTTTCAGATAATCCAGTTAGTTAATAATCTTAATGAACAGTAATATTTTAAAAACTAAAAAGATCTAAATTAGTAGCTTCAATTAGTGCACTTATTTAATTCTTGTTTTTAATTATACTATCAGATAAAATGAAGGAATTAGTTTTGATTTGAAATGCAAAATTTACATCAGATTCTATTGGAAACATATACATTTCTAAATTTTAAATTGTAAGTAAGGTTGATGATTCCATATAAAGAAAACTTGAAGAATAATAAATAGAATTCAAAGAAAATTATACATGATCTAATAATATATCAGATATCTAAGTTTTTTAATTGACATATACAAGATAACTATTTTAAGTGATATAATTTCCTTCGAAAAGTGAATATTGTATTTATAATTAAGATGATTAACTTATATATGATGAATCCATTAATTGATTCATCATTATTTGAAGTTTATTAAATCTTAGATCTAAACCTTTAAATGCAAATGAAACTTGAAAAAAAGTCCATTTTATAATGAATTATTCAACTTCACTTTTTTAATTAATTTCAAATAATGTAGATTATTATAAGTAATTTGATTCAACAGTAATTTAATTTAGAATTAATTCATTTACATATTAAAATTTAAATAAAGTTGAATTTTGTAAAGTCAAATTTAATAATTTAACATTTTGAATAATGATTGATTTAATTGATTCTACTTTTAATAAAGTATCTAAATTATTAAAATAAAAACCTTGAAATTTCATATTGATCATTGAGAATGTATTTAAATGATTATAATCAAAATGGATAGATCCCTTACCATAAAAGTTTACATTATAAAATCCAATATTAATTTGATCTAAATTAAAATTAATTATAATAGAAGCATCAGAACAATCAATATTCAAATTTTTAATCCAAAAAGAATGAAATTCTTTTATATAGATATCTCCTGAAAAATAAATAGTTGAATTTAATGATAATCCCAATATCTATAATGATACATTTTTCAATGTATAGACATTTGCTGAGAATTCTTAAGAAATAACTAAATTTTTAGGAAAAGTACAAGTTTAAGTGGTAAGATAAATATTTAATGTTTAGACATTTTATTCATTCATATAATTAAACAAACCATTTGAATATAGTAATTAAAAGACATAAGATAAATCAGATTCTTAATTATAAGGAATATCAAAAACATTTGAAGATGTATGATCTTATATACAAATTAAGTTTAAAGTAATGGACATACTCATTTAACAAACTGAATCATCTGGACAATTACTAAATTAATAAATATTGGAATCAAATAGAGTATCTTCAAAAGCAGGTAATAAACATTAATTAGTAAATTAAGTAATAGGAATATTTGATGCTGGAGCACAAAATTTACATAAACTATGACATTAATAACATGTATTATTGTTTATACTAAGTATTAATCCATTACTTGAATATGAACATTTAGAACAGATTTTAGAATTATTAATAATTAAACATTCTAAACAATCTGATGGACATTTATTAATACAAATATCATTATATACTTCATATCCTGTTTAACATCCAGTACAAATTACTTCAAAATCATTTGGATTACTAGATTCTACATAAGTCAAATAATCATGATTAACATTTTTATTAACATAAAATTCATAGAATGGTCTAATATCCTTTTTCCAATCACTTTTATTTTTTTTGAATTGTTATGAACATGATTAACAATGATTTGGACATTAGATACACATTCCAACAATATGATCTGCATAATAGCCAGGAAAACAATTCAAACAAATTACTTTATTAAGATAATTTACACATTCATAACAATTTTGTAATTTTAATTAACAACCTAATATTGATGTTGCTACTTCTCCACCAATTAAACAACTAAAAGTACCATTAAAGAATCCTGATTCTTAACAGATTTATGATGATTTATAACAGACAAATGAAACATTTGAAAAAGTATATCCAGAAATACATCTAGCACAAATATTAGTAATTAATGAACTAATTTACATAGGTTAGAAATATAAATCAATAGTAGTTTATGGATAATCAACAAAATAATATTGTGAAATACTATAAAGACAATTCTTTATTGTAATTGCTTAACATTTAAGAGCATCAAATGATATTTCAAAAGATAAAGGATCTATACATTTTAAACATCTATTAATATATGATTATTTAATTTCATCGAAATAGAATTCACATATTTAACATTTGGCACCACATCCATAACATACACCATTAAATAATGCAAAACCTGGTTAACAATTCAAACAATTTAAAGTTGAATTACAAGTAATACAATTAATTGGACATTTCTAACATTTAAAACCATCATATCCATAAAGTTTAATACATTTATTACAAATTTATGAACTATTACAAGTTTTACAATTATCCATACATTTTTTACAAATATTATCTTATACAAAATATCCTTCCTTACAACTGAAATAATATTAATTAAATTCTATGCATGTTAATTTTGTAATATCATTACAATATTTTAAACATCCATAACACAATTCCAAATTCTATAATTAACTATTTATATAAAATATTTCCTATTAACTTTCATTTCTATCATATCTTATATAAGTTTATATTAATGAATATCTCTTATAATCAAAAGTGCAAACTGGATTCTAATACCATGTAGCTGAATTAAGTAAACAATCTGCACAATTTAATTGGAAATCATTAACTGAACTTGGACATTAAATACATTTATTATCAATTTAGAATTCTCCATATTTACATTTAAAAGTATTATTTTAATAAGTTTAATTCATAATTGGATACAATTCATTCATTTTATTACATTTCTAATTTAAATCTTAATCCACAAAACCAAATTCACATTAACAAAATCCATATTTCCATTATCTATTAGAATCTAATGGACATGTAATACAATCATTTTCTGTTGGTCCATTACAAGTTAAACAAGAATAATGACATTTCATATTGTATGTTAATTCTTATTCATAATTATATGTTATTTCTAATTAGATTTTACCACCCAAATAACTTTTATAAAAAAAACTATCTGCACCAACATATAAATAAACATATTAATCATGAAATTATAAAGCATTAAATGTTTAAGTTAATTCTTAATCATTTGGATATATTACTTTTATATAAGTCTTATCTTCCAAATATTAAAAATAAATATAATGCCATCTTTAAAATCTATCTCTATTTGTAGTATTTTATATTACAAATACATTAGCACTCTTTGTTTAAAAAGCTAATTAAGGATATGGATAAGGATATGCTAAAACACTCACATTAAATAAATTATAATTATTTAAACTTGGATCCAAAATATAACTCATCAATAATACTCTATCTCCCAAAAAACTATCATTACGATAATTTTCATTCAATGTCAATCTCATTAATAAATATCTCTGTCTCTCTATTACATTTTCATAACTCACTTTTATCCAACATCTAATTTGATATTTATAACCCAACATAGATAATTATGTTGAGTAAAATGTATCACCAAGCAATTGAATTCCATTAAAAATATCAACAACTGTTTTATTATAAGATTAGGGACTTTTAAAATTACCCATAAAATATTAATCAAATTCATTATCATCTTTAAATGGAGATCTTGTGAAACTTTACACTTTACTGTATTTCCCATGAAAATAATCAAAGTTTAAGTTACTCACCTAAACAATAAATTAATTTTTTTAATTACTTTTCCATATTAATTTAATACAGGGATTACGTTCTTTGTATTTAAAATAACACTCTACAATTTATTACCTTTTATATATAACTTTGATCCTCCCTCTAGATTCTCAAAATAAGCATAATACCAAATTCCTTCAAAATTTGTTGGATCTTAAGTTAAATTAGTAATTGTTCCATCATCATTCACTGTAATATTTAATATAGGAGAATTGAAAGAAATCCACATATATAATTTTGTTGATGGTTATTCTGAATGGAAATTGTAATTTGCCATTACATTCTATCCTGTATAGATAGATTTGTCATTTAAAATAAATTCTCCTGATGCCTTTATATTAGAGAAAGGTAAATATTGAAACCAAAATCCATAATGTGTTGTCACTGAAATACACTATTTAATTAAAAGTAATAAGACTAGCATATAATAAAATTATTCAATTAAATTAATTTGTAATATAATTCACTTCATTTTCTTTATCTGTAAACAATTTTCTTTTAACATTTTTTATATCTGATTCATTTAACTTATTTGATGTTCCCAATATTTTTTAAGGAGCCTTAGGGTTGTTTGATAACTTTGTCAATTTCTCAGGAGTTGACACATTTTTCACTTCATCATATAATTTTGCCTTCATATTATAAAATAATTATTAAAATTTTGTTCTTCATAATTCTAGCAATTTATTATAATGAATAATTTAATGCTTGTAAAATTTAGACATTTTTTAATTCTTAATTTAATTGATCTTAATTTTCAATTATAAATACTTATTTCTTATTTGTTATTTATTAGTATATTAACATTAAAATAAATAAGTACCATATGTTTAATAAATAATATATATATATAAGTATCAATAAATAAATGATAATATTGTCTAGATAATTCTTATACTTAAATTTGAAAGAAGAACATGAATTATTAAATTCAAATAACAAGTATAAATTATATATATATCATATTTATGTTTTGTTTATTAATATTTATTCTTAATTTAATATTAAAATGGCAGAATTTAAAGAAGTACAAAATTAAATAAAAATATTAGGACAAATTCTTTCGTAAGTAAGGAGATTCAGATGATTCTGTAGAGAAATTAAAAAAAAAAATATCTAAGCCAAAGTAATAAAATTTAATATCCACATCATAAAAAATCAAAGAAATGTTTAAAAAGTAACAATTTAAGGATATTGTGAATTGGGCAGAAAAAGATACATCTATAACACTTCATGAATATGATGAAATGAAAGTGAATTCCTAAGTTTTGAAACTTGGATAATACGCTTTAATAAAAAATGCTAAAAATCCTTCTGAAGATTTCGTTGGTAAAATTTAAAGAATTGTTACAATAAAAGAAAACAAATCAACAAAATTAATTTGTTTATGTGAAGTTAATTGGTATTTCTAAAATTCAAGAAAGGTTTTATCGAAAAAGTGAAATAATAAAATTTAAACCCTAAGCCAAATAATGGATATCCAATAATGAAGTCTTCAGTACTAATTGCACAGATTATATTTTGGCATCCTCTATATTGTCACCTTGTCGAATTGTAACTTTAGAAGAATATGAAACTTGTTCTCAAGTTGATAAAGGAGTATTTTTTACTAGATTAGAATGGTTACCTACAAAAAAGAAATTTGATGGTTTATCTAAACTTTAAAATCATTGTACTTGTAAATAACCCCAAAATCCAGATTAAATATATATTTAAGTATTTTCTTATCTATAATTTTAGTGTGACAAATGTTAAAAGTGGTATCATATTACATGTGTAGGATTGAAGAAAGGAGAATATGAATAGAAAGAATACATTTGTGGATGTTGTAGATGAAATATATATTTAATAATAATATTTATTTAAAATATGGGAATTGATTCTTTATTAAAAGCTCTTAAATCTGTCACAAAACCCAGACATATTTCAGAATATTCAAATAAAAAAATTGCTGTTGATACTTATTGTTGGTACTTTGAATACTTATAATTTAGGTTACATAAAGGAATATTCTTGTGTGCTTAAGAATTATCAGATGGAAGAGAGACTAATGAACATATAAATTATTGCTTAAAAAAAGTAGAGTAACTCAAAAAATATAATATTACTGTTGTTATGGTATTTGATGGAGCAAAATTACCAAGTAAAAAATCAACAGAAGAAGAGCGGGAAAAGTAATATAAATATAAATAATTTAGAAAGAGGAATGACAACCTATAAAAGCATTTAGAATACAAATAATAAGGAGAAAAAGATAAAGCCTATGTAAAACTAGTTGAATCTATAGATGTTACACCTTAGATGGCATCTAAATTATTGGAAGCATTAAGAATAAGGAATATTGAATGCATAGTAGCTCCATATGAAGCAGATGCTTAATTGGCTTATTTGTCTTTAACAGAATATGTTGATATAATAATAACTGAAGATTCTGATTTAATTGCTTATGGCGCTAGAAAAGTACTTTATAAATTGGATAAATTTGGTTATGGTGAAGAAATTGATTATGATTCTATTCAAACATGCACGGAATACAATTTTTAGAATTGGCATCATTAAAAATTTCTTACATTTTGTATTTTATCAGGATGTGATTATTTGGGTTCAATAAGTGGTATAGGAATAAAAAGAGCATATTAAGTAGTAGCAACTTCATAAAATTATAAATAAGCTATTGATAATCTTTAGAGAAAATAAAAGGTCTCTGTTCCTTTTGATTATGTTGAATAATTTGAGAAAGCATATCTAACTTTTTTATTTTAGAGAGTTTTTTGTCCTGTACAAAGAAAAATGGTTACAGTGAATACTTTTGATACTGATATATTATATCCTTAAATGAAATATCTTTTGGAAGGAAATCTTGATTTTTTAGGTAGTGTTTATACGGATACTTTGATTTAAGATATTGCTGATGGTAGAATCTGTCCATAAGATTTAAAACCATATTCTCAATCATCTAAGAATTTAAAATAATTAAGTTTAGATAATAAATAATAAAATGAAAATGATCAAATAGAAATACCAACATTTGGTAATGGTAAACCTATTCAAGTTTTCAAGTTTATTAAAAAATCACAATCAACTAAAATAAATCCAGAGGAATCTTTTGAAAGATCAGGAGAATCAAAAATTATCAATAATTCTTAAGTTATTAATTCAAAATCTACTGAAAATAATGAAAAATTTTAAATTGAAAATTAATAAAATTATGAATAAAGTAATTTATTTTCAAGTTAATAAGAGACTCTTAAATAAAAATCATTAATTAATTCTAATATTTTGGCTAATTAAAATAAAAAGAAGAGTACTAAAATTATAATTAAACATGAATAAAAAAAAATTAATTAATATTTCCAACCTTCATTCAAACCTTTCAAACCACCATCATCTCTTATTTAGAAATAAGACTAAATTGTATCAGATATCAATATTATTGAAGAAGAAATTCAAAAAATAGATTAATAAGGTATTTCATAGGTAGAAGAAGAATTTCAATAATATAGCATCTCTGAAGAGTACTCTGATAATTTCTAGAAAAGATTTTATTATACTGATTTTGGTATATTCTTAAATCAGGAACTTCAATTTAAATAAATTTAGTTTTGAATTCTGTATTTAATTATATTTTTACTTTATTATTATTATTATTATTATTATTATTATTATTATTAGAATTATATTCCAAAATCTATGATAATCAATAATAGATATGAAATAAATACATATGAAAGAATTGGTTAAGGATAGTTTAGCAATGTGTTTCCTTGTGTAGATAGATATAACTTACATTTAAAATTAGCTGCTAAAGTAATCTTTATTGATATTTAGATAATTGGATAGCCATAAAGTAATATTGAAAGATCTCGAAAAGAATTTGAGATTTAAGATTCTTTATAAATATTCTTGAATTCACACATTTTAAAATGTTATGAGCTTTGTTAACATGAAGATAAATTAGCAATTATTATGGAACGTTGTGAATTGGGAGATTTGAATAAAAAAATGAAAGATCTAAAAGCTGAAAATTAAAGATATAATGCTAAATAAATTATCGATTTTCTATATCAGATTATTGATGGTGCCTATATTATGTATCAAAATAAAATTTTTCACAGAGATATCAAACCATAAAACATCCTATTAACAAAAGATTTACAAAATAATATTGTATATAAGGTAATTAATATCTTATGTAAAGATTGGTGATTTTGGATCAGCCAGAATAGTTTAGGATATGAGAGAGGAAGGTAATTTCACACAATGGCACACTCCTGTTTATTAATCTCCTGAAATTTTTAATAAGGAGAAATTTTCACCTTAATCAGACATATTTTCTTTTGGAATAGTTCTATATGAATTATGTTTCTTAGAACTTCCATTTAAAAATTAAAAATAAGAAGATTTCTTTAAATAATTAAAAAACAATTAAATCTAAATAAATATGAATGGTATTTAAGGTAATTAAGAAGAATTAGATGTTATTAAATCCATTTTAGTAAAAACAATAGTTTATGAATAAAAAAACAGAATGGACTGGCAAGGTTTGTATTAATTAATTACAGATTTTTAAAAAAAACCTTAAATTAAAGGTTAAGTTGCACTAAATTAAAATGATGGTTATATCATTGCGAAATAACATATTAATTTGTTAATAAGTAAATAAATATTGGCGAAAAATTTAATGATTTAATTTGAAATTTGTTAGTAAATAATATTTTAATATTTTAAGTTAGAAAAAATTGATAAATATTTCTAAAGAAATTTTTAAGTTAACTTTTACAACACTAGCTTGTTGCAAATATATTTTAATTTTATCTATAATTGCATTTATTCACAATGATTATAAAAAACTTAGTCTAAATATCAAAAATTTCATTCCTTAATAAAGGTTTTAAGAATTATCCTAAAGTTATTAACAATACTTGACCTAAGAAGATTATGAAAATATAAAAACTAATGATCTTGATCTAAAATAAAATGAATATACAGAAAAAGTAAGAATATTTTCATTTATTATATAGATGGTAGATCATTCTATAGATTTGATTAATAATATACAGTAATATAATTAGAATCAATTTTAAAGTTTACTTGAAAATTTTATTTTATTTAGATCTTATTTTAAAAATATTGAAATGTCTATAGATTATGAAAGATTTTTAAATCTATAGAATGAGATATTTTAGAATCAACTAATAGTGTAATTTCCCTTAAATAATATGTTTGGAGATTTATCGATGTAAATATATGAATTATAATATTTATTAATTAGTTTGTTAGCATTATGGAATGCTTATGGTTTGAGTGAAGTATATTACCCACAATCAAATTTTAATGTGATTTAGGATTAGGTTCCATAATTAAAAATATAATTTAATGAAGTTGAGGCTATATCATATTTACAAGAAGTTTTATTTTGATATTTGTTATTATTTTATATGAAATCATAAAATCAATTTAATTGGTTCCACCGTTAAAATTGTGTATTTTTTAAATAAATTATTTTTTTAATATTTTTTTGTTTGATCATGATAAAAGATAAATCACCTATTTAAAAAGGAAACTATATTATTTTGAGAGATAAACTTATAGGAAAAGGAAGGCATTCTTTCATTTATGATTGTATTAATGAACTTGATAAATAAACTCCCTTTTGTGCTAAAATATTTTTCAATACAACAATACCAAGAACTCTACAATTTGATAAATTAAAAAACATTAATAATACAAATCTCTTAAAATATTATGAAATATTTGAACATAACAAAGATGTTATTATCATAATGGAAAAATGTGATTGTAATTTAAAAAATATTATTGATAAATAACCTCTATCTGAATTGGATACATATTAATTATTAAGATAATTCTTAAGTGGGTATTAAACATTAATTGATGTTGATCTAGATTTAAGAGAACTGAAACCAGCAAATATTTTAGTTAAAAATAATGTTTATAAAGTATATCATATTCTATTTTGATAAGATATCAAATTATGGAATATCATCTTTGTACAAAGTAGTAGAAGGGGAAACTAAACCATTTTCTGCTCCAGAAATATTTTATGAAAAAGAGTAAACAAGAATTAAGGATATATTTTCAGTATTTATTTAATCAAATTTATTAAGCTTGGTTTAGTGTTATATTTTGGATTTTATAATTAATTACCTTATACATATAGAAGTGCAGTAGATCAAGTAGCATTCTTTAGATAAATTAAATCAATCAACTTTGAAATTAAGAAAGAAGTATAATATAATAATAATTAATGTAGATTCCTCTAAATTTAAAATAATTATTACAATCTATGATTATTTATGACCCTTCTCAAAGAATTAAAATTGAAGAATTATAGTTGCAATTCAATATGGAAAATAAAGTCATATGATTATATTATTATTTAATAAATTATAATAATATTTTCAATTATATTGTCTAAATTGATTAAGTTCATCTTCTATTTCTTGATCTTCTTATTTTTTATATAGAATATTTACATTAAGCATGATTATTTGAAAGTGAATGGAATTGATCATTATCATCATCAATATCTTCATGCTTCATTTTTGATCCAATTTAATCATTTTTCAATAACAATGGCTAATATTGAATTTAATCATTTACTTTTTATATTAAAGCATTTGTAACTTTAAATTTTCCCTCCAATTCATATATTGCTCCAGTTTCCTCTGATTCTGCTAAAACTAAATTAACTACTTCTTCTTGAATTTCATTTGTGTAAAACAAACTTAAGTTTTTGATTATTTAATTAAATTTGGCACTGTTTCCAAAAGAACAAATCACCTTAATCAAACAATCTATTAATTGATTAGGAAATTATAAATTAGGAACATCTGGGTAATATCCTTAATCTTAATAATTAATTTCAAATCAATACTATAAGGCTATCTTATTTTCTTTTTAACACTTTACTATTATAGTTCCCTTCTGGTTCTTTTCTCTAATAACAAATTTGGAGAAGGTTTCCTCTCAATTATTCTTTCTTCAGATGGTGCTTATTTAATCTTTTTGATATTTTTTTGAATAGGTTATTATTGAACAGGTTGTTATTGTTACTAAATCTATTAAGGATTCTATTTTTAATATTATTTTCCATTTTTAACTCTAGCCATCTTAAACTCTATTTAAATTATTCAAATAATGCGGTAAATTTAATTTAGTTAAACACACTTTTATAAAATTTAAATTATAATATTTTTATGTATTTATAATTTTTAATTAATAGTTTTTATTCATAAACTATTTTTTCTAATTGTAATGATCTATGATGGTGATTTAGCCCAAAATTTTTCTAGTGGAAATGCTGATTCTAAAGTAAGTACTTTATTGATTTGATTCTAATTAGGAAAGACAGTATCTTCAAACCACTTGTTGAAAAAGAATACAAACCAATATAAATAACTTATATAATTATTCTAATCGTTATCTCTCTCAACAACTTTTGAATAGAATTCTGGATGTTAATTTTCAAGTTCATTAATTTATGATACAAATTGTTATGAATCCTATTTATTTAATCATAAATTTACTCTATAATAGCCATTTAAATGTCCAAATTATGAAACAATAATGCTTCTCATTTATTAACTATCTTAAGTATTTGATTTAGAATAATCATAAATTAAATCATGAAATTTTGGGAATATTTAGAAGATAGAATTATGACAATAATTATCTTAATTTGTACACATTCCCATTGTATTTGAACAAGCAAAATATTTGTAACTAAAAAGGCAGAATAATAAAATTTATAATTGATTTTCTGCAATTATACTTTATTGTTCTGCTAGAGCTATAGCCAAATCATATGCAACATCACCTTTTGACATTATTATTTCAGCAAGATGTTTTAAGCCATTTAGATTTTATGCATCTTCCAAAGAATTATACAATTTTTTTGAAAAATGATAATATGGAGTGTTAGGCCTCTTTTAGAATTTAACCTATTATTTTTATACTAATAATGAGGATTTTCTGATATGGGCTGTTTATAAGGCTTATTATCCATTAAATAATGGGTGTTCAAATAAATCAATCCAACTAATTCTGTTTTATTCTTCATAAGAAAGCATTTATTCTATTAGAACACAGATGCGAAGATCTATCTATTATTGTAAATGCTGCTTACATTTTCATCTCTAGGGCAAGTAATTTTATTTTACTTAGAACTCCTCAATAAAGGAATCTATTCTGCTTATGTTTTACCATTTATAGGTTTTTCCTTAAAAATCAGTTCATAAAAAATAACCCCTAACTAACTTATTAATACATAATTTACAGAGTAAACATCACATTTGTTAGTATAATAGGGGTCAAAGAAGATTTAAGGGGCAGAATAGGCAGGAGTTCCAACATTGGAAGATTAGGTTGAATTTATGAATCTACCCATTCCAAAATCAGCAAGCTATTAAATGAACACATAGAATACCTTATAAAATCCACTTTAAATTAAAATGTTTGCTGGTTTAAGATCTCTATGAATAAATTCAACTTCATAAAGACTCTTATATCCTTTGATAATTTGAGCTATAATGTTCAAACTTTCTTAATGAGTATACCATTAATTATGTTTTTTCTTATATTCCATTTCTTTCTTCAAGTCACCTCCTCTGCAATATTCCATAATAATGTAAACTTCATTATCACCTTCATTTTAAATGACATCAAATATATGAACAATATTTGGATTTTAAATAGGTGAGTCTCTAAGCATTCGTAATATTTATAATTCTCTATCAGTAAACTTCTTTTATGGTCCATTGGTTAATATTTACTTATTTAAAATTAAGAATTACCTTTGCACAAAATTCTTCTCCATCATAAATAGCTTAATAAACTAATCCATAAGATCCTTTTCCAATCATTTCTTTCTTGTTCAAAGTATACTTTCCAATTTTTATTAGAGATTTAGACATTTAATTTTAAATATAAAATAGAATTGTGATTAAATTCCAATACTATTTTTAATAAAAAAATCATCATGAATAATTATTTAGAATATCATCTGCCTCTTAATTATCATATTCAATTTTCCAAAATAGATTGTGATTGAATAAAGAAGAAATATTGTCTCCTATTTAAGTGATATCTTTCATATTTTCAGAAGTCATTTACAAAGAATCTTAATTATTATTATTTCCTTGAATTTTATCATATTATTTATTATCTTAATCGGTTTCTTCAATCCAAACTTGACCATCATTCATATCCATTAAAATATTTTCATCTTCTTCTTCTAATTATCCATCATATTATTAATTATTATTTTTTAATTCTAATTCTTATTCATTTTTTTATATTTCATTATCTTAATCTTATTATTCTTCTAAATTCTATTAACCATAATAAGATTCATTAAATTTCTATATAATTTAAATAAATTATACTTGTAATATTTACATAATATCTGATTCTTAATCATCAGCTACTTCTGATTTAGCTTTAGGATTTACATTACATAAATAAGATTTCTCTTTTTGATTGATATTGCATAGTCTATTTTTAACAAAATTAAACCATTATTAATCTACAATTGATTATTATTATGTTACTGTCTTTATAATATTGTAGTATGGATTTATTGTATGATTTTTCAATCAGATAATTGGATAAGGAAGTCAGAAGAGCTAAATATCCCTTTTTATCATTTTATTCTGTATGGTATTCAACTATAAATTCAATTAGCTACCCAAATTCAAAGACCTAATATATACATTAATGTAGATTAAACTTTCTCTATTAATTTTTCATCATTTAAATCTAAAATAGATTTGATAATCTTTTCTGTTATGATATGAATTTAATTATTAGATGAATATTAAATACAAATAGTTTCTAGTACTTATATCAACCTAGAATTTAATAGAGTTTCAATAATACAGATATCAGTAGTTCTATTAATATATTATTTATATTATATATACTGTATGAAAGTTTAAATTAACTTTAGTAACATTATTTTATGTAATCCAAATGGTTACACTTATTCTTAATTAGAATTTTAGAAATGAGCAGAACTATATCTTTTACTTAATAAATTTTAAGGTATTTTAGACACTATGTTTTAAAAAATTGAGTAATCTTTTTCATTATTATGAATAACTTCATCATCATCTTCTTTTTTTGATTCTTTAGAAGTCATTTCAACTAAATTGATGAGAACTTATATTGGTTATGGCTTTTATGTTTTGATAGCAATTTCAAATAGTAATTCTGGTCTTTTAATTTAATCAATAAATGGAACAATATCTGCATTATTATAATATAAACAATTCATATTTTTAGATGTGATTTCAGTTAGAATATCACAAATATTTTCTACAATTTCTGAACAATAATATTTATTCTACATCAATATAATAATTCTTTATAATAATGTTTTTCTTTCATTAAAAAATGATTCTTCTGTAACTTCTTAAGTTGTATCTAAAAGTATTAATTTTTCAATGATCTCTGCAATATGTTTACAATCAATGTGTTTTAATAAATTAGATATAATATATTTATTATTAATAATTTGAGTCCATACCTAAATTTTGAATAATAATATGATACATCATATCCTCGTTTCTTAATTATAGCAAGGAATACTTTTGAAAAATAACCTGCAGATGTCATATTGAAAACATCAAAGTCAAGAAAGTTAATCAATTGATCGAATAATGTAATTCGAATCATTTCTGCATCTGCTTCAATTCCTTCTTCTGGTCTTTCAAATAAATAATCTAATAGCTTATAATTTTAAATGCTAAAAATTTCACTACATATGAATGGATATCTTTTGATAATAATGTTATATTTTACTATATTTATGTTTTTGTGTCTTTCAATTCTTCATCAATTGTAATTATATAGTTAATCATTCTCTAATACATTTTTGGATGCTTGATTATGCTATTGGATATATTGATTAATTAGATACTGATCAGCAAATTTATTGGCTCCCATTCCTTTAATTTCTTATAATATATTATCTGCTTATAAAATAGTTTCTAATTCGCAATCAGGATCATTTAATAATGTATCTAGTTATTATTGCTAAGGAAAGAAACGAGCAAAACTAAAATAAGAGAGAGCATATACTTAAAAAACATAATAATTAAAAATATTATATATGGATAATAAAATCAGAATTCATTTTAATAAGTTAAATAATTTATCATGAGGCTATTTAGTATGTGATGGAGATTGAACTTATGAGTTTAACTATAAAATTGATGAAAATCTTCCTTAAGATTATGAGAGACTAAATAATTCTATCAACTATAATTAAATAAATTACAGCTTGAATTTTCTTTGGCATTAGCATTATTACTTGTTTCAGCAAATAAATTTTTTAAGTATAAATTCTCTTATAATATTTCTTATTGATTTTAAATCAAAATTTCATTATTTTATTTTAATTCTTCATTTTATTACTATAACATTTAATTAATTCTAAATAATTCTGTATAATCTGATTATTAAGTATCCTTAGATAATAATGATAATATTTAGTTATTTTAAACTAAAATTTTATTTCTTAATTCTAGATCTGTATTTTATTTATTTAAACATCTAGGACAACCCATTTTATAATTTTAAATTTATCGTTTCTATTATTAGATAATTTATTAAAGTTGTGTAATACTTTCATTTTAATTTATAGTATTAGTATTAGAATTATATGTTGTTAATATATTTTCTTTAACATTTTCTTATTCATCATGATAGCTTTATCTACTCAAAAGTTTTCTACTATATTTTCTAGCATAAGAGTTATTCTCTTTTTCATGTGTTGGAGATGCATTTTTTCTAACTAATTTTTCTGTCGAATGTTTTTTATACATAGCAGTTAAATTTAATATAATTTAGATTAATTATTCATTAACATTAATTTTATAATATCGATTCTATAATTAATATAAAATATAATCAAATACTCTATGAATCAAAATAGACTCAATAAGTTTGATATAAATTAGCTTTTCTAATTACTTATAGAATTTGTTTTAAATAAAAACTATTCTAATTTAGGAAATTTTAATTTTAATTTTTATCTATTTGTTATAATTTTACTTTTTTAACACAATGAATTCTAAGGAATTCCTAATATTATTATAGATGAGTTTGAAATGATATATTCTATCGTGGAAATTAAATATTCTCAAAAAAAGAACATTATTCAGTCTTTCGAAAAGATAACTATTCTAATTTATATTCTATAAATGTTAAAGTTTATAATAAATATCTAACTTATTTGCTCATACATTTTTAAATAAAGGATGGAATAGGTTTATCTTCTTTCTTTTTTTATGAGATTAAATTTTATGCATAATTCTAAACTACATATATTGGAAAAAAGAGAATCTAAGTCATTATATAAATAAAGATGCATGCTAATATCAACAATCCAAACAATGTTGTAATATTTAATGATATAGTCTTCTATAAATTATCCTCCAATTAATTTTCAAATTTATAATAAAACTCTAAGTATTCTTTACTACTTTATAACCTATTTTTATTAAAATATTTATACATTATTAATATCATCTTGAATTAAGGTATTTCTTGAATACCAATAATCATCTCTTGATTATATACAGAATTAAATCGACATTAAAGACTAGAATTGAATTACTCAAATTTTGGGCAATTTGAAGATCCATTTTGTTTTCTCATCTCTTCCCAATCAGTTTAATTAAATCCAGTAATTGTTTAATTGAATATGTATAATGGTAGATATTCATTTGAAACTTGATAAGGATGCATAATCATAATTCCCTCATTTGAAATTAGATACATAATTTAAAATCCAAATTACTTCTAATCAACTTCTTGAACAAAATCATTTCCTAAGAATATTGATCCCAATCCTCCTATTAATTTGGCTTATTCATCCACTATAGGCATTGTCATTGATAATCCAATTCGTTTTTCAGTAAATACTAGTAATAATGTATAATTTTATTACACATAAAAGGATTTGTAAAAGTATAATTGTATGTATTATAATTTAATGTTTAATCATAGTTCCTTTGTAACTCAATATACCAATCTCGTTACTCTGGTTTATAATTATAAATTCCTTATTGTCTATTTAAACAAGGATAGATTGAAGTTATTTTTTCCTTTACAATATAAGAATAAAAGAAATATTGGTTGATCTCTTTTCCTTAATACAAAAGTTAACCATATGCTTAAACTTATTCTTGCATTTTTATTCCAATCAATTCATCAATTGTCTTAGGTTCACTATAAGAACTTAAGTTTGAATAACACATAAAGCAATATGAAATATCAGAATTACCATATCCTTTAATTATCCGAAAAGGATCAGGGATAGGATTAATTCCACCATAAGGCATTTAGAAAGCATCATTTGTTGTATAATTATGTTAAAGGAGTACTTGCTTTCTTGTATAGTGATATAATCTGTGAAATGAGATTAGAGTGTTACCATCTAATTAGAAATATATTTTACTTAAATAGAAAACTTTGTCAAAGTAACTTCTATATAATTTGATTATAGATGATTGAATCCTATTTGAATTGTCTTTATACAAACTATTTGAAGTGTCTTAAAAGTAAACATTAAGTAGAGAAAGATGAATCATATTTTATGCTAGAACATAGGACATAATTATAAATGCTTAGACAAAAGCAATTAGAATCAATTAATTTCTGAGTTTAATATTCTAAAAGCATTTCGAAAATATTGTATGAGTTCGTTTCATTTTAGGTAATTATGAATTATCGAAAATGATTAATATGAGTTAAATTTCATCATCAAATAATATAAAGATAGAAATAAATTGAATTACTTTCATTTTCTATAAAGACTACTTTTGCCCAATTTAATTAAAGTTCAATTTTAATAATATAATGTTCTTAATTACTATAGAAGGATGTCTCTCTAATGTTATAAATTTTAGTTTTTAAGGTTATAAAAATAAAGATATAAGTGTTGATATTTAATTTTATATAAAATAATTGTTGTAATAAAGAAGTATATCGTCATTGAAATATTAATGATAATTCTTAAAAAATAATATTTTGATTCTAAACAATAATCAGTTGATGGCAAAAATAAATAATAAATTTAATAAAAAATCCTTTTATTAAAACAAAAAAATAATTAGTTTGAAAACTATTTAATATATTTTCTATTCAACATTTCAAAGTCAACATTATTGTATTAATAAACAATTAATATTTTAAGTAAATAATGAAAATATAATTAATATAATTGTGTAAGGATTTTGAATTTTATTTATGATAACAAGGTTAATATAATATTATATAATATATATGTTTGTGTAAAAACATATATTCTAAAATATGTATAAATTAAAATTAAATATGTTCTTTATGAAGTTTATTATATGTTTTAGTTCTTAAAAAGTAATACTAGTAATTAATTCTTTCATTATTAAAATTAATAATGAATCACATTTAACAAGTTTTTATTTAGAGTATAATGAAATAATAATAGCAAGAGAAACAATAATAAGTCAAATAAGAAGAAAATGGTTAGAAACAAAATATTTAAGTATAATATTTATCATATTTTATTTAGTATTTGTAGAAATAATAGCTACTCACAATTATTCAGAAATGCTAATAACAATAATAACCAATTTAGTAAGCATCGTATTATATTTAAATATTAATTTAGGAAGTGTCTTACTTTAATTGAAGTTTAAAATTAAATAACATCATACTTTTAGTAAATGATTCTTTAAAAGCAAATAATCAATATAAATAATGTATTAGATTAACAATTACCATATTTCTTACGAGTTATGGGGAATTTAATAATAAATGGACTTGAAAATTGTCAAGGAGATAAGGAAATTGTTTAAGAAATTATATCATAATACAAATCTAATCCACTTAAAATTACTATGAGTTGTTCTTTATTCTAAACTATAGGGCTCTTGTTTCGTTCTTAATTAGTATATTATGACTAATGTAATCACTAAAATAATAATATAAGGTACAAAATATCTTGTAAATTTTTTGTTGTTCCGTGATGACTTTTGTGACATCTTCTTTAATACCTTATACATTTATTAAATTACTCATGGTTAAACATTTAGTCAATAGATTGGATTTACTTAGATTCATTAAATGATTAAGAAAACTTAAGATGATGTATGGACAGCATTTATATTTAAAATGATGAGTTAATAATAATAGAAAATGACTAAAGATATATTTTTATTACAGTTCAATTAATATACTGTTTCTATGAACAATTTCTTTACTAAAAGCAATTTAATAATGGATTTAGTTGCTCAAAGTGTAAAATAGACATCAAAATTGCATAATGATGAAATATTTTAAGAAGTAATAAATTGATTAAAAATAGTATTTATTAATTATGGGTAGTTTTAAGGCTACGACATAAGATTTTTTAAAAAAGGCCACTTAAGTATTTTTTGAAGAATCAAATGATCTAGATTTATTGTAATTTAGCAATAATATTATAAAAATTCATAAATAAATGAATTGCTAAATCTTATTTATTTTACCTATGTTACTTTAATTGGAGAGTTAATATTTAGATCATCTTATTTAAAATGGAATTTAAGAATAATAACCAGTTAAAAATAGTTCAAATTATTATTTAAAAATGATTGAGAAATTAAAAAATAAATGTGTTTATAATGGTGAAGAAGAATGTAATTGCAAAAAATGTTTATGGTATTTAATTCTAAATATAATTTAGTATTAGAAGGAATAGAAACTCAGCAAAAGAATCTTAAAAAAAGAAGAGAGAGGCCTTAGAAAAAATAGGTCCATTATAAGATGAATATGATAAAATTTAAAAGAAAGTATAAAATATCAAAATAAAATGTTTTTAGGTATAATCTCTTGAAAAAGAAAATTAAGTTATTACAACATTATTACTTGATGTATTTAAACATCCATCTCTAGAATAATTGGCATCCTAATTCATAGAGCCTCTCACTAAAATTATATCTGATCAAGAATTCTATAATATTGATGAATGTTGATTATTATTTATTAAAGTATATTAATTAGATTATTTATTTATTTATGTTAATAATTTATAAATCAACTAAATATTATAAACATTTCATAATAAATCAAGTCTACGAGATCTATCCCATACAATTTTACCATTTTATTTAAAATATTAAACTCTATGACTTTTCACTTAACTATTTATAAAATCTGTAAAAGGAACTTCCATTATTCCCAAGAATCTATCTTCATATCCAACAATAAAATCTTCTTTATTAAATTTGATATCCCAAAGTATTCTATCAATTACTTAAAGAGTAGGCTTAAATTTCTTTTAAAGTTCTTTTTGCTCTAACATCTCTGGAAAATAGTTTTATATAATTTTTTTATCAAAAATGGAACAAATAACAACTAAATAATCTTTACTTAGATTTACATAATAGTGTTTATATTCTCTTTTATCACTAAAATTATTAATTTTAATATTATTTACTTAGATTTGATAAAGATTTTGGATATATCACTCCAATACTTAGATTATTATTATTATTATTATTCTGGATCTTTTTATTATTCTTTATAATCTTTTTAATCTTGTCTACTTTTCTTTCTTTTCTTTCCTCCCTCATCTTACAATTATTATGGTTATTATTAAATATCTTTTTCTCTTTTTAATTATTTTTATTAATTTTCAGTTAAATAAAGCTTACCTGAATGAGTTAAGATAGCAACATTTTTCCATCCACATTCAATTTAAATAATTTCATCATCTTCTTCTAAATTAGGTAATGATACTTTTGTATATTAAACATTATTTGATAATGGAACAGCCAATTAACCAAAGTCATTCTTACCCCATCCAAATAATTAATAATCTTTATATTATACTTCCATAGCTCTAGTAATTTCAGTACTTAATTTAATTTATAATTCAGCATTAATTAGTCCAAGAGCATTTTTTTAGAATTCTTAATGAACTGCTTCTTTTGAAAATTCTAAACCTGTAAACTCATTGTATTTAACAATATTAACATAATCAGAAAAACCAATTTTAGAAAGCCATGCTTAAAGTTCTTCATTTGTCCATTCCTTTATTGATTTAATATTCTCTCTTCCAAGTGCTAGAAAATAATTAAGACCACTATAAATAGAAATAATAGATTTTTTATCAAAATAATTTTATTGGATAGTTTTAATGATTTAATCTATTACTTATTCATTCTTTGTATCAGATTAATAAACTTTTTAAGTTTTAGATAAATAATAAATAGCATTACTACCAATAGCAATTTGAATTATATTCTAAGATATGATTATATAATACTTCATCATCTGGTAAAATAATTTATTTGTATTTTTATACTTGATCACAATTCTAAGGTGTTAAATCTTATAATTAATATAAAATGGCTCTAGTTTATTCTGAAGGTAATTATGGTATTTTTTAAGGATTTGAAAATATTGCAACAAGTTAATAATAAGAAGTTTCAAAAAAATCAACATTTTTAGCAATCAAATATTCTTCAAGATTTTCAAATACAATATTTAAATCACCATTCTCTTTCAAATATATAAATTTTCCTTTACTAGTTGTTGAATATTATTTTACTTATAATCTTAAATAATAAGAATTTAAATAACTTACTTAATTATAAAATTTGGTTTCTGATTGATAAATTCTTAATATTCATTTGATTAACATATATACAATCGATTTTGATTTGTAAGAATGCCTGTATATGTTAAACCAATTTACATTGATTTTACAGGTATTCCTAAAATATGACGTCTTTTGAAAGGTTTGATACTTTCATCAAATGACCAAAAGTAAGTCTCTCTTCCAAAAATAGTACGAAAGATTATGTTGTATGGAGTAGTTGTATTTGGATTATTGAATCCAATACTTGCCAAAAGTGCTTTCAAAGTTAATTATACATTTTCCTTCATTTATTTTGATACTGTCTAAAGATTTAGTATATCCTTGATTGTTAAGAAATTTGAGATGCCTCGGAATACATCAAACACTTATAATTGAGACTGCTACATTTTAATTTATTTTATTCTTTAATAATAATTTATCAAAAATATGTAAGAAATCAAACAAATACCATCATTTCTATAAAAATTATATGAAATTCTTGAAGTAATAGAAAATTTGTTATATTTGAGTCCGAATAAAAAGCTATTGGATGGAATAAAGAAGGTACTACATTTTAGATTTTGGATTCATCATTATTAACAGAACAAATAATGCCTTAATATTTCAAGCATCGTAATTATTAGAGTTTTCTGAGGTAGTTGAATAATAATATAATACTAGATAATTAAATATGTATGGATTTAAGAAGTTGAAAAATAAATAAGGTAAAAGTGAATTCCAACATTCACAATTTAGAAGAGGTCTCAAGTAATGATTTTGAGTTATTTCATTAGGAATAATTTATTGAATATCAAAAGAAGAAATTAAGATGATATTAAATAAAGTTTAGAATGTTTAACTAAAGAATTCGAATAAGAATCCTATCTCAATGAACATTAAAAGCTTCGTAAATAACTTGTAGAATTATAATCAAATTAAAGATCTCTCTTAGAAGAAATCAGACGTTAAATGGAACGCAATCGAAATCTATAAAGAGAAACATAAGATATTACTGAGGTATAAACTATCAATCTATAGCATAGAGAATTAATACAGTGAAAAGTTATTAACTTAGAAAACTCAATAAACTTATTATTATCATTTAAAAACTTCCTGAAGATGCACAAATTAGTAAAATGGCATTAATGAAAGAAAAAATAATAAGAAAATTAGAACTTATTGAAGAAGAGAATGTTAGTATCAAGGAGATATCTCTAGAAAAATAAGACTCTTATATGTATTAAGAACCAAATCTAACTGGGGTCAAGAGTCCTGCTGGATACTCACCTAAAACTAAATGAAACCTATAGTATTTATATATTTTTGATAATTGATAATAATATTGTTTTTGAGTCATCAAAATTACACATTAATGCAAGTCAACGTTCATAAAATTTGTTTAAATCTTTAATTTTACATTATTAAAATGAGAGGAGTAACCCTTCGTAGATATCCAGATGAAAGTTTTCCAAAGAATATTGACTTCTTTGATTTGAAGGACTTCCCTATTCCAACAAATCTTAAGGAAAATGATCTTCTTATTAAAGTTTGCTATGTTAGCATCGATCCTGTTATGAGAGTATGGTTTTCTGGAGCCAAAACTTATATTGATACTGTACATCAAGGACAAGTCATTCCTGCTTTTGGATGTGGAGTTGTTGCTGAATCAAAAAGCAAAAGATTTAATAAAGGAGATTTAGTCTTAGGTGCTTTAGATTGTGCAGACTATTGTGTTAGATCAGCTAATACAATATTCAAATTGCCAGCAGTCAAATCAAAAAATGATCCAAACTTGCCTCTCTTTTTGTCTGTGTATATTTTAATTGTGATAATTTAGTTATGGTGTCACAGGCATCACTGCTCTTAAAGGATTACATCAAATTCCTAAAGAGAATCTTCCTACCAAAGAATCCAAGAAGACTCTTGTGGTTTCTTCAGCTGCAGGATCCACAGGATCATTTGCTCTATAAATAGGAAAATATTGGGGCTATAGAACTGTTGGTATCGTGAGTAGTAGAGACAAGAAAGACTTTGTACTTTCCCTTGGAGCTGATGCTTGTGTGTGTTACAATGACACATTAGATTCTAATGGAATTGTTGATACAGAGTACATTAATTAACATATTCTTAATTAGCAAATTGACAAAATTAATTAAGTAAGCAGCACCTGAAGGAATAGATGCAATGTATGACAATTCAGGAGAGGAAGTCTTAGATGCAGTATTGCCAGCCATGAATAAGGGAGCATTCATAGTATTATGTGGAGCAACTGCTACATATTATACATGGAAAAATAGAGGAGGATTGAAAAATTTATCCCACTTTATTACTAAATAAATTAAAGCTGAGGGAATATTGTATTTTGGTTAAAAGAATGCAATTATGGAATCATTCAAAGAAATGAATGAATTAGTAATGGGAAAACATATTTAGTAATATTGAATACTTATATGTATAGACATAAAGAAGAATTCATCAATGGATTAGAGAATGTGACATTAGGTTTATAAAAAGTATTTTTGGGAAAGAATTTAGGAAGAGTTATTGTCAAATTAGACAATGAAGTTCCATTGCCAAAATTTTGAGGCATAAATATATATAACAAATTTAGAAAATTGGAAAATTTCCAAAATAAAATTATTTAAACACTAGATTTCATTTTTATTGTATATATATCATAAAGTAACAATCAAAATTTAAAATGTGATCTGTTGAGATATTATATTTTATGAATAAAAAAATAAATAATAGGAGTAATCTTTAATCTGCACCTGAAATAATTAGAACAAGATAGAAGCCAAATACAGATTTGGAAATTGAGAATTTGGTTATGCAAGACATGAGAAAGAAAATATTGAATGATGAAATGAATACAATTTAATTTTACGATATAGTGTAACCTGATTAGGATGAAATGATAGCTTCTTTAAAAGACTCTTAAAAGAAACCAATTAAATTACATAAGAGAGTATATAGAACTGATTTAGAAAGTAAATTAAGGTCTAGATTATCTAATGAGCCAGGCTCAAAGTTATTGTTACAAGAGATGTAATACATTAAAGAGTATTTGTGAGTTATGAGAAATTAGAAGAGGATCCTGGGAAAAATGTAATTCCTATAAATAAGAAATTTCATTAAGAGGAATAATTTAAAGCTGATTTACAATATAAACCTGAAAGTGATGATCAATTAGTTGTAAATTTAGATTAATGGTATAAAGGAATAAAGAGGAAACAAAAACAATAACAAGTTAAATTAAAATAAGAGTAAGAGAATGAAAGTACTATAATTTTTAAGATTTAAAAGGATTGACTAAAGTATAAATGTAAGAAAGAACATAATCCTTAATATAATTAAGGAGAGGAGGTTTAAATGATAAATCTAAACAATTATAAGCTATATCATCTTTTCCTAAATTACTAATTGATTCAGCAAAAACAGAAAGTGAATAAAGCACTTTTAAGTAAAAGTTATAAGGATCTTTGTAAAAAATAACGGCAATAAAAAAGATTTAGATGCTTCATTAAGATCATTCTTTAAATAAATAATTAGACAAATATTTATAATAAGGATCTACTTTAACACAATAAGAATTAGCTTAAATAGAATTAGCAAAAGCTAAATAATATGGATAGGATTAAAAAGATGGAACTTTGATTTTTGATTATACTGTTGAAGGATTAAAGAGTAGTTTACATACTATGATTAAAATGTAATTAACATCCTTTTAAAATGCAAATGATAGAGCATTATTTTATGAAAAATAAACTAATTAAATTTTATTATCTATAAATTAAAGACTTGATAGATAAAAAAATACTGTAAAAAGAAATGAATAAGATTTGGAATCATTAAGAATTGAAAATCATGAAATACATAAAAAATTAAGGGCAATATAAGATTTTGTAATATTTTTAATTTTATTTTAGATAAAAGAGAGATAGGAAGAACTTATAGGTATAAATAAAAAACCATAATAGTCAATTAATTCACCTAATATTAAAAATAATTCTAGTTAAGTTGACAATTATATGGTGATTGCAATAAAATAAAATGAATTAGAGAGTTAAATTGAATAAATGAAGGAAAATTATAGTAAATTTCAATAATAAATGAAAATAAATTCAATATAAATAGAAAAATTAGAATAAGAAAACTCTAAACTTAATAAAAACAACAAGACACTTCTAAAATCTATTTAAGGCTTTTTATTAGAACTTCTTAAATTAGGTTTAGATTGTAGATCTTAAGGTTTATCTTGGATAATTAAGGCTATTTGGGATTCAGGTGAAAAAATATCAGATTCTAATTTTCCTCCTTATTTGGATAGTAAAGCAAAAGATTTTCTTTTAATTAAAACTAAAAAAACAATTGAATTAAATGATTTATTTAAAAAAGCTCATTTCTTATTTAGAAATTATAGAGACAATACAATAGACACAGGAAATAATTCAATTGTGTCTCTATTATCAAAAAATCATTTCTCATAGATTGATTCAATAGAAATAAAAAAATAAAATCTTGATTAAATAAAATAACGATAATAGAATGATGTAGCCTTATTAATAGAAGGATTAAGTCCAACAGAATATAAATTAATAGAAAAAACATTTACTTAAATATTTTAAAGCAAAGAAACCCTAAATGATATTATCTATTTAGAAGCTTCAAGGAAGATATCTAAAATGTTTAAGTAGGATGGTGCTTAAGAATAATCAATAGTGTTTAGTGAAATAAATAACTTTGAAAAGGATAAATTGATAAAGGAATATCAATAAATTCAAAAAGATATTGAATTGAAGGAGACTTAGTTTAAGAAAATGGAAGAAACAGAATTATAAAGGTTAATTAAAGAAATTGAGTATAAGAATTACTTGGCAAGGTAAGAAAGTTAATATTGTATAGATTTAATATTGAAGCATTATAAGTATTGGCAGCACAATTTGGATATGCAAAAGCAGAAAGAGAATTGATCAAATATGGTGTATTACACAAAATGTTTAATAATTGAGAATATAAATATATATATATATATTAAGATGATCTATTGCCTAATTTACTAGTAGTTACAGTTATTAAATTAAATAATACAAGGAATCTTAATTTGAAGAGATAATCTCTTAACATTTATAGCAATAAGTTGGTAGATGATGTTAACTTTAGGAACAATACATTCATTCTATTGTATAGTTGAATTAATATAATTTTCTACTTCTATATGGAAAATATCTTTGATCCAAGAAATTTGAAATTTTAATATAGTGATTATAGATATATCCTTATTCTTTTATTTCTTAGTAGAATATCTGGAAATAAGATATTAAAAGAGAAATTGATAATGAGATTCTTAAGTTTAATATATATGATTAACTGTCAAATTTGGATGCAAGATTATTATAGAGAATTAGATTTTTGTGATATTTTAATAATGATTTTATTTATTAAAATTATATTATCATTGTTTTTATTTCCATATCTTATCATACAATTATAATTCTTCTAATAAAATACTATTAAATAATAACACATCTTCCTTATATACGATGATTCTTTTTTAATTTTCAAGTTGAATCACATAGTATTATAACTAGTCATTTTTGTTTATTATTTATCCTATTACATCACATGTTTCTAATTGTTTAGATCCAAATCTGCATCTCAAATATACGAGATGTTAATTAAATTTCTATAGTTCCTTTTTCATTAATGTTTAATTATTATCCAATGATAATATTCTCTTATTATTTTCTAATAATTCTTTAATTGATGTTGCAGTAGTCTATAATTCTTTTATTAATTTAAATTATTTTGTTATTTAGTATTGAATATTTCTTATATTACCAAAACTACTAAATTTCAATCTTAATATCAAAGTTTCTAAAAATAAAAATATAATTACATGTTCGTAGTTATTACAAGAATGATCCTGCATTATCTAATAAGTATAATCTATTATTATGATCAACAAACAATATATCATATGAGTTATATTTTAAATAATGATTTATCAATAAATTATTAAAATAATCTGTTAAATCTACACTTTATTCATAATTTTCATCTGATATCAATACTTTTAAAAATTTAACATCTCCATTTTCTAATTATTCTCTCCTCATTTATTTATGACTAACTTTTTCATTTGGAATGAACAAATTTAATACTTCTTATTATTTATGTTTATCTTTAGTTAACTTTAATAAAATATCAATTAAATATATTATTGAATTTCCATTCAATAAAAACTTTTAATATAATTCATCCAAATTGTGTGATGCAGGATTTAATTTAAAATATTGTAACATCAATTATTTGAATTCTGTTTAATTTAATCCATTCCCTCTCTTAAATGCATCTGGATGTGCTAAAAAGTTATGTTAAACTTTAAATTATTATGCAAGATCATTAAAATTACTTATAGCAGTATCTTTACTTATAACTCTTTCATAAGGTAATCCTTCTCCTATAAGTACAATTGAATATTCTAATTCAGATATTTAATAGTGTCTTTGCATATCATAATTATCATATAAAATCAATGAATTCTTATAAATTGTATTTACCATAAAATAACCTATATCAATTTAACCTTTAAAATTTTCATTTATCTTAATTTCCAAATTTTATTACATATATGGTAATTCAAAATATAATCCTTCTTATTCACTTCTTCTTTAATTCTAAATTGTAACTACATTCTATTCATTAAATGTTATTTAATGTAAATACATAGAATGTATTAATATATGAATTTTCTCAATCTTTTATTTAAATATGAACTTTGATTAAGCTCTTTGTAAATTTTCTTATACTTATTACTATTCTTATATCTCATAAATTGAACCTTCATGTTCTTCAGGAACATCAATTATAAAACTTTATTAATGTGGTTTTTATTATTAAATCTAATCATTACAAATTTACTCTAAAGGATTACCATTTTAAGTCAAAATTTCAAAGATTTACTCATCAGATTCTAAATATATGAATTCTTATTAATTATAAGAATCATAACAAGCCATAATCAATTTTTCAGGATCACATAATAGCTTTCCATAAATTGTCAATCCAGTAATGAATTCTTATTTGGTACGATATTATTTATAATCAACTTCATTTAGAATTCCACCCATAACACTAGCTATTGCTTTTCCAAAATTTCCATTTACAAAACCTATACCAATTATGTAATCAAATACTCTTAACCATATATCAAAATAAAAGAAATCACTAAATAAATTATTCAATTGAGTTTTAAACCATTCAATATCAAATTAATCACAATTTATCTTTGGAATCATAAATTTGTAATCTAAACATTGAATTATTTTAAAAACAAAATCATTACATTCATAATTGCCCTTTTAATAAAAAAGTTAAAACAATCTTATTGTCAATATCATTTTATTCTTAGTATGATTACACAATTCAAAATAATCTAAAAGATATGGAATATCATTATCCCATCCCATTATCTTTTATATATATTAATCTGTCCAAACAGTTGTCTATTTAAATTATAAACTCTTGACATATTTTTAAAAATTATTGTGATTATACTCTTTAATATCATTGTCTATATGTTTTATATTGTGAAGTTTTTCTAGTATCACTTCATTTTCATTCCATTCTAATCCAAAATTTTATGCAAATTTCTTAATTTTTATATTAAATTGTAAAAAAATAGGAATTAATTCTATTCTAGATTATTATGTAAATCCTTTCTTGCAAGCATCAATTATTTTATTTTTCACAAAACATTATTTATCTTGAATTGGATTAAGTTATAAATAATTTGCCAGTAAAACAGATTTACTTTTTTATTCCTCTACACCTAATTCTTCTAAAATATATTCTTAAATTTCAATCAAATCATCTTCTGATTATTTACTATTAACCCATATTTATCCTCTAGTTTGAAGAGCATTCTCCAAAGCTTCAATTTAAAAAGAATTCCATTTTTCTTATAAACTATTACATGGAGTTTTTAATTATTTAATAAAATACTTTAACTCTTAAGCTGTAAAAGGCATTTCAATAATATCTAAATAAAAGGGATTAACAGTAGAATTTGAAATCTAAAATGGAGTATCTTCATGTATATCTATTTATATCATAGGAACATTTAATAATTCATTACCTGTTGCATTCTATTATAGATTAGCTGAAACATCTAAACCAGCAAAATGTCTTCTATTATTATTTAAATTTTTTTCGAATTCTCTTAAATAAATTCTACCTTACATGACCTTCTTGGCAGAAGCCAGAAAAGCTTAAATATTATTTTATTATTCTTAGGCTCTTGCAAAGATTTTCTCATTTACTTCTTAATAATCATCATATATCACTATATCTAAAGCATCCTTAATTTAAAAACCAGACAAAGTCACTTAAAGATCAGTTGTCCATCCTTTTATATCTAATTACATGAAATTGATCTCTTATCCTATATCAAATTCCATCTTTCCGTGATTATTTGATTCTAAAGCTTTAAATTAAATATATAAGATAGGATTATATAACTTAATATGTTATCCTATAATTAGTTTAAAATTGGTAAGATGTAAATTTTTATGTTAAATTAAATGTTATTTTTATTATTATTATTACTATATTTATGATTATTATTATATTTATGATTATTAGATTTATGATTATTAGATTTAAGAAATTCTTTACTATTCATTTTCTATATCTTCAATCTCTTTTTACAATCTTCTTTCTTCTTCTTCTATTTCTCTTTATTATTGTTCTTCCAATTCTTCCTTCTCTTTTAATATTTTATCAGCAATCAATTTCCAATGGTATAGCAATTCTTTTGCTGCTGAAAACTCATTTTATTTGATAAAGTTCTCTTACTGTTGTAACTTCAATATTTTTTATTGCTTCAATATTTACTCTTAATGCATTTTCTCCTATTCAGCCATATTATATAGAATCTTTAACATTTATCCATATTTAGTTTTATCATAATCTTACAATGTATCAAATTCTTATACAAATTCATTTTATTCTTTTATTTTACCTTAGTGAATTCTGTTTGAAACATTATGTAATTTTTAAACTGATTCTTATGAAAATTTCACAAGGAATTTATATTACCATACTTACTTTAATTTAGTAAGTATATTATTGGAACGATTAAGTTTCTGTTAATTTTTGAACTTCAAAAATTCTGCAAATCTCATTCCTGTCGCAACCTCCTCAAAATAAACAGCAGTGGGCTTTACAAATTGTTGAATTTATGTCCTATTTGATCCACCTTCAGAACGATCAAATAACACTCTAACTTTTTTATTTTAATTGGTTGTCCATCTAAAAAATGCTTTTTGATTTTCTGGTAAAGTATCAAATTCTTACTAATTTATTAAATAAAAATACTTTAGTAATCAATAGGAAACCATTTGGATAATTAATTGGTTTATCATTTTTAAGTTGCACCATATTTATTTCTTCAAGTCTTACTTATCTTGGTAATAATTTTCCATGTTGCTTAGGTTGTTTTTCCATTTCGATTTATTAACCTGTTAAAAATTTTCTAGATTCTTTATCATGAGTTTAATAGAAACTTTTTGTAAAATTTGAGGATTCACTCATAAATAATATTAATTAATAATTGTAAGATTAAATTAAATAATATTTACATTTGATTCATAAATAAATAAATAAGATATAATTATTTGTATTAGATGATTTAAATATGTAACTTAACTCATTCAAGGTAAGCAACATAGGATTCATTTTGGACACCACATGGATTACCTTTGGCTGGTAATCTAATGTATCCTTTTTCTCCCCATCCAGTTCCCCATGAATTCTTAATAATCCAAACTCCATCTTCTTAGAAACCTGTAGCTAAGACAGCATGATTTAATGATTTTAATGTGCATTTATCAAAAACACCAGTCTTATAATATTACCATGAACTGGCATCAACAGCAACAGTAATTGGTTAATAAGATAAAGCAGTGTACATGTTACTTGCAGATACAACTTAATATCCTGATGGTTTGTATTATCCAGTTGTAATTTGGCATTTTTATTATTTACCAACATATGGATATTTGTCACTTGTTGTAAGACCATTCTTTTTAGCCCATGAGATACCCAAATTTTCAAAACCACCATTACATCCATCGTTTGTACCTCTATCACAATCAACTAATTATTATTCTGATAACCATGTGTTTGATGGAAGAACTCCCTTAATATTCAAAAGTGTTTCAACTGCACCAACAGCAGAGAATGCCCAGCATGAACCACAATTACCTTAGTCCTTGACTTTGGTAATTTTTGACCAATCAGCTGATGCACCTACAGGTCCTTATGGAATATATAATTCAGCACTAAGATTCATGTTTGATTATTTTCTTGTTAAATATAAGGCAGCGAATTCTTCAGGTGTTAAATCGGTGAATTAGTTTTCTCCAAATCTGGTAGTGCTACTTGAGTCAGAATTTTAGATTTAGATTTATTTCATTGCATCTTCATAAACCTTGGATCTGTATAATTTCTCGGCTGATGAGTAGTATTTACCATATTGTGTTGTGTATTTATCAAATTAAACTGTTAAATCAACTGATTCTGTTTGATTTAATTGATGGATTCCAACTGTTAATAATGTAATAGCTGCTAATGCTAATAATTTGTTCATTATTATTAATAATCTTTTCTCTTTTAATTTCCTTTTATAATTGGAGTGGTGACATCATCGTTAATTTATAATTACAATCTTCTAATTAATCTTTATTAATCAAATGTACTATATGATATTTCTATGATCATCTCTCTAATTCTTAATTTTCTTATAATGACGACATCCTTATTTCCTAATAAAAAATTGTTTAATATAACTCAAGAATATCTATTTATTTTGTTAAACTAAGAAATAGTAGATTATGGATAAACCATTAAATAACATTAAAATTACTTCAGATATCATTAGACTCTTTATAGATTTATAAATACTAACTAATAGTTTAAACTAATTTTAATTACTTTTTTTGTAAATATTATATTAACAACATTCTATTTCTTTATAATTTATGAACAACTAGAATAAATGAAAGAACTTTTTAGATTTTTAAACACCCTTTAAAGTAAAATTAAAGCAGAATTTTAATCATTTTTCAACTATTGAATTTTTATTAGTTTAAAGATAGAAATTGTAATAAAATATAATATCAATAATCATCCTATGTTATAAGGGAACTTTTGTAATTATTCTAAAACAAGTACTTAAAAAATTAGATAATTTATAAAACAATAAGATATTTAAGGACAATTTTAATAGATTTTATTTAATCATTCTATAAATACAATTGGAAGCTTTTAGACAATAGTAACAATTATTAACTATTGAATTTTCGATAATTTAATGAATAAAGGTGGTGATAGTTATAAGTAATACCTGTGTATTTATCAATTTAATTGATAATGAACATAAGTAAGATGATTCTATTTGAAACATATCTTATTACCCTATAGAGGTAGTTAAATTGTTCAAGTTTCGTCCATAATAGTTTGGAAATTTGTAAATTATTAATACATACTTTAACAGTCTATATTTTTGAATAATTGATGATTCTTATATCTGTCATATAATATGGAATAAATTATGTAAAAGTTGATAGAAATACCAGAAGAGGGGAATTGTGAGGAACAAATTTAAATTGAATATAAATTAAGAATATTAAAAGCCTTTTGAAAAATATTTAAATCTAATAGAGCAAACTTTTAAGAGATTTATAAAAAATATAATATTTGAAGAAATTTACAATAATTAAGAGAAAATTGAAGTTTAAGTTGTTTAATGGTTGAATAAAATAAAAGAATAAATGAATTTGATGATATTGGGCAAGAGTTCTATTTATATATAGAATATATTTAAGATTTATATAAATAGCTAATTATAAATTGATCACTTTAATTAATAAGTAAAATAGATCTAGACATTATTGGATGAAAGAAGAAGAAGAAGAAAGTAAACCTAAGATAAAATCAAATGAAAATGTTATTTAAATTNTAGACTCTTTATAGATTTATAAATACTAACTAATAGTTTAAACTAATTTTAATTACTTTTTTTGTAAATATTATATTAACAACATTCTATTTCTTTATAATTTATGAACAACTAGAATAAATGAAAGAACTTTTTAGATTTTTAAACACCCTTTAAAGTAAAATTAAAGCAGAATTTTAATCATTTTTCAACTATTGAATTTTTATTAGTTTAAAGATAGAAATTGTAATAAAATATAATATCAATAATCATCCTATGTTATAAGGGAACTTTTGTAATTATTCTAAAACAAGTACTTAAAAAATTAGATAATTTATAAAACAATAAGATATTTAAGGACAATTTTAATAGATTTTATTTAATCATTCTATAAATACAATTGGAAGCTTTTAGACAATAGTAACAATTATTAACTATTGAATTTTCGATAATTTAATGAATAAAGGTGGTGATAGTTATAAGTAATACCTGTGTATTTATCAATTTAATTGATAATGAACATAAGTAAGATGATTCTATTTGAAACATATCTTATTACCCTATAGAGGTAGTTAAATTGTTCAAGTTTCGTCCATAATAGTTTGGAAATTTGTAAATTATTAATACATACTTTAACAGTCTATATTTTTGAATAATTGATGATTCTTATATCTGTCATATAATATGGAATAAATTATGTAAAAGTTGATAGAAATACCAGAAGAGGGGAATTGTGAGGAACAAATTTAAATTGAATATAAATTAAGAATATTAAAAGCCTTTTGAAAAATATTTAAATCTAATAGAGCAAACTTTTAAGAGATTTATAAAAAATATAATATTTGAAGAAATTTACAATAATTAAGAGAAAATTGAAGTTTAAGTTGTTTAATGGTTGAATAAAATAAAAGAATAAATGAATTTGATGATATTGGGCAAGAGTTCTATTTATATATAGAATATATTTAAGATTTATATAAATAGCTAATTATAAATTGATCACTTTAATTAATAAGTAAAATAGATCTAGACATTATTGGATGAAAGAAGAAGAAGAAGAAAGTAAACCTAAGATAAAATCAAATGAAAATGTTATTTAAATTAGATAGGAATAATTATAAGAAAAAATTTTTTGAATAATGTTGTAGTACTTATGGAAGAAGCAATTAGAAAATGGAAATATTAAAAAATAGTATTTTATGATCTTGAATATTGTGTTTTGTAAATATCTTTAATTTTCCAATTATTATATTTTACTTAAAAAAAAAAGAATAATATTTTTTATATATTTATCAATTCTGTAAACAATTTTCAATATGCAAACACAGAAATTGCAAATATGTTGAGTTATCGAAAAGTTTATAAATTAATAAAAAGATGACTTAATTAATTCATAGATTATTATTCAAAATTTAAATTGTAAATTAACATTTATAAAAAAAGCATATTAATATTATTATTCAGAAATGATAAATGAATTCTTTTTTAGAATGTGTTTTTAAACATTACACTCCTTAAGCGAGCTTAAACTTGTTAATGAGGAAGAGAAACTCATACTTAAAGATCTAATAATTAGGAATGAATTTGATATTCCTTTTACTATCAGTGTAGAATAACTCTCTTTCTTTTTTTTATATTTAATTAAAAAATACAGAAAGAATTAACAAATAAAACAAAGCTAACTTCTGATAATCGATGAAGAGACAGATGAAGAATTGATTTGAGAGTCCATTAAATAATTGTGAGTATTGTGTATATATTATTTCTTAAACCGATTTTTCCTAACTATTATGACTTAATTAAAACATTAGAAAAGCTTCTAGAATTTTTCTAATACATAATTATTTCTCATTAAATTAACTAACATTGTGCATCTTAATATAAATAACATAAAATTAGTATGCATTAATTTATCAGTAGTATATATCTAAAATTCATTTAATTTCTAAAAATAAAATTCTTTCTAACTTAATTTGACATAATTTAAAATTATGACATAAACAAATTTCTAAAATGAACTTAGACAATTCTAAACTCTATATGAATAAATTACATTGTAAAGTAGAAAAAATAATTATGTGTCAAAATGATAATGAGAATTTGATGAACAAAAGAAATGCTGTGAGATAATTAAAAAAACTAAGAAAGATAATAAGTATATATTAATAAATTTAAAAGGTTTAAATTTTATAATTGATAAGATTTCAAAATCGATTGCTGAAGAGAAAAAAATTTTAATGCATTAATTTTTCTTTATTTTAATTTATATAATTATAGAGTTATTCATTTTTTAACTGATCCAATAAAATAATAATATTATGTTTAGAATTTTCATTTGAAGTAAAATAATGATAGATTAATATAATATATAATTCAAATAGAGAATAATCAATATATATATTTAATTAAATGATACTAAAAATTCATAAAACCTTTTAATAGATGTTTTAAATATTGCTTCACTCAAATAAGTATGTGTTTTGAGAGTTTTGTTAATTAATTCTAGAATTCTTGAGAATAAAGCTAAAATTAATTAAATATTAAGTATATAATTTAATCAGTACATAAGAAATTATATGATAAAATAAATACAGTAATTTTTATTTTTATAGAACAAATTATTAAGAATGTAGGAATATAAAAATGATTTATTTATATAAATATAAAATTTAATCTTATAAGATTGTAAGAATTCATACTTGATTAAATTTAAAGAATTGCACTTCTTTATCTATTTTTAAATGTAAATTTTGATTAATAATATTCTTAGGAATTATTTATAAAAAATATTGTAAAACAAATTTTTTTTGAGTAAAAAATAAATAAAAAATATAGGCAATCTTTTTAATATCATATAAATAAAATAACTGTGAATACTAAGATTATATCAAATACTTTAATAATAAGTATGAATTTCATTAATATCTTATTCTGTAAATAAGGTAATTATTCATATAATATTCGAATTAAAATAGAACTAATTTAATAAATACTTTTAATATATTACTGTAACTTAACTCCTTTTTAAAAATAAACAAAGAATAAATATATGGATATATAAAGGGAAGTTTAAAATGTCCTACTAAAAGTAATATTTAAATTTATTTATACAATTGAATTTTTTATTTATTTTAGTTTAAAATCAGCATTATGTTATCAATTTTTAGATAAATTTAGTGAAATAGAGGATGTCTTTGATGAAAATAAACAAATTTAGTGATTTGCTTATTTTACATAATTTAAATCAGTTAATAAATTTGAATATTAAAAATGAATACAAGAGATGGACAGACAGAAAAGATTGAAAAGGACTTTTCAAGATTATTGGAGAGATATAATCGTTCAAAATAAGTCATCGATTAATTGTATTAATCAGGTGGGAAGAATGATACGACAATACGTTCAGAGAAAAATATTAAAGAAGAGAAGGAAAAGGAGTATGTGTCAAGAGATAAATATAGCAAAATGAGAAACTTAAATAAAGAGCTTAAAGTATAAAATTGAATAATTAAATAAAATAGTTAACTCTAAAAGAATACATAGATCGAACAAAAGAACTGGAATCTGCAATAAGAGGAAAGGATGATCTTATTGAAAAGTATGAGAAGGAACTTAGAGAATAATAAGAGAATCTTTATAATCAATTACAAGAATAGAAAGAATAGATTTTGAAGGAAGATTAATAATCAAGAATTAATGAAGATTTAAGAACTTAATTATCTTAAGCTAAATAGAAATTGATTAAAAAGAAAGCTAAAATTCAATTATTAAAAGATTCTCATAAAACTATTGATGTAAATATACATTTAATATTGATTTTAGAGTAAGTTTGAAGATTAGAAATAAGGATTTCAATAAGAATTAGAGAGAGTATAGAAATTATGCGAAGAGTTTTCAAATGAAATGTAAGATTATTAGATTAATTGTTAATTAGTAAAGATTCAGAGAAGAGACTCATATGTTTGAATGATGAAAATGAACAATATAAATAATTACTAGATTAAAAGGAAGAAGATAGAAGATATTTAGAAATGATGATTTAAGAAGAGAGAGATAATACAAATAAGATAAGTGCAAAATTTTAAGAATTTTTAGATGAGAAAAAGATTTTGTAAATTACAATAGAAAATTAAGGAAAGAGAGTATAAGATTTAGAGGAATAATTAAAATAAGCTGATACAAGATATTTAATGTTATAAGGAAAATTAGATTAAGAGAAATAAGGAATAATAAGTGAATTATAAGAGACATTGTAGAAAAAAAAATAAAAAACAAAATAAATGCAAACATAAATCTAATAATTAGAATAGAAATTATAAGAGAAATCAAAAGAAGATATTATAGTTAATAAATAAATTTAAGATTTATAAGGAGAATAGTTAAAATTATAGTCTTTACTTGAGGATTAAAAACATAAAACAGACTAAGCACTTAATGAGGCTTAATTTAAAGTTCAAGAAGTAAGAGAATTAAAAGGAGAAATAGAGAAATATAGATAAACACTTTAAATTTAAGATGAAAAACTATCAAAATATGATGTGTAATATTAGATTGATTAAAAAGAAAAATAAAGATTAATTCATGAAATTGAGATTTGTGAATAGGAGAATAGAAAATTATAACATTTACTTTATGAATAAGATAGAGACATTGATTATATGAGACAATAATAAGAATAAGTATAATTAAAATATTTATAGTTTATAGGAGATTTTACATATTGAGAAGAAAGTTGATTCTCTTGTTACTGAAGTTCATGTGGCTAGAGAAGAAGCAAATGAATGGAAAAGAAATGCAAATGATTTGAAAAGATAGTTATAATTATAAGAAGAAAATACTAATTAATTTAAAGCAAAATATTTAAAGAGTAAATAGAATTCAAAAAATCTGGAAAATGAATAACGATTTGTAATTTATAAATATTTAAAATTTTATAGCTTGAAGAAAAAGTAAAATTATTAGAAAATGAAAAATTACTTGGAGAGAGAGAAGTTTTGAAAAATACTGTAGTTTAATAAAAATCAGTCCAATAAAGTAAAATTAAGGTGCTTGATGAAATCTAGAACATGATCAAGTAACATAAATATAGAGAATGAATTTTTATATTATTTAATATTAATGAAGACAGAAAAAAAAGGAGAATATCCTTATTTTCATCATTTTAAAAAATACTATCTCTCTTTGAACAAAAATATCTTAAATGAATAAGAAATAAATACAGCTTCTGATCTTTTTATTGAATACAATAAAAATATAGCAGATATGAATATATTTTTATTGCATTCAATATGAAGTATTATAAAATACAGTATTTATTTAAAAATGGTTATTATATTACAAAATGTCTTAGAAATTGTTGTTATGATAATATTTTTTAAAGGATAGACAATCTATCAGATTATGTGTAATCGAATTTACTTAAAGTTTAAAAGATGCAGATGAGCTTGTTTAGGAGTAATTTAAGTTATTAAAGGATGATTTCTAAGATGTTCAGGTGTTTCTAATGTAATCATAATTTGAATGAAATGTTTTTATTATAAAATTTAAATATTAGATAGGAATTCTATTATTATTAATGAATTATTTATATGTAGATAATTATTCATTAGCATAAACTATATAAATTTGTACAGAATTCTTCTATTGTACATTATTCTGTATGTTAAAAGTATATATATCCTTATTATTAATCTATTTATGCTTGTAATCTTTCAGTGATAATCATGTTCTCTAAAAGTTCATAAGCTTGATCCTCCTTCAATTTACAATACTGAGCCAACTTCTATATTGAGATGTTACTATAAAATCTACTAATGGCTGTAATGATATGTTCACAAAATAAACTAGCATTAGTTTTAGTATCTTAGGCAAAGTTTTCAATATCAGTCCATTTCAATAAAACTTATTGTACACTTAAATATTGGAAATGAAATCAAAATACTTTGATTTTATAAATGGTAGCCATTTTTATTTTTAACTTCTACTGTCTCTAAAGATTGTCAATAATAATGCTTGTCTCTTTTCAGAGGCTGGGGCAGCCAATCCATTAATGATAGCTCTTTCCAAATAGATTGGTAACTTTTAACTAAGATTATAGTAAATGGAAGCAGCTTATAATCTTTTTTAATCATGTTCATAAATGATAGCTTATGCAATATCACATTTTAATTTTTCTTCAGCACTTAATTTAGCACGACCTTTTTCTAAATTTTTGCTTAATAGTAATCTTGCTTCTTGATAAGACTCTTAATTTTACATACGTAAAATAAATAATATATCAATATTTTAGTTTATTGCCTTCCCAAAATCCAATATAAGTTTATCCGTATTTTTAAGTGTAAGTACCTCTTCCATCCATTTGATCTTTCTGAAATCCACCTATGTAACAATCACCATTTGAAAAAGTAATACTACCAATTCCATGTTTCCTAATAATGATAATGTAATTTTACTTATTTTAATAGAAATCACCTTCATATTTTACCCAATAATTCAAAATACCAGGGAATTCATTAATATTAAGGAAAGCATCCATGATATCAGGATTATTATTACAATGCACTCCAAAACCATGGAATTAACCATTTATAAATTAACCTTCATATTCAATTGAAGAATCAGCATAATAAAGTATTCCTTATCCATTCATTTATTCATTCATGATTTCTCCTTCATAATATCTTCCATCAGCAAATTATAATTTATCTTATTTTATTCGACTATGATAAGGTGAAAGGGAACGATTTGATTATATTGGTTAAGGTTACTACTTATCAAATTATTATTATTTTGATTATGTAATTGTTTATATCAATTATTAGTTATTTTATGGTATTGAATTGCCATAATGTTATAAACTATTATTTCCAGGTATGGATTATGAATTTATAAATGGTTATTCTGGATATAATGGAATATTAATTAATCTTGAAGTTTCTACAGGTGATTTGTATGGATTTCCTTAGAACTTTGATTAACTGTTGATCTATTAGGGAATCTTTAATAGAAGATTAGTGCTATCAATTATTTTACATTATTAAGCCTCTTTTAATCTATTTTGAATGTCTTAATAATTATATCTTTGAAATGGATCTAATTAGAGCATATTAGTTATGATATCTGACAAAGTGCTAGGATAAATCTTTTAAAATTCAGCTATTCTAGTTGTCAATCTTTATTGATCAATTGTATTGTTCTAATAAAGAGAATCACATGATTTAGCTATGCTTAATTAAACTAATTAAATACCTAATGAAACATGAAGTAGAAGCATACCAAAAGTGAAGATGGTTGCTTTTTCAACTGAATATTTAATTGATGGATCTATCTTAAGTTCTTCTGGTGCTGGATATAAATGAGGCATTTATTTTCCCCAGAAATCAATTGGTCTATATGAATTATCAAAACTTCTCAATTTCCAAACATCATTTTCACCTTACCATAAATTATTGAATCCTATGTATTGTTTTTTATCAAGATTTAATTATGCAAATACTACACAATCAATTAAATGATATAATTCTTTGGAAGAATAATCTTGTTATCCTCTGTTTTAAAGGTATTCAGCAAAACTTTGGACTGGATGTTCAACAAGCAGTTGGAGTTCATAGAAGGTAGAACAGAATTCATCATGAGTCACAGTATTTTGTTTAATAATTTGAAGTAGAGTTTAACAAGCTTTGGTTTAATTCAAGTCTTTTACAGCCCTTTTAAAAGAGTCTTCATCATGATATTTGAAAGTCCAAAATTCTAATTTTTGCATAGTTGTTTTGTTCTAGAATAGTATGAATGTTTATTATTTGTCTATTATATCGAACTATTTGAGTGTTTCTTCAAAAAGTTGAGATTAACTTTGTTTTGATTATGGAATTCCCATTTTATTTAAAATTAAAACAAAATAAAAGCTTATAATAGGTAAAAAGAAATAATCTAAAAATTTTAAATTAGAAACAAAAATATTGCAATTCAAATATCTAAATATATAGAAAAGATAATAATAAATTAAACTATTATGAATCTCAAAAGAACCACATTTTTAATCATCTCTTTAGTATGAATAGTTGAAATTCAATTAGACATCAGAATAAATCTAAAATTTTAATGAAATTCGCATCAAATATATTTTGTTAAAGTGTAGAAATAAAGATTGATGAAATCAAATTAAAAGAAAAAGATAACCAAGCTTTTTAAAGAAAATTTTTGATAAATTAAAGGAGTCTGATGATTTTTGATATATCTCATTGAAGTAATTATCCATTTGAATACATTCTAAATTCTTATAATTTGATGTTAGCGGCATCAAGAGTTTTAGTATGCTAAGTATTGTAAGAATTTGACTATGAAATATTGGGACTTTGATTAATTGAAGGTCTTTGTTATAGATATATATACTTATGAAAACTCTTTTCATCATCTTGTAGATATCTGTGAAGTTACTTTAATTTACTAATTTAAAAATCTTACACTTAGACTCTATGAGTAATGGATGATGTTCTAAAATATTTTATAATAAATACACATTGGTTATCTTTTTCATCAAAATAAGATTCTCCATCATATTCTATTAATGTCTTAATAATTGTTATAAATTCTTTTTTGCTTAACATAATTTAACTTATTAAGATTATGTCTTCTTTTCATTTGCTATTTCCAACAATTTAATTCTAAAATTATAGAATTGTTTACCTTAATCGTTGATTTTCTTCTCCAAGTTATTATTATTCTACCTACTTACGTCTATTAATGGATTAAGATCTCATTCTCTCAACTCTGGCTATAACACTAGAGATCTACTTATTCTCATATCCCTTGATACTGGATAATCGTTGCTTATGCAATGAAAATGCCCTACTATTGTAAAGACTTACATTCGTCTTGAACGAAGAGAATCATATTCTTAATAACTCATTAATTAATATTATTCTTCAATTGTTAGATCTCTAACTACTATTTGATTACTTTCTATTCTAATATAGCAATTTCTGCTGATTACTCGAATTATGAAATAGCTGCATCCAATTTACTCCTCAGTCGTAGGAAGTCCGACTTCAGTGATGCCAAATCAATCTGTTATACATCCTTTCCATTACATTTTTCCTATCATTTCATTATAACAAATTCATACTTGATGATAAGCCATTGATTTACGATTGAATTACTTATTACAGTATTAACATGTCTCTATCACGTACTCACATACTAATAAATGATCACCCTTTGCTCTTTTTAATGTTGTTACAAAACATCCAGGTGATGGACATGGAATACGTTAAAACTCACATTCTTCAACATGTTTCTAATATTTTTTGTAATCCAGTGTCACTTTACAACCATATCGACGATTTAAACATCCAATTACCATATCTCTATAACTCTAGTAAATAGCATTGTTAGCAGGATTGAAATAATTAAGTGCTTTGCATTTCTAACAAAATATTTTTGGCCCTCTTGATTTTTATTTTAGATCTCCATGACAACTTTAACAAAGCAATTTCTAACATCGATAACATTGAAGAGGTTATTATGGAACCAATTGGCATTCAATACATAAATTGGGCTGTAGATGCACCTTTACTTGATCCCAATTCAATATTTATCTGGTGTCAATTGGATTCATAATTTATAATTATATTAATCACTCCAAATTCATTTTCACTAACTTAAACTCTACCATTTCATTCATATTACTCTAATCTTTTATTTGGTTCCATAATTCCATCACATCTTTTTTTAAGAATTTAAACAAATAGGTTTTTTTATTATAAACTTTCATTCTTCTATTATCTATAATCCATACACTATATGATTATTATCAACTACTTAAATGACACAACTTAATATATTTTAATTAAATATTTAACAATATTTTTCATCTATTAATTTCTATTGTACTTATAGAAGTACTTCAAATTACTAATATAAATTAACCATATAATTTATTAATTCTTTTTAGTATATCTGTAGAATTATTCTTTACTTTATTACAAGTATAAAAATACCAAATTCTTTTTCATTCAATAATAATAAATGATCTTTTCGTAAACTTGTTTAATAATTATAAGAATTAATCAAATCCAATTAATTATCTAATTTTTCAAATAAAATTTGTTAATGGCATAAGAATGTTGTTTTGATTCTCAACTAACAATCAATTCTGATGAAGATGATAAATTAATTGATGTGCTGACATTTCCTACTAACTTTTTTTTATTTAGCGAAAGCAGTACTCAATCACTCTCAAATTCAGAATCAGCGAATTATCCCATTACATCACCTGGATATAAATTCATGGGTAAATATTATAGTGCAGAATATCAAGAAAATAATGATGAAATCAGAACTTTTAAAGATTTAAACTTAGTTTAAGTTGGTAAAAGTGTGGACAGTTAAAACAATAAGTCCTCTAACCTTGAAAATTCATCCAATTAAATACTCAATTAGAATCAGTAAATTATAATTGAGAAAAAAACAAATTCTGATCATTTCAATCAAAGAAATGTTTAAGAAAAATAAGGAATTAGAGCTAAAGATAGGTAAAGGTTGTCTCTGGCACCTAGATCTAATAAATTAAATGAGAAAAAAATGATGTCAAATAAATTAAATAGTATTATAAAGGTAAGTTGTCTGAAAGGAGCTTCGAATAGAAATTCCTAAATTCGACCTATTTTTGATTTATTCGTTTAAAGACCATCAAATAAAAATGTTTCTTTCTAATTTACTATGGAATAAATTAAAACAATGAGAAAAAATAATAAATCAAATATATTCAGTATGACTAATGAAAAGAGTAATAAACTTTTTCTTATTTGAGTATAAGTGATTAAAAATATTTTTATTGCCAAATAAAATTGTACTTATTTATGATTATTTAATAATTTAATTTATACGTCTTAATGAAATCTAAAGTACTTTTATTATTATTATTATTATTATTATTATTATTATTATTATTATTATTATTATTATTATTATTATTATTATTATTATTATTATTATTATTATTATTATTATTATTATTATTATTATTATTATTATTATTATTATTATTATTATTATTATTATTATTATTATTATTATTATTATTATTATTATTATTATTATTATTATTATTATTATTATTATTATTATTATTATTATTATTATTATTATTATTATTATTATTATTATTATTATTATTATTATTATTATTATTATTATTATTATTATTATTATTATTATTATTATTATTATTATTATTATTATTATTATTATTATTATTATTATTATTATTATTATTATTATTATTATTATTATTATTATTATTATTATTATTATTATTATTATTATTATTATTATTATTATTATTATTATTATTATTATTATTATTATTATTATTATTATTATTATTATTATTATTATTATTATTATTATTATTATTATTATTATTATTATTATTATTATTATTATTATTATTATTATTATTATTATTATTATTATTATTATTATTATTATTATTATTATTATTATTATTATTATTATTATTATAATGTAAAATTTATTTATTTAAAGGATATACAAAATTTCTCTAATTAAATTAGTCATTATGTAAATTATAAATTATAAGTCATCACTTAAATTTATCTTTATCTTTTTTATCAGGAGGAGTAACATTGAGCTTTAAACACTTTCCTTTTTATGAATTCTCAGTTATGTACAATACTCCAGGTTTTTCACTTATACTTTTAATAAAAATTTTACACTGAGAAAGCCAATCCAGTTAATTCAGGATATTAAGGTAGTATAATATTATCAATATTAATTCCATTTTAATTATATACACTGATTAGTCCATCATCAGTAACTTAAGAGAACTCATATCTAGCTACATATAAGAGATCTGTTGATGAAACTGCGCAGGCCATAGGTCCGAACCTTCCTTAAAATTAAATATAAACACTATATAGGATAGACTATGATACCTAAAATGATATATTTCAGCCTTAGCCTATACAAATCGTAGTATTCTATTTTTACCTGTTTCGCATAAATAAATGGTTTTTTGATCATTTCCCATACATATTCCACTTGGAAATGAGAGACAATATAAAGCTAATGCTTTACATGTTAGATTTTCTAAATCTGCTGCAAACAATGATCCTTTACAGTTATCTATTGCAGTTTCTCCAAAAGGTCCAGAATCTGTAAAAAATATCATGTCTAATATTTATATAGTGAGATACTATTTTTAGGAGAGAGTAAAAGTGAATTAGGTCCAAGAAGAGGCATGCCTTCAAATTCATTAATGAAATCAATAATTTCATCGTTATTCTCGTCTTAACAAAATTTCTAGATGCATTATCTAGCCATATTAGCAACATAAAACACTTTATTCTTATTATCCATTTTAATTGAATGTGGCTAACTGGCTACATGAAAAAAAGTCTGATTTTAGAATATATATCATACTATTTATTTTTCATCCTTGTATTAAATTATTTCTCCATTTTATGCTGCTACATAAACAGCTCCATCAACTTCAATTGGACTATTAAGTTAAGATTGTTATTCAACTATAATTTAAGGAGCAGACATTTTAATAATACTTAATTAAAACAAAAATTATGAATCTCTTATGGCAGAATATAAATATTCATATAAAAAGTTATCATATTATCTAATAAGAAATATTAATAATCAATAGATTATATGTAATAAGAATCTCTTAATAAATTTGATTTACTTAAATCTATATAATATGAAGTTAACTATTTGTAAATACTTATGTGAATTTTATATATCATTCAACTTACATCTTTTATGGCTACTTTTAGTATTCATCAAACATGTATTCTGCTTAATGATCTCTTAAATATTATGTTGATCTAACATGATCTATGAACATTGAATAAACCTAAATTAAAATTGAATTTTTACTCTTCTAATATCTTCAACATCAACTTCATTTGATTTTCTTTTTTATGCAACTAAATTAGCAGTTGTAATTAATTAAATAGCATATCTTAAAGTTGTATCCACTCCAATTTTAGTTAATACTTCTTTTGCTTCTTCAGTCATTTCAACATCTTCTTCTTCACATCTAAAAATAAATTAAATTTATATTCTACCTTATTTCAAGAATACTTCTAATTTCTGCTTCATTATATGGTTCAGTTTAGATAATTAAACATCTATCTAATAGATCTATTGGTAAACCATGAGGTCTAATTATAGAATTAAATTAAATACCCTTTATAAGTAGTTCCACGAATAGTTGTTATTCCTCTGTTTGTTGCCAAAATCACAATAGGTGCTTTATCAGATTCTAATGCTCTATTAAGGAATGAAAAACACTCAATATCTAACATATGAACTTCGTCAATAAATAAAACACCAGGAACAATATCAGCCTTTCCTTCCTCTTTCCATTCAGCAACTTTAGAATCTATTTAATCTCTTATTTCTGAATCTATTTCTCCTGTATCACCTGAGAATAAGTCTAAAAATCCTTTCTATCTTGAATTTATAACATCTATTTCATGCAAAGTAACTGTATGAACAACTTCCTTTCTTTTTTCTATTTCTCCTTCTGGACATTATACATGTCTTGTTTATGGACCTAGAGCATCAAATTCAGAAGCTTTTGAAAAAGATCTTCCTAATTTACTAATTCTTCCAGAAACCTTATCTATAGTTATAACATCTCCAGATGTGATCTTTTCTTTTGTAATTGATTCTATCATCTTAGCTCCTAAATCATAAATTGTTTCCATTTCTGTTGTTTTCAAAGTTATTTTTCCAGTTTTTGCTCCTGAAGTTGCAGATTTATCAATTTCAATTTCTACAACTTCTCCCTCCACAATTTCTGTTTCTTCTTTAATTCTGACTCCTATTGATCTTCTAAATGCTTAAGTAAGAGATTCAGTCTTTGACATCTAAAGACTGAAAATTTCTGATCCTGCCATAGCTGTAAAAGGAATATCATTTCCTAATGCCTTTGCAACACCCATAGCAATTGCTGTTTTACCTGTACCTGGTTATCCTGCAATTAAAATGCTTCTTCCTGCTATTTTACCAGCACGTATAGTATTAAGGATGATACCTGCAGCTTTCCTAGCTTTTTTCTATTTTGTATTTTTAAATTATTTAATACCTATCCTACCATTCCTTATGATATATTTCTTGGCTCAAGATCACCATCTAAACCTAGACCTCTGATATGAGATTAAGCACCTACTCTTTCAATTCGAGTTGCTTCTTTGTATTCACTAATTTTTGGAGCATTAACTGTGGTCATTATTTTAATATTTAATGAATAGCTTAAAATAATATATTTAATTTATAAAAATTCTTTAGAGTATTAACTAATCCTCTAATTCTTAAAATAAAAATCATATTTGATAGAATTCCAAAATACATAAGGCCCAAATTTTTTTTTTTCAATATATTAATTATATTTCTATTAAATGTTTGGCAAGATTATCTAAGCAGAGATTATCAAGACGAACCAAAAAGTGTAATTTAAAATATCTCAATTTACGAACAATGAAGAGATTGACTAAAAGATTATTAAAAACTTTATCAAAGAAGTAGATATTGATTTGGTACACATTACTAATCTACCTATCTTAACATAATTAACAGTTGAATATAACAGAATGATGGGAAACAATTAAACATACAGTATAGAAAATGTTTAAAATTGGATTAAATCAAGTGAATTGATTGAGCTCACTTATGCATTAAGATGGGTATATGAAAAATCTTCAGAAAAAGAAAGAGAAGAGATTGATATTTATTTTGATACTAATGATGAAATTCTAAAGAAGATAGTGCTTTTAAATATATGTTTGGAATAGAAAAAAGAAATTTCAATATCTAATTTAATTGAATTAGTTAGTGATAATACAGAAATTTTATATGGTTTGTCTTTATATCTGTAAAAAATAATAGAAACCCAACAAGACTTTTAAAAATATGTCCCTTTACTTTTGCAAATGATTTAATAAGGTGATAAAACAGCAATTAATTAATTAATCATAGTTGAATTAATTGAAAAAGTTTTAACAAAATTTTCAAAGTAGAAAAATGAACTCTTTGATGAATTGATCTTCAATGATTACATCATATAATAATTAGAATGGTAAGAAGATTATAAAAATTATACTTTAAAAGAATTAGAAAACCCAAACTTAAGTCTAAGAAAAACAAAATAAGCATATCAATACACAAAAGATTAATATGAAATCATAATATAGAAATTTAAAAGTTAATGGGAAGAAAAATTAGCTAAAATAATCAAATCAAATTAGTCAGAATAGGGAAATTAAATTACAATGAGCATGGATGATATGTTTAGTTCTGCTGTATTAGAAGAAAGCTAACAAGAGAAATAATTATCTGCTGTATTAGAAAAAAGCTAACAAGAGGAATAAATATCCACTCTAAGGAGAAGAAAAACTAAAGTTATAAGACCTATTAATCCAGAATCAATTCCAAACCCAATTACAAATCCTCCACCTGCCCAATCTAGTGTTCCTCCATCACCTTTAATTTAGGGTCAATCTGGGATTTCTCCACAATCGAAGGGTCAATCTGGTATTCCTCCACCTCCACTATCTGGTGTTCCTCCACCTCCTCCTCCACAATCCAAGGGTCAATCTGATGTTCCTCCACCTCCACCTTCACCTCCACCTCCACCTCCACCTCCACAACCCAAACCTCAATCTGGCACTAAACCCATCCCTCCTCCCCCTTAAAAAGTTTAATAATCTTCAGCCCCTAAAGTAGCTCAAAAAGCACCTGGTCATCCAGATTATATTAAATTTAATTATCCTATTGTTGAAAATGATATTGAAGGAACTATCTGGAAGGCTCAATTGCAAAATTATTAGGTTAAAATAAATGAAGGAATTCTAAAATAATTTGAAAAGAAGTAAAAATAATAACAAACAGAGTAAAAAAAAGTAATACAAAAACTAATACAAAAAGAAGTAGTAGAGTATCTAGATTCTGTTTTTGGAAATTAAATGGGGATATAATTAAAACAGAAAATACTTCAGAAAATCGATTTAGATAATATTTTGGAATAGATAAACTAACTTGAATTTCTAAATTAGAATAAAGATAAGGAAATGAGATTAAATATCGACCATCTTAATGAGATTATCGAAAAAGTAACATAAGACAATATTATAAAAATTTAAGATAATATAATAAAAGCTAAAAAAAGTAGTTAAGCATATGTAAAAAAAAGACTAGAAGAAGAAGACCAATTATAAAAGTAAGAAAAAGAAAGATTAACATATCTATCAATAGAGGATAGAGTATTAGCTCTTTTTGAATTAGATTCAAATGTGAATAGTTGCTAAAATGATCTGTAAACTACCCTTGGCGAATATGAAGTTCAAAAAATTCTTTCATAGCTTGAACCAGAGTTAGAATAATATAGAAAAACTCTTATTACTACAGAGTCAGAAGAATAGAAAAATGATATTATGTTACAATTTGAAGAGGCACTTTTCAAAAAATAAAAACTGCTTAAATCTAAAAAGTTATAGATTTAAGATAAATTCTAAGTTCCTAATATTGATCTTTTTCTCAAATATTTATATGAAAGAAATACTAGAAAAGGAATTTAAATTGAAGCCTTTTATAAAGAGCATCTTGATCGTAAAATCCATATTGAAAATGCAGTAACATAATATAGTGAAGTGTTTGAAGAGCTGAAAAAGGATGAAGAGTTGATTCTGTATTTCCAATATATCAAAGAATACGGAAAAGTGTTTAATAATATTAAGGCTGATTAGTTTGGATTTAAATTTGAAAATATAATTGCCTTCTCATATAAAACATAATAATTAGAAGGTAGTTAAGAAGAATTAATAAAATATATTGTAGAACATATGATTAAACAAGGTATTCCATTTACGGAATTATAAAATACCCCATTTAAGCATCTTTAGACTTTATCCTAAGAATTTAATGGTCTAAATGAAATTCAAAACTTAATAAAACAATATAAAACTCACCAGAGATTCCTTGAAACCAATTTATAATCTCTAAGTCAAGATGAAGAAAATACTGAATTTATCAAAAAAGCAAAAAAATATGTTTCTGAATATAAAGATTTTATATATTAAATGGAAACAATCTATTAGAATGATTAAAATAATTATTAATAAATAAGAAACTTCTTTTGTGATGATAGGCCAAATATAGAATCTCCAATATTCTTTGGGAATATATTTTAGATTAAAAGTTTGCTAAGAAACTATTATAATCAAATCTAAAGTGAAATAAAAAAGAAAAAGCTAGATTTAGCTAGAAGTAGAAGGATTGGAGTATGATAAATTAATAGAATTATTATATATTTTATAGGATTTATTTTTATATAGTAATTATTAGTTCTAATAAAATATATATAAAAGATTAAATAAAGGAAGAGTTTATGATAACTCATCCAAAGATTCTGGATAAAAAAGATTTTTGTATTGCACCACCATCAATAAAATAAAAGAGATTTTATTTAAACTATTTTTTGTGATTTTTTTTACAATAAGTATTCATTTTTATTAATTTATGAAATAAAATCGAAATAAATTAGATTAGCTACTTTAATTGTTCTAACAAAAAATGATATAATAAACAGGATAAGTGAGACTTGCAACACCATAAAGTGAAGAGAGTTATTCATCAGATGAGATAGAATTTATTTCAGATTATGAACGTATTCAAAACATAAGTTAAAGTTAATGAAATAGATTAATTTAAGATTAATTGAGATTTAGATGAAATAAAAATTCAAAATTTAAGATGAAAATTACGATTATATTAATTCCAGCTGTTTTATCTAGAGATCTTGCTTTAAGTATGGCCATTGAAGCTTAAGTAAAAAAATGAGCATTATTAAATTGTAAAACTCAAAATAAAGAGTTTTTGTAAATTTTAATGATCATAACTAATAGATTTTATGGAGTTTTATAATGTTTAATTCATAAAGATGCTGTTTTAATTTATATATTTATGAATATTTACTTCTTACAATTTATTTATGATTTTATTTTAATAAAAAATAATAATTGAATAAAAAAATAAATGATTCTATTTTCATAAAAAAAAGTAATAAGTTAAATCTTTTATAAAGAAATAATGCTTACAAATAAAGATATAAATTATTCATACACCTTAAATTTCATTTATTTATTAATTAAATAATATGATAAATTTAAGAATTATTTAAATCTTTGGATATCATCATTAATTTTGTTCTTAATTGTTATCTTTATGATCTTTGGAAGATTAGACTTTATTTTTGATTTTTATTTTAATGAGGATTATTAAAATTTCGATGAAATTCTTATTTGTTATCTTAACTAAAATTAAACTGATGTTCTCTAAAAAATGGTGATGCTTATCTCTTGATATTGAATTGTTTACGATATTCAGCAAATGGTGATTTTTAGAGTTATCTTTATTTAGGAGATTAGGATTGTTGTGTAATACATTTATTGAAAGGATTCTATTTAGGTTTAAGTTATTCTTAATAATTGTTAAGTGAATCACTCAAAAGTTTTAATTAATTAGTATTTGGAGTTTGGACATAATCTTACCATCCTTATAAATCAAGTTTTAAATTCATTATTATAGTTGTATAATTTATTAAAATTATTCAATAGAAGAAATGACGTATTAGTAAATCATTTTTGTTGTCCTTTTATGCTCATTTGTACAATGTTAAGAATATGTTCACGAATTTGGAGAAGATATTTTCTAATATACAAGAGCTTCTTATTGTTCTATTGATATCATTAATGCATGGGATTGTGAACCTTGTAAAAGACATCCAAATATGAAACATATCTAAGTTCATCATAATGAAGAAGCTTAAGCATAAGGTTATTGTGCTTATGACCAAGATTTTAATCGAATTGTTGTTGCTATCAGGGGAAGTGTGAATGCTGTCAATTACTTAAATGATTTAGATTTTATAAAAAGAGATTATTAATATTGTACAGGATGTAAAGTTCATTAAGGATTTTATGATACCTATTAAAATATAGCTGAAGGTCTTGTTAATTGTGTAAAGGATCTAAATACTTTGTATCCAGATGCATAAATCTTAGTAACAGGTCATTCATTAGGAGCAGCTGAAGCTACATTTGCAGCTCTTGAAATCAAAAGGACAGTAGGAAGAGTAAACATATTTTATAACTATGGAACTCCAAGAATAGGAAATGATAAATTTGCTGATTATGTTGAATCTGAATTAAAAGGATTATTTTTAGCTAGAATCATAAGAGATAAAGATACTTTTTAACATACTCCTTTACCTGGACAAGGATTCTCTCATTATGGAAATGAAATATTTTATGATGAAAACATGATGAATTTCAAAGTTTGTGGTAGAGAAGATAATAAAGTATTTATATTTTTATTAATTAAAGTGTGGAAATAAATATATTTGGCCAACCTAATGGAAACTTGACCATCATTTATATTTATATGGTCAATGTGCAGGATGTACATAAGAAGGATGTGAAAACATTTTGAAATTATATTCATGATTAAATGATATGTTTAATTATCCAAATATATCTATATTACATTCTTTACATAAAAAGAAAAGTAAAAGTTTAACAATAATCAATTATTATAAATTAAATTTTGATTAAAAAGAAATTTTATGAGATTTTTATACTAATATAATGAATGAATTTAATAAAATCATTCTTTTTTATAAAAGTAATATGCTGTTCCTGCAGTAATTCCAATAACAGATGCAGGTAGTAAAACTGTACTCATTACTCCTGTCATTGCCACACTTTGTGCTATAGAAAAAATACTTCCTGCAACAACATTTCCAACACCTGCTTAACTTGCTGCAGCAAGGCTTCCTGCTACAGGACCTATTGATGAAAAACCCGCTGCCATTAAACCAACCTTAGCTCCTACTGTAATTCCAGCGGCAGCTAAAGTAGAAACAATAGCACTATCTTTTATATCATCCAAAGTGTCACATGAAACTTATCCAATAATTAATAGAATTAGTAAGCTAGCAAATAATGATTTATTCATTAAATTAAATATATTATTCAGAACAAAAAATAATTATGCTTTAAACCTCAATTTTGTGAACAATTTTTAAGATTAATTAAAATATAATAATTAAAGAATTATTTATATATATATATATATATATATTTATTCCATACTTTCCAATTTTTTTATTATCAGAATAAAATTTATAATATTTTTCTGCTTGATATACCTCAAATAACTAATACTAATATTCATTAATGAAATCTAAAGTGATTCAATTTATTAATTGAATAATTATCTATTCTTTTTAGTTTATTTTATTTATTTCAATATTAACGATTATTTGTTTTTTATTTTTTCATTAACTAATTCTTAAGTTTGTATACTATTAACTTTTTTTTGAATATATATTAAAATTATATTATGAATGATTAGATAGAAATCATAAATTTAATAAAATTTTAATAGTTAAACTAAAAATTAATATTAATATAATTGATTTAACTAAACTATGTAAAGAATTAAGCAACAAAACAATGCATAGTAAAGTATAAGATATATTATTTAGGGAACTAATGATCCATAAGAGAAGACTAAGTGATATTCAACATAGAAAGAGTTCTATTCCAAAATTAGATAAAACTATTGACATTTATAAGCAAAATAGATATATCACTGCTAGAAAATAAGAAATAAATAGATGGGAAGGAATAATGAAATAAAATTAGAAATTACTTAAGAAATTAAATAATGTAGAATCTTCATTTCAAAAATCTGTAAATAATAAATAAAATATTCTTGTATTCAAGATAATCAATTCGTAGTGTCAGTTCTTGTAATTCGAGAAAATCAATTGAATTTAAAGAGAATTTACAAAAGGAAAATGCTAGAATGTATTAAAAACTATAGAAAATGTAAGTATTGTGGGGAATTCATTTTTAGAACTTCAACTTTCGATAAGCCTAATAAATAATATTCAAGAATTTCTAAATCTAATTAAAAATTAGATAAATGGAAACAACCGAATAGTTAAGAGAAAAGCTTTAATGTTTAACCTATAATGAATTATAGATATTAAGGAAAGAGTTTTACAAAACACAAAAGTATTCATCATTCAGGAGATGAGAAACAATAGATAATGTCAATAATCTAAAAATATCATAAAGTTTTAGATTAATTACTACCTATCATAAAACCAAATAAATTTAATAAATGAAATTTATAGATTTTGGATATTAAATCAAAAATTCTTAGGAATTGTTTTGCATTAATCACAAATTTTGTTTTAGATGAATTCAATCATTTTTGCATTTTCTTCTTTTAATCTTTGATTTTCAATGAATATATTATTATTATTGTCTCCATCTTCAATATGTTCTTACATTTAATTCTTTTTCTTTAAGATAATTAAAAATAAATACTTCAAATTTTGACAATTCTTCTTTAAGTTAATGATTAAATTACTATTGTTAATAATTTAAGGTTAATGAAATTTTAAGTTTATTGTACAATTCATCTTTAGATGTTTCACCTTCAGTAGGAGTGATAGGTTAATCTTCATTTTTTTTGTTTGTTTTAGGTTGGATATTATGTATACTTTGATGTAGTTGTGAATGAAGATCTAGAAATGAAAGAGATGAGGATTTTTATGATATTTAGGAGATATGATTATTACTAGATATGAGTTCTTTTGAAAAGGCTGTAGAAATAATATTAGATTGTGAATTCAATTAACATGATGAACCAAATGATTATACAGATTAGATTACTGATAGATTTATTTTATCTACAATTTGCTTTGAATAATAGTCACAAGTATTACTTTGTAAATACGTTATCTGATTGCATTTAATTCATTATCTAAAATTTATTGTTATTGTTCTTCATCTAAATTTTCACTATTTTACAAGGATATTGAATCTAATGAAAATCTTGGTTGAGTTGTAAGTTCACATAGGTAATGGCCAATTACTTCATTTAACTTTAAACCTAGTTAATCTAATGTATTGTTAAAATATTCATTTTATTGTAAATCAAACCTTGGACTTTCAAAGTTTTCTTAATTTAATTTAGGTTTAGTTTCCAAACGATTATCATTAGATACTAAATAATAATCTTTAAGTCCTAATATATTTAAATCATTCAATGATATAGAACCCTATAGATCATCTTTGTCTTTTATTGATTATATTTTTTTATCACTCTAAGGTTTAAATAACAAATACCATTTCATTTTTTTAAGACATCTCTTTAGAATTATTACTTTGATTTGGTAACTTTGTTTATGAATAGGATCGTGAAATACCACAAATATCTAAATCACAGTCTTAATTATTCTGATTTCTTGTTCTCATCTTGATTTTAAAGTAATTTATGTTATTTATAAAAAATTCATTCTTAATATCTAATTTAAATTAAATCATTTTGATTTTTTTGTTAATTTAATAGCGAAGAAAACGAAAGAAAGAAGTATCAAAGAAATTAAATATTATTCATAATTTATTTATATTATGATTAATAAAATAACTGAGTAATCTAACAATATTGGTCCTAGATAAACTAGAAGTCTAACAAAGGCTTCTCCAACATCTAAACGAAATAGAGAAACTGAACTTATTTATTTGAGTAAAGTGACTGCATTTAGTCAGTTGAAAAATTATTAAATTGATTACATTTATAGATCAATAAAAAGTGTAGAATTTACAAGAGGACATTTAATATTTTAAGAAGGATAGAAATGTGATGCTGTTTATGTAATTAAATAAGGTGAAATAGAAATATTTAAAAAGGAACCAATTAATCAATAAATTGAATAATATTACTAATTAAATAAAAAAAAGTTTGTTCATTAAATGATCAAAGTATTAGGTGAATAAACTGCCTTTGGAGTAGGAGATATTGTTAATGGAATTTATACTATTAATGCAAGAGTAAGTTCTCATTTTGCAGAATTATATATGATTAAAATATAAGATTATAAACGTATACTTGATATGGAACCATAAATCAAATTATAATAATAGGAAAATGAAAATATGGACAATCTTGAAGTTATAACCAAATATTAATTGCCATCTCTCTATGATTCTGTTAAAGCATCTTAAGCATAGAAATAAGAGATTTAATATCTAAAGAAAGTAAGGAAAGGCATAACTTACCTTGTACCATAATCTTAAGGAACAGATATAATGAAGAATTCTCACATTGATTAAAGTTTAGAAGAAATCTATAAGTATAGTCATCAATCTATTTAAGAAAGTCTGTAATATTACATTAGAAGATGTTACCTAATTACTAATAAGTTGATTTAGAAAACCCATTGATTTAAGGTTAAGAAATAATAAATGATAGATTGTTGTTAAATAAAATTATTTAGAAAGAATATACTATTAAATTTACAAAAGAATCACCTACAACAAATAGATAGATGTAATAGAGTGTTATATCAACATCAAATAGTCCTATGAGCAAGAAACTATAATTAATATTTCAAAAAGATAAAAAAGTTAAATAAAATTATTCAATAAATGAGGTATCACATAGAGAAAAAATGAAAATAATATAAGATACATCCCCACATTCTAGTTCATTTCGTTCTGCAAGACTTGATACTGGTAGATCTACATTTCATGCAACTCCAATATTTGATTAACATGATCCAATAAGACTAAAGTAATTTATACCAACAGAACTTTTTCCAATTTATTGTCATTTATTCAAACCAGACAATCAAGAAATAAGTTGAACTTATTCCTTATTTATAAAAATTTTCTATTTTTACCATTTTGAATGTTAAGTTTAAAATTGTTTTTTTAGTTAGATGAACTTTTTAAGATATTTTGAAAATAAATTCCTATTAATAAAATATAAATTATAATAAAGTTCATTTATTTAATTATTCAGTAATTTAACTGTTCATCAATAAATTGGAACTAAGTATTCCAATACAATGATTTTATTCATTTTCTTTTTCTGATTCTGAATCTTCTTAATTACAACAATCAATACAATTACATAAAAATGTACATCTTTATTTTTTTAAATAACATTCACAATATTTTTTAGTACAACCTGTTTTTTTACAATTACATCCACCACATTAAGTTTTCTATATTTATTAAGAGCAATTAGAATTATTACATCCTAAACAATTACACTCTATATTACAAGATCTTCCTGCAGCAAAACATTCACAATATGATTTTTAACATTTAGATTTTAAACATTTGCATTTTATTATACATTTTTCAATCTATTTTGCTTTTACAATTTTTTATTAAATTGGAAATGGTTTCTTTCCTGAATTCTATTTTGGACTCTCATCAAGATCAAAAAATTTTAATATTGGTATTGGTGATTCTCTCTTAGGAGATGTAATTCCAAAAATATCTTCTGTTTAAATAAGGTTTAATGCAAATCGAACAAAAGAATTACAATTTTCAGCAGCCATTACAATAAATAATCATTGATGATAATTCTAGAATCAAATTTTTAGATTCACTAATTAAGTAGTTAAAATTTATTAATAATAATAATAATAAAAAAATTTATCATCAATTATTATTTATTGTATATTTATATATATATATAATTATTTTCTTTTATTTATTCAATATTTTAGAATATCAATTATCATATTAAAATAAGATTTATAAGTATTGTAATCCTTAAATAATATAGATACATTTAACTTTTAATATAATAAAAACCAATTCAATAATTACTTAAATTTTTAAATAATTTTACAATATATAAATAATCATTTTTTTTTAATAATAAAATAATTTTTATCATTTATACAATTCTAAAACTACTTTAATTTTTCTTACAAAATCTTCTTTGTTGGAAATTTATAACTCTCCCTAAAGATTCTTAAAAGCTAAACTTATTTGATCAATTATAGGATTTGATGTAATTCCTATTTAATTGGTTACCATTGTTATGAGAAGTGTTTCAAACTAAAATATCAAAAATTGTGATTACATCTTTTGGATTGAATATTGAAATGGCATATAAGATTTCTGGAATTGCAAATATAATTTTTGAATTTTTTGGATATATTAATGTAATTTAGCAACTCAAATTAAATATATCATATAGTATTTATTTCCCCTATAAATTAATTCCATTTATTTTATTTTTTATCATTTATAAATCATTTATATCTCCAACAGAAGCTTCTTAAACTAAAAATGTTGATATATTGCTTAGTAAGGTTCCAATTAATATAAGTGTAGCACAATTATCATTTATAGTATCCTCTCCTTAATTATCATAAATAATTTCTTTTAATGATTCTTTACATATAAGGAAAATATCAAGATATAAATTTAAATCACATTTATAAGCTAAAGTTTCTGAATGATCTTAACATATGCAATCAAAACATTCATATAATATTTTTTTGTATTTAGGAATATGTTAAAGTAATTGTCTATAAATTAAAATGAGTTATATCTATAAATTAAAAAGATCTAGAAAACATTAATCATTGTAAATAATAAAAAATCCTTAATTAATTTTCTTTTATCCAGATATTTGACTCATAAGTGCTAAAAGTTTGGATACTTATTTCAATTACAAATCTGATATTTTTTATTGAGTTTTTGCTGTTTGGATTTATTATTAAATAAGAATTATAAAGAATTTCATAGCTTTACCATAAATTTGATACAAAATTAATTAAATATTTTCTGTTGATAATCTAGTGTTTCTAATATAATTGATAAAAACTAATACTTATTATAAAAAATAGCTTTGAATAATGTAATGATGGCAATGGAAGAATCATAGTCTTTAGCAAATAATTCAATATTTTCTTAAGTCAATAGATTTGCAAGATCTGGATATCTAATTGATATCATATTATTTTAATACATTATTCTTAAGAATGCTCTATAAATATTATCAACATCTATTTCTGAAGCAATTCCAATAAGATCCCAAACATATTTTAGTATATTAACTTTATTCATTTCAATCAATATGCTTTATTTAATTTGGTTATAAATATCAACAAGTGAATTAAGATAATCATCAGAACAATCATCTACCCAAACAATAGTTATAATTTTAAAGACTACAGCTCTCTTCTTTATATATTAAGGTGTATTTAAACAAGTTATATTTAATTATAAGAAGAACTATTTCAACATTTCTGTAATAGTGCAAATCTTGAATACTTTTCTTGGAATATATTTTTTTACTTTCTAATATATAAATTCAATTAATTTAAGACTGAATTCTATTAAATAAGGATCACCACTTGTAAATATTTAGAAACTAAAATAAATATGATAAAAGATTACCATTCATCCAACATAGTCTCTAATACTAATACATAATTTTGATATCTTTGATCAACACGTATCAATTGGGAATATATTTAAGAAAGATTTTTGAATGTTTTTGTTTCTTAATCATAACAAAAAGAGTCAATTGTTGTTGTAATAAAACTTTCAATAAAGGATAAGATTGAAATTTTTAAAATTCTAGTATTCCTTTACACTTATTAATTCATTATAAGTTCCACAATAAATTTAAGGATATATGATTAGCCATCAAGATTAGGTTTTGGTTCTTCTTTTTATCCAAAATTATAGCTTTCAAATCCTAAATTTAAAATCTCAGTATTTGATGTATGTAATAAAAATACTATTGTTAGACTTATTACAGCTGCACATTAATCTATTAATTATTAATTTGATTAATACATTCATTATCTCCTCTTAATTATTCAATCATTTATAAAATGAGATTAATATTATCTTAAATATGGGATTTAAATAGACAATGGAAGGGCATAAAGGTTAAATCCAATAATTTTTTAAATTTCTTAACACTACATTCTTATGGAATTTCTGTAAATTGATTTTATTAAAAAAATGTTTTCAATACCAAAATTAATTGAATTTACATAACATTATTTATTTTTACATTAAAATCATCATTTAAAGGTAAATGTAATGATCCTTAATAACTAATTTAATTCCAAAGTTCTTATAATTTAATTATTGGACTATTTAACATAATTTTGACTCCATATATTTATATTGTTTTTTTGTAAACTTATTATACCAATTAAAAGAAATTATCAAATAAATACTAAAATTTTACTATTTTTCTCAATGTTAAATTATTTATAATCCTTACTGCTAAGGAATGTATTTCAGATGAAAATTCTGCATAATTTATAAATTAATCTTAGTTTTAATATAAATAGAGTAATCCTTCCCACATTATTCTTCTAAATTCTCCTTTACATTTCTTATTATGAAATATTGATAATCTCACACAAGCAATCCTTTAAAGCATGTTTATACATTATAGAGATAGATTTTGATCAATATTTATAAATCCAATGGTATCTTAAAATAGTTCTTTCTAAAAAGTAGGGTCTATAATCAAGTCTAAATAATAATCTGGAAACTAAGAATTAAATTGCCTTAAATACATTAGTTAATTAGGAAGTATCCTTTCCATCATTATCTATATCAATTTCATAATAACTTAAATTAAAATTCAAATTCATCAATTAATATAATAAGTTAATAAAGGATTCTACCATTGTTTTATTTTATGTATATAATTAAAGTAAAGATTATCCTTATAATTGTTAAATTTATTAATGAATTGCATTTAATATTCTCTATAAAGATAGCCTAAAATATAATGATAGAATTACATTTAAAAATTATTAAGTATTTTTCTAAATTCAATATAACCACTTGCATATGAATATTATCTAATACAACTTATAAGATTTTCAAATATTTTAAAAAAGACTATTTTATTTGTTTAAATAGTGCTATTTATAATTTAACTTATAATATCTTCAATTTTGAAAATCTCTACCCAATTTTTTCTCATTAAAAGTGCAATTGTAAAAATTACTTAGTTGTATACATAATTTGGATGATTAAGAGATTATTGCAAATAAATTAAAGCAATATCAATATGTTTTGTACAAATTTCTGTAATATTTAGTCGATGATCATATTCGTTATAAAAGTACTCAGTACTTACTTTTTGATGAGGCAAATTTGTAAAATGATCACCATTTATAAGACTTTTTTAGATTATTGAATAAAGAGCGAACGTGGTTTCAGGATTACAATCTTCAAGTATTAGACTTTTAAATAATTCAATATTTGAGTAATCTAGAACAAAGTTTCTAAGTAATTCTAAAATTTGTTAATTTTTCTATTCTATGAAGGTCATTATTGTTTACATTAAAATCTCCTACGCTCATAGCAATCTTTGAATTCTGATGTATGCTAGCTTTCATTACCTAAATTTAATTCATTTATTTTAATAAAATTATTATACTAAAATTTGTTAATATATAATGATTCCATTATTTTTATTCATATTAAACCTAATTTTCTAAGTAATGAATAAAAATAACACATATATATTAATCAGTAATTTTTTATTTTTGAGTTTTACTTAAATTACATTTATATCATATATAAAAATTAAGATATTTGGAAAATTTACTTTCTAATAAATTTTATCTAATGTATATATTAATTATTCATAATAAATTTCTTAAAATTAGGCATTTTTAATTTATAATGAAATATTTATTTTAAGATAGGTAACTTAAATAATGATTTCATATCATTAATAGAGAGATTAAAGCATTTTTATTATACCTTCTAATTCCTATGCTTAAAATTTAACAATAAGTGTTTTTTCATTTATACTTTAATATTTATAATATTAATAGTAATTTAGATGTAATTGTCATAAACTATAAATTATTTTACTCTTTCAAATCAAATAAATATATATTTAAAATGAGAAAAGTATTTTATAATACTAATAGTAGTCATTTTAAGATTATAATTGAACTACATTTGAATATTGAAAACAAAAATATTTATTTTGTTGAAAACCTGTATTTCGAAAGATTTATTTTTTTGAAATAAAATCCAACTAATTGAATCTTAACATAACTTCAATTTCTTCTATATATGATTATATTTTAATTTTAAGTATAATAAATTATGCTGATTAAATGATTAATTTTTAAGCATTACTCTTAGCTATCTAAGATGGATATTAGAATTTCAAATGAATTTAATTACCATTTAATCAAGGTATTAATTATTGAATATAATAATTCCAATATTAAATGTTAAAAATATATCAATTTTTTATAAAGTTCTTTTTTCATCCTGAAGAAACAGCTGATGTAGAACCAAAAAAAATTATGAATTTATGGACATTAACTTTTATAAATCAAGATTTGGAAGAAAAATATTCAAATAAAGAAAAATAAAGAATCATAGTCTTGTTTCGATTATAATACTTAATTCATTTCCTCATTAATGTTATCTATTTTGTAAACAATCAATTTTTTTTGAAAAATCATTTAGTTGCTTATTTTAGAGCTGCATTTTGCTGTTGGCATATAATTTGCATGATATCATAAGCTAACATAAA